CCAAGGAAGACACAGGGAAGGGTGCGGGCAGTGAGCTTGTCCGTGCCAGAGGCACGAACGTGAGCAAGGCAGCCCCAGACGTGGAACGTAGACGCGTCACCAGGTGACCCAGACCAAAGAAGAGTCGGCGAAACCTGAGGCTGCTGGGGGTGCGGCCACAGGTTAAGCTGGTGAGCGGCGTAGCGAACGGCGAACGGCCACAGAAAATGGGGTGCACCGGCATGGATCATGGAGGTGCGAGCCACCTCCATGACCAAACCGATGCGTCGCTCAGCGACCCCATTCTGCTGCGGGGATTCCGGCAAGGTGAACGTCTGGGTGATGCCCTCCGCACGACAGAAACGACCAAGGACACCAGAGGCAAACTTGCCACCACGATCAGAGTGGAGGCGCAAGAGAGGGAGACCGCGGTGGCCACGCGCAGCGACAAGCCACAGGACAAGAACGTCAGGCACGTCGGCCTTCCGCTCCAGGGGGAACATAGTGGTGTAGCACATGTAGTCGTCGACAAGCACTAGGAAGTAGCGCTCTCGACGCGGCCCATGGACAGGGGCGGGGCCCTAGACATCCATGTGCAGAGTCTGTAGCGGTGCTGCGGTGGGGGGAAACGAGGAGGAGTGAGGGGCACGGCGGAGCCGGCCCTCGACGCAGGGCGTGCAAGGTGGGGCTGGGGAGGAGGGAAACTCAGGGAACAACCCGGGGAGGCCTAGGACGAGACCGTGCTGTGACATGAGACGCAGACGCGGGAGCGCAGGGTGACCTAGGCGGTGGTGCCAGAGAAGGGTCGGGTGGGTGAGAGACCGACAGGAGCAGGCAGCAGCAACCTGAGGAGACGCAGCCACCTGAGGGGGGGTCCCAGCCGGGGGGGGTCCCAGCCGGTGGGGTCACTGTGTCCAGTGTGAAAAGACCGGACACTGGGTCCCGTGGGAACGTGGACAGGGGGGCACCAGTGGCGGCCTCGGTACAGACAGCGTACCGCTTGTGTCCAGGGAACGTAGTGGTGACGCCAAGGTCCTGAAGGCAGCCGACACCAACTAGGTTCCTGGAGAACGAGGGGATGTGCAGACCTGTGAGCGAGCCCGAAGGAACCGCTGGGCAGGGGAGGGTGGTGGAACTACGGGCAACTACAGGGCCGGAGGAGGGGTCAGCAAGAGAGACTACGGCAGGGACAGGGAGCGGTGTCAACGTGGGAGAGCCGCGGAAGAAGCACCGGGAAGCGACAGAGTCGAGGGTGAAGGAGAGCGCGGCAGTGGCGGCCGGAGGCGAAGCAACGACGGATGCACCAAGGCTAAACAAAGCAGGGGATCCTACGCCTGACGCGGCAGGGGAGTCTAAGCAAGGCACACCTACACTAGGCAACAAAGGGTAATAAGACAGAAGCACACTAGAGTCATCAGCATACATCACATGCAGAGCAGTAACAATCTCCTCCATAGCCAGATCAAAAATCTGAACCCTACGACGAAGCAAGCTGTGCCAGTCTGGGAGCTCGGGTGACGGGCCGAAGCGCTGACGAAACAGGTCGTTCAGGCGACGGAAACAGCGGTCGGAGGTGTGGCCGATCTTACCGCAAACAAAGCCACGGCGAGGACCGGTCTGGAGCAGGTACTGACAGCGCGCGGGACCCGAACCACCACCCGGCAGCCCACCACGCGCACCACCACAACGTCCAACGCTACCACCAGCGCCAGGCCACCCGGGCGGGAGACCACTCGCCCGTATCGGCTGCTGCTGCGACTGCTGCTGCCACTGCGACTGCTGTGGCTGCTGCGGCTGCTACGGCTGACGCGGGTCCGGCGGCAACACCGGCGGCTGCTGAGACGGCTGCTCGGCTGCACCTGTCAGGGTCCCCTTGTCCACACCACTACCAGGGGACCCAGCTCCCGCACCGCCTACACCTGCACCCCCACCCCCGCCGTCACGCCCCGCCTTGGGGCGGCGACCCTTCCCCGGACGGACGTGTGCTGCAGCAGCAGTCTCAGCCACAGCAGCAGAGCCGTCGGAGAAGGTGCACTGAGCGGGGGCGCAACCCTGAAAGATAGGGACCGGCACAGTACCGCTGGTCTCGGCAATAGAGCGGTGGCGGGCCTCTATAACGGACAGGGTGTCAACAAAGTCAGTGAGGGTGAGGTCTCCGGGGTGGACGCTAAGGAAGCGGTCGCGAGCAGTGGCAAGGCGGCCAGGAAGGCGGGTGGCCAGCAGGTAGAGAGCACAGCAGAGGGGCGGCTGGTGAGCGCGAAGCTGTGTGTCAGTGCAGGCAGTGCGCCAGGTCTCGTCTATAGTGCACAAGTGGGCGGCCAGGTCAGCGATAGTGGGGAACGACGCAAGGTCAGGGAAGATCATTGGGAGGATCAGGCGACCTACCGAGGCAGCAGGCGGGGTGGAATAGCGCTGGACAACAGCATCTAGGAAAGCCTGGGCAGTGGTGATAGACCTGAAGCGAGGTCGCTCGGACAGGGGGAGGGCATTACTAATAGCAAGCTGTGCGACAGCGTTACGGGACAGCCAAACAAAGCGTGCAAGGGCAGCGGCCGCAGCGGACTCACGCTCAGTGGACGGGGGGTCAGGAGACAGTGCAGCGGGGGGGTCAGGGCAGGGGAGGGTACCATCAAGATGGACAGATAGAGAGTGGCCATCCTGCCGCTGACCAGTAAGGTGGCGACGAAGGCCAGCAAGCCACGCATCAAACTCAATCGGCTGGCCCTCAGCGTCAAAGCGAAGCACCTCCGCCATCAGTGACAATAGAGGACAGTACAGTGCGGTGCAGTACAGCACGGACAGTGCAGTGCAGTGCGGTGCAGTGCGTTGCAGTCCAGTACAGTGCGGTGCAGTGCGGTACAGTGCGGTGTAGTGCGGTTGAGTACGGTACCGGGGGGGGGGGGTTCGTAGGGCGGTGCTGATCGGGAAGAACGGGCCGAACCCGAGGCGGCGGCGGGCTGGCGACGACACGAATGCAGGACCCGGCCGATGGACGGCAGACGCGAGGGGCCAGCAAACGGCGGCAACGGGGGCTGGCGAGAAGCTGGCGCGACGGCGAGTAGGGCCGGCCACGACGGCGAGGAGACACGGCCGCGACGGCGGCCAGGGACAGCCGCGACGGCGGCTAGGGGCGGCCGCGACGGCAGGAGTGACTGTGAGGCGCCTGGAAACGGCAACGACAGCGGCTAGGGGCGGCCGCGACGGGCAGGGGGCCGGCTAGAGACGGGCACGACGGCCAGGGGGCCGGCTAGAGACGGGCACGACGGCCAGGGGGCCGGCTAGTGGCGGACGCGACGGCCAGGGGGCCGGTTACGGGCGGACGCGACGGCGAGGGGGCCGGCTAGGGACGAGCGCGACGGCCAGGGGGCCGGCTAGGGACGGGCGCGACGGCTAGGAGGCCGGCTAGGGACGGGCGCGACGGCCAGGGGGCCGGCTAGGGGCGGACGCGACGGCCAGGGGGCCAGCTAGGGGCGGACGCGACAGCCAGGGTGCCGGCTAGGGACGAGCGTGACGGCCAGGGGGCCTGGTAGGGACGAGCGTGACGGCCAGGGGGCCAGCTAGGGACGAGCGCGACGGCCAGGGGGCCGGATAGGGATGGGCGCGACAGCCAGGGGGCCGGCTAGGGGCGGACGCGACGGCCAGGGGGCCAGCTAGGGACGAGCGCGATGGCCAGGGGGCCTGGTAGGGACGAGCGCGACGGCCAGGGGGCCAGCTAGGGACGAGCGCGCGCGCGCGCGAGAGAGAGAGAGAGAGAGAGAGAGAGAGAGAGAGAGAGAGAGAGAGAGAGAGAGAGAGAGAGAGAGAGAGAGAGAGAGAGAGAGAGAGAGAGAGAGAGAGAGAGAGAGAGAGAGAGAGACAGAGAGAGAGGGTCGACAGGGTTATCCCAGTGCCAGGACATGTTAAAATTATATGAGTTATAATTTAATATAGGCTTGGTAGGTTGTTACTAAACCTTTCTGTAGAGGGTACAATCCCCTCCTTGTACTGCTCTCTCTTCCTAATCCCCTCTCTTCTTTCTCGTCACTTTTGCCTACTCCTAGATCTACTTGCCTCACGCCATTCCATGGCGTCCTTCCTTCCTTCCTAGCTAAGCTAGGTTCCTAAGTGTAGTTCCTATCCTAAGCTTCTTTGAGATGGTATCAGAGCAGGAGATCCTCCCTGCTAGACCGCCTCCTCACGCTTCCGCCATTTACTCCTCACCCTCATTCGCTCGAGCGGCCATGGCGGCCGCGTTTTGCTGCAGTGGCGACGTCGCGCTGCCACTGGTCGCGTCGTGCCGCGACCGGCTCGACGCGCTGCCGTGGAGTCGGGCCATCGTTCTGCAGTCGCAGCGTCGACGTCCCGCTGCGGCATCGACGCTGCCTCTGCCGTTGCGACGTCGACGTCCTGCTGCAGCGTCGACGTCGCTCTGTGACGGCGCCGTCGGGCCGCAGCCGGTTGCGCGACGCCTGTGACGCCGCCACCGCCCGCATGCCAACTGTCCCCCCTTTCCCCTGTCGCCTTCTCTTATCCACAGTCGCCGCAGACTCTCGGCAGTTGTCCCCCTGTCGCGGAGGTTTGACACACCGCCGGAAGGGCGGGGGCCGCTGCACTCACCACCGCCGTAAGCCAAAGCTGTCGCCGTCGCCGCTGCCGTCGCCGCAGGCCGTTTGCCGCCGCACGCCCGTCGTCGCCGTCGCTGTCGCCGCGGTCGGGACTGCCGCCGTCGCCATCTCCAATGCCTTTTGGGCCCTGCTGGGAGCATTGTGGCTGATGGGAATGGGGGTGCTAGGTTAGGGGGTGTGGGGGTGTGTGTGAGCTTGTGACTACCAAGCCTAGGGGGTGTGTTAAAATTATGAGTTATAATTTAATATAGGCATGGTAGGTTGTTACTGAACCTTTCTGTAGAGGGTACAATCCCCTCCTTGTACTGCTCTCTTCCTAATCCCCTCCTTTCTCGTCACGACAGCCCTTCCCCGAGGATCGTCTCAAGGGTAACCCCAGCGGGTCTCTCGATACAGTATTGCCATTCAGACAAAAAACTATGCCGACCTACTGTATTAGAAAAAGCTTCCAGCAGGCACTGCACTACAAGTGTCCATTCCACACCACAAGAGTTATAATTCTGTACCTTCCACCCCTACAAATGAAGGTAGGCAATAACCATGGTATGGCACTACGCCGCTCAACACATTACCCAACCCTAAGCGCCCTCCCATTGCATGCTATGGAGCTAGAGACTAGAGAGCTTGCACAGAACGCCGGAAAAAGGGTCTTCAGTCTATGTAACTAACAGGTACCAGAGCAACGGGAAGCAGACGAAGTGGCAGGAGTTTCTTTACAAAGAAGGTTAAGGGTAAACGTGCCCCTACACCATGCACACCACCAAAGTGCCCCCCTGCAGCGAAGCTTGAGAAGAGAAAGAAAGAGTACGGCACCCATCCGCATGGCCCGCCCACTCCGGCTTTTGCTTTCCCCCCCTCCCCCTACGAAAAGGGCTGGGGGCCAGGGCCTTTACCTCTGTACTTCCCCCGTTGCTTCTCACATCCTTTCATCAGTTCCTTTCCCACCGGTCCTGGATCATGACGTGTGCCGCATGGTTGGGTCACGCGGTTTTTTTTTCAGGCACCTTGAATAGACCCGCCACCCGTGCACTCATAAGATTAGTTTCCTTATAGGTTACGTTCCCGCCAGTCGCTGATCATGGCGCGCACGGCGTGGTTGGGCACGAGGTCCTTGGACGGCAGCTGCTCGTTGGTCATGGGTGAGCGGTCGCTTCTCTCTAGCCACGACTCGATCGCCTCCTTCTCGTACGTGTGCCCGTCCGCCGCCAGCACCGGGGTCACCATCATCTCCTGTTGAGAGTTCCGGGGTATAGTACGCGGGGGTGTAATATGGGCATGGGGGCGGGGGGGGACAGAGAGGAATGAAGAGACAAGCGCATGTACGTGTGCCCATACGCTGCCGGCAGCAGGTTCACCATCATCTCCTGCACCGCCTGCACCCTCACTCTATCCAGCACCGGCATCACCTGGGTCTCCAGGTCCGGCCACTTCTCTCCCCCATCTCCATCTTCTTTGACTCACTTCACCAACACAAGACAACAAACACAAGACTATAGAGTCACAGGAGGCTCACGAGGGGCCCGATTCTTGCCTGGGTGATGGGGAAGAAGGGGCTGCTGGGCGCATCTCCAATCGACCACTTCACCGGGGCCTTCCTCGCATCCTCCTCTGCCTGCACTGCGCGCGCCCTTGCTATATCCAGCACCGGCATCACATGCGTCTCCAGGTTTGGCCACTTCTCTCCCCCATCTCCAACGTACCTCTTCCTTTGACTCGCCTCACCAACACAAGACAACAAACACAAGACTACAGAGTCACAGGAGGCTCACGAGGGGCCTGACTCTTGCCTGGGTGATGGGGCAGAAGAGGCTGCTGGGCGCATCCCCAATCGAACGCTTCACCGGGGCCTTCCTCGCCTCCTCCTCCGCCTGAACCGCCCGCGCCCTCGCTCTGTCCAGCACCGGCATCACATGCGTCTCCAAATCCGGCCGCTTCTTCCGCCTCATCTCCGAGCACTTCACCGCGATCTTAGCCACCTCCATGACGATATCCAGCGGCCAGTTGCCCGCCCGCTCGTCTAGATACTCTCTCATAGCCTCCTCGTCCCCATCATCCACCGCCTCCTCTAACCCCTCGTACACGTTCGGCTTGCGCCCTGTGAGCAGGTCCAGGAGCACGATCCCCAGCGCGTACACGTCGGACTTCGGACCGAACTCCCCCGTGCGTTGGAACTCGGGGTCGACGTACGCAAAGGTGCCCACCGGGACGGATTCCCGCATGTAGGTCTGATCCATGGAGAGACCCGGCATGAGCTTTGCAAGCCCTACATCGCCCAGCTTCGCAACGAAATTCTTATCTAAGAGGATGTTCCCGGGCTTTAAGTCGCGGTGCACGATGGGGACCGGGCGCGTGTGGAGGATGAGGAGGGCGGATGCGATCTCGGCGGCCACGCGCATGCGGATGTACCAGGGGAGGGGCGGCGTGTTGTTGGCGCAGAGGAGGCGGTCCTCGAGGGAGCCGTTGGCCATGAACTCGTAGACCAGGCAGTAGCGGTCGGGGCAGCAGCCCAGCAGCATCACCACGTGCGGGTGCTGGATTTGACTCAGCACCTCCACCTGATGGGAGGGGCCGGAGGAAAGGGGAAAGGGTGGGGGTGTGTTTAGCGGGTGGGGTTGCAGGGTGTTTAAGTGAGTCCGCTCACTGCTCGCCACAAGGGGGTGTTGATTCCGAGCATCAAGAATTTGTGTTGTACTGAGTAAATTCAGGGTAAATTTGGTTCGTAGCCGTGTTCTTCAGCCCCTTCACTGCTGCTAGTCTTGCACGTAAGCACCTATCCACCCCGAATCACCAGAGATCACCGGAGATCACCAAAGGCAACTATGTCCACAGTAGCACTTGTTGGAACTCGTGTGCCTTCACACGCCCATGCCTTCTTACACCTGCATGGCGTCAGTGATCTCCAGCACCTTCACCGCCACAGGCGTGTGGTGCAGAGTGTTGCAACAACCCCTGCTAGCCCAAAGCCACAGCCACAGCCATTGATCCACAATGTATTACCAGACGCACAGATCTGTTCTCACCTCTTGTTGGAACTCGTGCGCGGCCTGCATGGCGTCCGTGTTCTTGAGCACCTACTGCTCATTCCCTGATAGCCCTCACAAGCACCTTTCTCGGCCCATCCAAGGCCGCGCATCTACCGCTCCTCACCTTTTGTTGGAATTCGTGCGCGGCCTGCATAGCGTCCGTCTTCTTGAGCACCTTCACGGCTAAAAGTGTGCTGTATCATCCCCGCTGGCATCTCGCACTACCCAAATCACCCTTGTCGACGCGCAACGCTTATCCCCCTCTTCTCTCACCTCTTGTTGGAACTCGTGCGCGGCCTGCATGGCGTCCGTGTTCTTGAGCACCTTCACAGCTGAAAGCGCGCGGTGGAACACTCGACACAAGACCCTGCCACTGCCAGCCCCCCTCACAAGCACCTAACTCGGTCTAAAGAGCATCCATACCCCTTACCCAAAGAGCCTATCCCCCTCTTCTCTCACCTCTTGTTGAAACTCGTGCGCAGCCTGCATGGCGTCCGTGTTCTTGAGCACCTTCACCGCCACGGGCGTGTGGTGCAGCGTGCCTGAAAACACCGTGCCAAACCCGCCCTCTCCCAGCTTCCGATCCGCCTTGAAGTTCTCTGTGGCAAACTGGTGAGGGAGGGGGGGGAAGAAACCCAGGACGTGCGTGATTTGCATACAGAAAACGACAGAGCGCGGGAAGAGAGGAGAGATAAACAAGGAAGAAAGGAGGGGGAGAAAGAAAGAGATAACATCCTGACAGAGGGAAGCATGCCTGCGCACCACTTGCACATCTCCTACACTCAAACACGCACACACCGTCTACTCGCCCCAATGCCGTCCAACGAGCCCCCCGCAGCAAGTTGCCATCATGCGCATCTCACATTTCTCCGAGTCAGTGTTCTTCTCCGCCTCCTCCCTTCGCTTCTCCTCCTCTACAGATGAACGCCCATCCCTTACTCACCACAATGTCCTCATACGAGTACTCGCGGTAGTTGGCCATCATGTGCATGTGTGCACGCACATGCGTACCTCCCACATACAGGAACCCCACCCTCCCTCCCCCCACTCACCACAATGACGTCATACGAGTACTCGCGGTAGTTGGCCATCACGCGCATGCCGCCTTACCCCCAACTAAGCCTTTTTCTCCTTTTAAGGAGCATCAACAGCAGGCTCCTTACACCCACACACACACACACCCACCCACCCCCCCTACTCACCACAATATCATCGTACGAGTACTCGCGGTAGTTGGCCATCATGCGCATGTGTGCGCCCACATGCGCACCTCATACACACAGGAACCCCATCCCCCCTACTCACCACAATATCATCGTACGAGTACTCGCGGTAGTTGGCCATCATGCGCATGCCGCCCTTGTCCGCCTTAGCCTTCTTCTCCGCCTCCTGCCGTCTCTTTTCCTCCAGCTCCAGCGCCGCCCGCGTCATCGCCGCCTGCTTCATCGCCACCTCCGTCTTCTGCGCCTCCAGCTCCGCCTGCTTCCGCGCCTCCTCCGCCGCCGCCATGGCGCGCGCGGCCTCCTGCGACGCCATTTCGATGCGCACCGCGGTCTCGAGCTCGCGCCGCTTGTTCTGCGCCTCCACTTCTCGCAGGGACCGGTCGGCTTCGGAGAGCGCTCGCTGCGCGCGCTGCTCCGCCTCCAGGCGAGCCTTTTCCGCCTCTGCTGCGCGCTGCCTCATCATCTCCAGCTCGCGACGCAGGTCGTTCTGGAGCGTGAGAGGAAAGTGGGGAGGGCGAGAGAGGGAAAGGGGGGTGGGGGGTGGGGAGGGGGAGAGGGGGAGAGCGGGAAGTGTGGGGACAAGAGTGTATGAGGCTGATCAATTCATGCAGGGACCGGCCGGCTTCAGTAAAAGCTCGCTACGCGCGCTGCTCTGCCTCCAGGCGGGCCTTTTCCGCCTCTGCCGCGCGCTGCCTCATCATCTCCAGCTCCCGACACAAGTCGTTCTGGAAGCAAGGGAGGGCATGGAAGTGAGGGGGGAGATGAGGTGAACCGATATCAGGCTCTGAGTGCAAAAGCCTTATTCATGAGTGTGTGTGTGGGAGAGAGAGGGCGAGAGAAGGGGAGGGAGGGGGGTGTTGAGGGGGAAGAGAGCGAAAGGGAGAGAGGGAAGCAGAGCAAGCAGCCTTCCACCTGATCATCCACTCCTCACCTCCACGCCCCCACCGGACCCAGCAGCAGCAGCATCAGAAGCAGCGGGAACAGGAGCAGGAATCGCCGCAGGGTACGAATGCTGCATACCCCCGCCACCGCCACCATCACCCCCCGCCTCCCCCCCAGCGGACGACCCTCCCCCTCCGCCTTCCCCCAGCTGCAGCCCCGCGAGCGCCGCGCGCGCCTTCGTCATGCGCGACTGCAGATCCACCATGAAATCCTGCTGCTGCTGGAAAGTCGCCGCCTGATTGGCCCGCTTCCACGCGTCAAACTCCGCCAGATAGTCCGACTGAAGCTTCTGCCCCTCGGCGGTATTCGCCGCCTGCTTCGACCACGCGAGCGCAGAGAGTGTCGCCGCCTGCTGGATATCGTTCCCGCCCTTGGGCCCGCCGCCGGGGGAGCTGTCCATGCTTCCCCCGTCCATGGAGAATCGCGACTGGAGGCTGCCGGATCCTCCGCCGCCGGACGCGGGCATGTAGGGTTGCATGGCGCCGGAGCCTTGGGGGCTGGAGTCGTTGCTGCCGTACTGGCCTCTCGACGCCACCCCGCGCATTCCACCCATCATCCCCCCGTGCCCACCCATCTCCCCGTACGGCGCGTTCATTCCGCCGCCGCCCCAGCCCCCCCCTTGCGGAGCTCCCCCGCGCGTGGGGTACTGCTGGTACTGGCCGTACCCCCCTCCGTATCCCCCTCCGCCGGATTCGTCGTACTCCCCGCTTCCTCCCCCTGCGTGTGTTTGTGGGATAGGACATCGTGCAAGGAAAGACAATAAATTGCAGTTCGTTCTGCTGACGCGCTCACGGGGGCTCCGTATCTCCCTCCGCCGGATTCGTCGTACTCCCCGCTTCCCCCCTGCACGTTCCCGAGACAGGGCAACATGCAAGAAATGACATTGAACTCCTGCTCATTCTGCTGGTACTGGTCGTAGGACACGCCCGTTAACGGGCTCCGTATCCCCCTCCACCGGATTCGTCGTATTCCCCACCCTGTGTTTTTTTTAGACAGGGCAACAAGCAAGAAATGACAATGAATGTCTGCTCAGTCTGCCGGCACTGGCCGTAGGACGCACCCATGGGGGCTCCGTATCCCCTCCCTGCTCCACCGGATTCCTCATATACTCGTCGGTTCCTCCCCCTGTGTATTCTCGCTCCCTCTCAAAACGAGAACACAGACGCACACGAGAGAACAAACCGACGAGATTCTGTTCATTCTGTTCGCTGCAGCCTTACTCTCCGTTCCTAAGTGCTTTTCACTTACGTCATTCAGATTTCCCATTCTCGTCAGGCTTCGAAGGCTGTTCTGTCTGTCCGTCCGACAAATAACCTCTTCTGCCCTCATATCGAGCACATTTTCGATTCGTGAATGTCGTTCCCAGAAGCATCAATGTAATTTCAACGCGATCAGGAAAACAACAAAACACACACCAATACAGAGCTGAAACCGTCTATGGTGACGCAATGACCTGTTAATCTGTGACTCGAGACAGCCATTTTTTTAGAATTCTTATAAATGACAAGGCGCTTACCTGGTTCGTTGAACCCGCCGCTGTAGGTTGGCTCGAGCGCTCCCGAGCCTTGGCCTGATCCTCCCGAGCCTGCCATCAGGCGACCCGAGCCAGCAGGGCTTCCGGATGCGGAAGACAGCGGCGAGCCTTCGGATTCCTTGAATAAAACGACCTTATCCTTCTGAATCACAAAAACGGAGAGCCCGTGCGGCTTATAACGAACGCAGTACGCTCCGGTACTGGACGACTTGCCCCGCCTGCCAGGTCACAGATCGACAGGCGAAACGCGCGCCGCACTTAGCAGTTGCTGGAGGAGGACAGCTCGATCCTTTAATTTAATCAATGGCTCCCAAAAGTTTGGTCGAAGTAGCGGAGCAATGTGTACGCTACGCTACTTACATGCTGAACATTCCGCGAGCATTGGTTCCGAGAACCAGCGTGGTGGCTTTCAGCTTGCTCGACTCCTCCACGATTCCCTTTTCCCTCGAGTTGTTCCGGCCGACCTTCAGCTCTAGCTTGATCTGCATCAACGAACGCGGGGCCAAGACACGAATATTCATGACGAAACAAGTCAAGCAGGAAAAACGACGGGGTATTTACTTCCGGGGCGTCTCAAAACGACGGAGTCATACTAGCACGTTTCAGATTATATGGGGTCATTTTCAATTGTGCACGAGAACCGCAACTTGCTAGTCTCACGAAAAGTTATCGTTACTTGTAGATTTAAAAGGAAATTACACGAGGGTGATCTGTTATCAGCTGAGGGAGAGCGGGCCTGATACCTTGGGATCGACGACTTTCTTTAGCGAGAGCATCATGGGCTGAACGACGGTCCGGACGTAATGCACGAACATGGTGTTGTTGACCTCGCTCTGGTACATCTCCACCGCTCCTGCAGGCACACCCAAGGAAGGGAGCACGCGGAGGCAAGAGTCCGATATTTAGGAGCTTTAAGAAGACTTAGGAGAAGATGAGCATGCGGATACACAAGGAGAGGGGTTTGACGCTGACAATGCAACCTTTTTTGGTTTTTTTTTTTGTCAAAATGGAAAGAATGCATCTTCGTAGGCTACGATGATTGCATTCTGGCAAACTCAGATGCGCAAAGCAGCTAGTTTGTATACGCCTTAAGTACCTGCAACTTGCCTTCCCGCTCCTCCATAAGCACCCATACCTGATTCGCGAAACAGAGACGCTTGTTAATAATGTACCAGCAATGAGGAAAAAATAGACAAAGCCTAACGAAAGAGAGGGAAAGACCGAGCTCATGATTTATAAGAGAAATTGCTTACTTGGGCTGGGGATTTTCGTGACGACATGGAGCAATATGAGAATGTCGTCCGGGCTGCGAACTTTATTCGCGATGGCCCATTTTATGGCGTCTTTGCACGACGGGTCCTTGCTAACTCCCACGACGACTCTCTCCCCGCCGAAGTCGAATCCATCGCCTGGCGCCATTTCGAGCCTAAGTGACTACACGCATCGACACCGCACCCAACAAAGAAGCTGACGATGAAAAAATCGAGGTTACGCCTACAACAGGAAACGGGAAAAAAAGGTGGGACGGAACCGCACTTGGACAGCTACAGCCAGCTGGCTATCCCTGAGAGTACGCGAGGGCTGGCACGAAGGAACCAAACCCTAGCACCTCCCTTGGTGGACCGAAGGAAGGGAAGCCCAGTGAAGCAGCAGGCGGGGTGAAAGTTGTGAGAGCAGAAGGTAGGGGAAGCAGAAGCAGAAGTGGGGGAAAGGGGTGGGTGGGGAGAGGGAGGTAGGGAGGGGGAGGGAGGTGGGGAGGGGAAAGGCGCGGAGTACAGTAGAAGGGAGGGAGTGAAAAGAAGTGTGGAGGAAGCAGAAACGATGAGGCCTGGTTCGGGAGGAGGGGGGAGGGGGAAGCAGGTTCAGTAGGAGGAGGGGTGAGGTGAGGTGCCTGGTGCGGTGCGGAGTGTGGTGCAGTTCGGATCAGGGGAAGTTCTTTCATCTATCAACAGATGGTGCTACATGGTTTGATTGAATATAGAACGGCTTAGTACGGTAACCATGCCGAACGCCCGGACCCCTCGAAAGTCTCTCGAATCCTCCACACTCATCCGAGATCGTGTACCACAGAACGTATCGTGCAGTGCAATTGGCAAGAAAACATTCGGACACGAGGTTCGCATGCTGGGCATCGCAGACCCCTAGAAACATCAACCGTCAGATTTGCCTCACGATTTGAAATTTGCTCATGTCATGTTTCGACCTCTCTCCCAGCGAGCTGCGTAATGTGTCCTGAGGGCACGGAACAATGCGTCCGGTTCGACGTTCGTTTGTGGTCCTCGCACTGTAGAAAGTGGGTAGCCAGCACACTACAGTAACCTAGAAATAGTCAGGTATCAGAGGGGATCACTTCCGAAACAACCCCTCAAAACGATATGACGTCCGACTCACTTTCGACCCTACGCGCCAGAGTACCAGATCGCGGCACCCCAAAGGTCACGAAACCTCAAACTCTTCGTCAGCTCGCGAATGGGACTACCACGCGTCGCGTCAAGCCTGTTGCGGAAATTGCGATTGTCGAGTGCTGGTTGCTGGGTCTGCGCGAAAACCTTGGCGAATGTCATGCTCCCATGCTACATGCTGATTTTGCGGATCGAAAGCTGCAAATCTGGAACTCCACTATATCGCGTAAAATCCCGTTGTTGAGGATCTTTTTTAATGCCTCCGAACGATCTCGCAAAATAAAAAGAAAAGAAAAAACGATATTTAAGCCGCGATCCTCTGAAACGGACGCAATCTACCGCGCCCTTATAGGATGATAGGCTAGCTGCTAAACGGCCCAGAACTGTACATTACGAGGAGCAAGAGCCATGGCGAAAACGGTGATGGGGTGTCCCAAGTGAATCTCGACAGCCGACGTTATCCTTTAGGGGATGTCGCGGGATTTCGACCATCGGTTCTCTCCGATCTATGGTCGACATCCCTCGACATCCCCCAACGCATGTCGTCGAATGTCGAAATTCATTTTGGACACCCCCTAACTTTCAGCAAATCTGTTACTACACTCCGGTGCCCAAACATCACTGAGGGTTTATCTACACCCTAAATCTAGTTTGTCTCAAATCACGTAGCATAAAAAAGGGGGTACAGTCATTGTCAAGATCGGCTTCTTATCACATTGTGAAATGGAATTGCAGATTGCTCTCGACCAAATATGGCATAGTGTTGGAAAATTCGCAGACCCAAACGGGTTGAGTCAGCCCCTCTGAACTGCCCCAGGGCCCCAACCCCTCGAATTTCCTCTCATACCACCCCGTTCCGTCAGCAGTGTGCACTGTGCACCCATCAGTGAGTTGCTTGAAGGAAACAGAAAACGTGCGGACGTCACGAAATTGTTGTAACATCCCAGCGCGCAGCCTATTGGCGAGGAGGACCATTCCGAGCTGAGTAGGCAGCCCAAACACACCCCAAATCCCCTTTGCTACGTCGGAGAAGATTGAGGTCGCCCTCACAAGTTGAAATCGAAGGTGACGGATTGGTCACATTGGCAGCCAGGAGCGAAACCCATTCAACTGTTTAGACGGCACCAGGTTTTTTGGGTTGCGGAGCAACCTATTGCAATCGATCGAAGATATATTTTTTTTTGGGTTGCGAAGCAACCTATTACAATCGATCGAACATATTTTTTTTTCAAGTTTTGCTGATAAAAAAAACAAGCTTAAGAAATGAAAATGGTCTTTATCTTACTACTAGCACTTGAAATCTGAATCTAATTGGTTCTTGTGTAAGCAAAAATAGTGTAATGATGGGAAATAGATGTCAATGCCCCTGTTTCCCGTCATATCTCATGGCGTATTTTTGTCGAGACAAAAATAGGCTATCGCTTCCCCAACTATGTGCGAGAAGCAAAAAACCTAGTTCATCACAACAAAATCAGGCTGTCGCTTCCCCAGCTCAAGCCTTGGGGGGGGGGAGCTTCAAGCCTAATTGCCAAGAATAAAGTACAAGCAAAAAGCAATACAATTTGTGAATTCCAAAAAATGGTTTGCATTCATCACCTCCAATTCAAATGACTGCACTCAAAGAGAGAGTCAAGAACCTTGCTTGAAGTGATGAAAACAATTCCACTTTTTGAAATACAGTGTATTACTATTACTAGTAGATAAGTGACTACACAAAGACATACAAAACAGTTTGAAACGGTTGCACTGATACATAGACGCGGTTCAGAGATCAATGAATAGTCACGTTGCGTTGCCCATAACGATGCGAGTTAGCATCTTCAACGAGCTGAAACTCTGCTGGAAGTTCTTTAAAAAAAAAAAAAAAAGGAATCAAAGAAAAAGAGTAAGATAAAAACAGAAAACGCACGCAAAACGGATCGGGACGGAGATTGAATGAAAAGGGTAAGTAAGATTAAGATTGGAAACGAAATTGAAGGTGGCACAAGGATTGAAGGGAATGAACAAGGGAGAAAAACAAAGCACTAAAAATAAAAGAGGCGGCAAAGATGGAAGAGAGAGATAAAGTTGGGGGGGTGAATGGAAGGAAGGAAATGGATTGTGCTTACCGTGTCTTCAAGATGCCATCTGAAGATGCAAATATGGGGAGAGAGAAGTAAGAACTCAATGCAAAGGAAGGGGAAGGCTTAGAGTATAGATGAGGAAAGCGGATGAGAATCCGTACCGAGTATTTACATTTCCTCTACTAGCTTGAGAAAAAAATGAGAGAAGAAACTATTAAGATACGGCTGCATGAAAACGCCATTAAACCACAATTCATACCGACCTAGAGTACTCTATCGTACAGCTGAGATAAGAAAGGTACTAGTAGCTGATGTCACGTTGCTGCCTAATCACGTTATCTACTATCACCAATTGCTGGACTTGGGAAAGAGCAAATGGTGAGACTAGGGTATCGAGGAGGAAGAATAGAGCATAAGGCAGTCATGTTTCTGCAGTTCTGAACCCTCGAGCAGAGGAGCTGCGTTCAAACAGCCGCGGTTTTGCAGCTCGGTAAGAGTTTTTTTTTTTCTCGGTCAGAAAGTGCCCCATCGCACTGAAATTCGCGTAATAGTGTTATTTAACAAAAACTATTGGTAGTGTAACTTCGAAATTCGAGTGTGTAACGCGTAATGCATCCAGTGGCGAGTTCGGGGGTTTTGCCTCTTATTGACGGGAAAGAAAATCAGCATTCTGTGGCCAGTGTAGCTATGCTGGTGTCATTGCCACGTCGGATCTAATTCCGTCTGGAAGTTACGCGTGACGAGCCTTGCTTCTACGCCAAAAAAATAGCATTGCCAGGTGGCCAGATTTGCTCGCCACAAGTCAATTGTGGCCGCTGTCATCACGTAATCAAACAAAATTAAAGAGAGGGTCTCAAGAAGCGCGAAACCAAATCCAGAAGGTTTGGTTTTGGGTTGACGAAATTAGCGAAACAGTAACAGCGCCCAACCAGCGCCCCTCACCACACCTCGCAATTTTCGAGACCCCCCGAAACCAAAACCTTTGGATTTGGTTTTCTGCTCCTTTAAAACGGAAACTCCCGACGGCTGGGCATTTGGCGGAAAGGCGAAAAACATTTCAGACGCACGAAAAATAGAGGACACATTACGGAAACACGGCTACAGTGGAACAACAAGGAATAAACTATTCAAGAAAACTGTACAAGCAGAAACGAACAACAAAGAAACTGATTCAAACAGCGTGGCACGATTTTAGAACAGTAACGCAAGTCGCGCAAATTAAACCCAAAATTTATATAGTATAAATATACGTAAAAAGTCAATTGTATGCCCAAGTGTATTAAATGCATTCACATTGTGATTTCATGTACTTCTATTGATGCACTATGCCACAACTTATCTATTTAATGCTTACATTGTATATATTAATCCATTATTATGTGTTAACAGATAATAACGCTTTGAATTTTGATAACTAGCGTAACCATGTTTATTTAAATAGAATTAATATATCTATACAATATAAGCTCCGCAACCCTAAGACGATTGCGTCGTCTCTTGTTTTTTTTTTGGGGCTTTAAGGAGATCCCAGTGTGAACGCGCAACACACTGAAACACACCAACAACAGTGCCCCTGCGCAAAGAATATAAAAGTAGCCACCGTCACTCCGGAGTACACCCCGAATTCTTCGGGGCGTCGGGAGATACTCCTGGCGGTCGGCTCCCCGCGCGGTCACGTACAGTCACATTCCAGAAGAAAACAAACGCAGCCGTCCTGACATTCACGGTTGATTCTAACGACGTTCAGGGTGTATACCGTCCGTCGTTCTTCCGTACAGCAGATAAGACGTTTCGTTTCTGTACTGTACTGGCTAGAGAAACGCACGAACCAGGCCGTTCCATACAAATTTGTGCTCCCCGCATGGCAGCTTCCGACCGGGGTTGGCGGTGCTGGCAGTATGGTTTGGACGGTAGTGATCCGTCCATTTTGGTAAGGGCCAATTTCACATTTCACATTCACTTCCCCTCCCCATCCCACCCAACCACCATTTTCTAACGGCACGCCAGTCCAGGTGAGCCAGGCCCGTCCTTGGTGAAACTGACATCCATGTATTGGTCCCGATTTTCGGACCAAGCGGGACTGTCCTTGTCAACGAGCCGCAAATCAAGCACGAGCCGCATTTCTTTGAAAGGCCGTGTCGCCCTTCGGCATTTGCACGTAAGAAATTGGACATTCCATCCGAATGTGACATGCGATGGGATGGCACTATAGAGAGCTCCATTTTTGTGAGGGTCGTTGCAGCACGGCAACAGCATCACTGCAACACAGAAGCATGAGCTAGCACGCCTGCCGTGCATTGCTCTCATCTTGTATGGCGTGTGAGTGAGAGCAAGGACAGTACTGTACAAGAGAAGCAGCAGCACCAAAGTGGTTGCTCCCTTGCTCCCCCCGCAGTTCCCGTTGGTGAATCAACTACTGTTCCTTCTCACTGGTTTGGCTTGGCCTATTTCTGCCTTCACACGTCGCTCGATACAATGCCGTATCCTTCACCCTCTGCTATGCTCTGCTCTGTTCCCCCAGCTTGAAATGTTAGCCCCATCCACTACACGCCGTGCTCGTAAGATCAAAGAGGCGCAGACGAGCCCCAAAAGCTTCTTCCCATGTAGGTCTCTGTTCCGTCCATCCACTTTGGAGTGTGCTTGAAACCTACACAGACCAACTAGCCAGGCCGCACTGACGCCAGGACGGTCCACGCGCGTAAACAGAGAAGTCATCGCGGATGTGGGGTAGGTGCCGCCGGTATTATTTACTTGCTAGTCAACGCACCATTGGCGCGGCGTCTATCTGCGCGCCTAGTCGGCTCCTACAGCTTACGCATCATCGAGCGACTTTTGAGTCGACTCAGAAGATCGCGTCGCGCGCGTCGTTCGATCCACTGACCATGGCAGTGAGCGCTCAGACTGCGGACGAGGCGGCGTTCTAGCCATATTCTTCTGATCTTATTATTACTATCGGAGAGCGTCTTATTATAGGCACACGGCTAAGCCCGCGAACTAGGGCGCGTAGGGCGGCCCGCGGTCATGGCTTTAGGAACCGTTTATCCGGAACAGGACAGCGTGGAGCGAAGCGAACCAGACAATGCCATCATGCCACCTGGAAGCCCCAGCCTGAGCGCAATCGCGGCGACCGCGGCGTCGCTGACGACCGACTCGTACAGCATCCTTGCCAGCGCGGACCTGACGTCAGCGCTCTCCCTGGCCGAACACGTGGCACGCCTGACGACGTCCCCGCACCTGTACGTGCATCGCAGCAGCGTCGAAAAAGTTGCCGTGTGCGTGCGACAGCTGCTGCCGACCCTCCACCTCCTAAAAACCTCCGCGCCGTCGCTCTCCTTCGACCCGCGCTCCGCGTTCGTCCTCCGCCGCCTGGCTTCGGAATTAAAAGACGTTATCGCGTTGCTGAAGGCGTGCAAGCTGACTATACCGGGGATGTTTTTCAGCCTGGGGCATCATCATAAGAACTTGGCGCGCCGAGCAGACGCGTGCGTGACGGAGATTCGACATTGTCACACCGTCTGCTCGATGCTGCTGGGGCAGGCTTCCACCACGACCACCACCACTACTAAAATCGCCGCCGACAGCCTGCCGCTCTCGACCTCGTTAGTGTCACACGCCGCGCCGCCGCCGCAGAACCACTTCCCGTTACGCACCGTCTCCTGCAGTCACACCAGCGGGTCGAGCAAAGAGCCGTCTTCCGCGTTGCTCGAGTCGTACAGCGGGAGCGGAACCACCGGCGGGAGCGGAAGCTCGGGGATGTTCCCCCGAGCGGAACAGCCGGCGCGGGTGCTGCAGCAGGTGGCGGAAATGTTCCCCCAGAGCCCCATGATTGGCCCCTCCGCGGGTACCTTCTCCGCCAAAGACTCCGCTTCCGCCAAGCCGTCCGGGATGATGACGTGGCAGCAGATGCAGGTGCGCGGGATTCCCCTGAGGTCGATCTCCGCTTCCGCGGCGTCCGGGTTTGGCGGGCCGGCAGCGGGAGGACTGTACGGGAGAGGCGGGTCCGCGGGACGGCAACGACCGGGACTGCTAACAGGGACCCCAACGCTGGCGCTACTAGGGGGGGAGCGGGGGGAGCACGACAGCAGCGCGGCAGATGCTGCGGCCTCCGCAGCACTCGCCTTGATAGGAGCAACCGGCAGCGGCGGCGGAGGCGGCGCAGGCAGCGCTGGGGGCTGGGGTGGGGGCGGGGACGGAGACGGAAGCCGCTTCGCCAGCCGCACGTACACCGTGTCCTCGGGATCAACGGGCAGGATGCAGTCGTACTATGGCTCGATCGCAGTCTCCCCTCGTCCGCTCAGCCCCGCGACCGCCGCTGCCGCCGCCGCTGCCGCCGCGTTCGCCGCGCCGAGGATGTTCTCCCCGCGGCGCCCCCGTGCGTCGTACCCGCTGCCGTCCGCGCTCAACCGGTCCAGCATCTCCGCCGCAGCGGCGGCGAGCGCCAACGTGTGTCGCGTCGTGGACTCGTTGGCGGAAGGGTCGGCGGAGGACAAGCGCGCGGCGCTGGCCGCGCTGATGGATGTGATTGTAACGGATGAGGGGAAGCTGCAAGCCGCGGCGGCGGGGGCGGTGCCGGTGCTGTCGGTGCTGCTGTCGCTGCCTGAAGACGACTTCCTATTGGACAATGACTCGATGCTCCATGGTTGCGTGGACGACGATTGGTCCCTGGGAGGGGGGGTGCTTCCAGGCGGGGGAAGCGGAGAGGGAAGCGTGGGTAGCCGCGGAACGGGGAAAGGTCGGGGGGGTAGCGGAGGGGGCCTTCCAGGGGGGATAGGTTGCGGGAGGGGGGCGGTGGCGGCATTGCTTCCGCTTCCGCCGCTTCCCGAACCCCCCCCGCGGGAGTCGCTGAACCTTCTGGTGGCGCGCGCTTTGGTGCAGCTTTCCGCGCTTCCCGCTAACTGCCAGGTGATTGCTAAGGCCGGCTGCGTGCCGTCGTTAATCGCCATGCTCCGCGGCGGCAATCCCGAGGCGCAGGCGGTCGCGGTGAACCTGTTGCTGAACCTTGCGACGGGCTGCGACAGCGACGGCGACAGCGTGTCGCCCGCGATTGTCGCAGGCGACGCGATTCCGTCGCTCGTCGCCATCGTCCAATCAGCAAGCGAGGCGAAAGTCCGGCGACAGGCGATGGAGGCTCTCGCGCACGTCGTCGCGAAGGCCAAGGAGAACCAAGACGCCGCGGCGCGAGCCGGCGCGATCCCGATACTAACAGAAACGTTAAGGGAAGGCTCGCTGCTGGTACAAGAAAAGGCGGCATTCGCGCTGGGGTCTATCGCGGAGAATAACGACGAAAATAAAGTAATGATTGCTGGGACGGGAGCCGTGCCGCCGCTACTAGATCTCCTCCTGTGCGGGCCGGCAGACATCAGTTTGCAGGAGCGCGTTTCACGGCGGGCGGCGTGGGCGTTGTTTGTGCTGAGCTCGCATCGTTTGTCCGCTTCGTATATTGTCGCCTCGGGTGGGTTGGATGTCGTGAAACGAGCGAACGTGGAGGGGCCGTCGGATACGAGGGAATGGACGGCAAAGATCATCCCGGTTCTGGAGCCTGTAGCGGATATGCACCAGCAGGAGCAGCAGCAGGCGGCGTGGCAGCAGAAGTGGACCAATCAGCGGCGGGGGAGGAGAGATGACACCGACCTGCGAACGTCGTACGATGACGTGGCATCGCCTCAGGAGGTGCAGCGTTGGAACGAGCAGATACCGTCCAGATTCCATGAACAGGAAAGTAGCTGCCCAGAGGGGTCAGCTCTGGGCGAAAAGGACACAGAACACGGGCAGAGGAGAAAACAGTGGCAAGAGGACGTGCAGGCGGAAGCAAAAGAAGATCAGCGAGCGAGGGATACGTTTCGTGAGGAAAAGGGCGCAGGCTGTCAGGGAGAGGCGGGTAAGGTGTTCAGGAGGAGTTATGAGGAGTTGGAAAAGATAGGGGGTCGGGTGCAACCCCTGGGAAGTGAAGTGAAAAGCTCCGAGGCACAGGTGAAACAGCAGCAGCTTACTGCACGGGAGGAGCTGGAGGAAAACGAAGTGCAGCAGCAGCACAAGCAGGAGCAGCAGCTGCAGGAAGGGAAACAGCAGAAGGAACAGAAGCAACACAAGAAGCAACAGCAGTCACCACAGCAGACGAAGCGGCCAGTGTGGCAGTTTAGTGTTCATCCCTCATCACCAAACTCAGGTGGAAGCTTGAGGCAGCTGTGCAAGCAGAGGCAGCAGTCACCACAGCAGCAGCAGCAGCAGCAGCAACAAAGCAAGTCAACCAGCAATGCCAGGTGAGCATTGCAGCTGGATTGGTTGCTAGGTGTACAAGCAAATTTGGTAAACTAGTTCTAAGTCTTTCTGCATGCTTCATAGTTGCACAAAAGCAAGTTTCATCATGCTTGCTTTGCACTGTCTCTTATTCATCTCCCATCACTGTGTTCTTGGTTCCCGATACCAGACCATGCAGGGCTCACAAGCAGGAATCATGACTCTGGGAGATACGTTGTGCTAACAACTTACCCTGGTAGCGTGTTTAGTCCAAAGGCGAGCGAGAGGCGAGTAATTGCTAGCCGTCGCCACCCTCCTATGGAGCTTCCATAACTTGATCATAATTCTAGGTTTTGTTTTGGAAAGTACAAGCCACTCGTTTTCTTTGCATGTTTGCAGAGTCTGACTAACTTGATTACTGCTTTGCATTGATTGTGCGTTATGTAGCACATTCAATCTGATTTAGAAACTCATATTGTAAGCTCGCAACTAGAGCAAGTGCATCCTGATCGGGTAAGTGCGTCCTGCTTGTAGCGGCGACGGGAGTGAACCATCATTTTCGAGCTTTCAAATATCTGCGAGGCAGTAACAGTGGAAGGGAATGGAAGTTGCTGTTGGATGCACCGAAGTTCGTTGAACCAGCACTGCATGGGCGGGTGGCTTCACGACGAAGATCGTGATGACCTTGTAACGGGTCATCCGTTAGAAACCACATCGTTGTGATGCTGTACTTTGCTTGTCGCGATGGACATGTTGGTGCAAGGAATGGGGTAACGGAAGGTAGCAGGGTTTCGTAAGATTGCAGTGATGCGGCGTACTGTACAGTAGTGGGTGGTGGCGACGCATTTGTTTTGCATACGGTAATTTCGCTAAGGGGTGGTGTTGGCGTGGAAGTCGAGCAGCAGAGGGAAGTGGCTTTGCATGACAGGGGCACTGGCAACCGAACCAGAAACGGCTCCCCTAAAAAATACCCTACTCAGCGCTGCAGTATAAAAACACATTTTACTTAGCTAAGTACCATGTCGTCATCGCGCCATTGGCGGTTTGGCATCTCTCAAGGTAAAAGTTCCACGTTTCCCTTTTTTCGTAACGGAGTGCTCCCTATTTACCAGAAACGGGTTCCTGTTCTTGTTCCATCCACATCTTCTGTGGCCGAAAAATCAGGGCACGCTCCCGTAACCTCCGCACCGCACCACACCACAGCCCATTACAGTACCACTTTCAGATTCCAGACCGCACCAATCCCAGGACAGCCAGACTGTGCCGCAGGGAAGCCATTTTCCCTCCAATGCACACCTGTTACTGCAACCACTGCTGCCTCTGCTCCATCTTCGAGCAAACTCCTCTCTTGGCACACTCTATCCTCCTCCCTCCCTTCTTTTCGTAGCTTCTGAATCCCAACATTGAGTGCTCGCCGTTGGTACTGTACTAGTAATCTTGTATCACAAGCTTGCATGACTAATTCCGCGAAATAGTAGGTCCATAGACAGCGAGTGCTCGTATACTGTGCCATACTTTCGCCGTTTTAAATAGCTCAAGCGTCGCCTACCGAAAGATCCTTCAAATTCTCCCATGTCGCCCGTGACGATAAGATCTTGTCCCTCGGCGGCAAAGGCTGGACGAGCATCGATCATCTTCGAAGCGATACTCTGTGAATCGACACTTTGTGAATGATGTCGCTGTAGTTCGCGCGAGCCGTGCTCCACCCGAAAGCTTAGCGGAGAATGCCGTTCACGAAAGACCGAGCCACTCGAACTGAAAAACAGCAGTTATGAAGAAGGATTGACTACTTTTGGAAATCATTTAATTTAATTCTATCGACACAATAGACCCAAGCACATCTCTGCTTTTGAAAGTCACCTTGGGTTGTACACTTCCATCTCGAGTAGCTACTCGTAACGCGTTGCCACTTGTAACGCGTTAGCAGGGTTCCCCGAATGACGTACACGTCTCGCGAGAACGGCACGAGTGACTTCCGACATTCGACGGTCCTGTTCCCTCAGGGCAGCAAGCAACAGCCTTCACCGTCCCGTCTCTCCCCCCGCGGTGACTTTTGAGTCGACTCAAAAGTCATCTTCCGACATTCGACGGTCCTGCTCCCTTAGCGCAGCAAGCAACAGTCTTCACCGTCCCGTCTCTCCCCCCGCACTCCACAGCAGCAGCCTTTTAGTCGACACACGAGCAGACTCACTCGCTGCGTCCAACGGAGACAGCAGATGGCTTTTGAGTCGACGCGAAAGACGCGGCTGCCATTCTTTGGGGAGCTCCTGGCGTCCATGTTGGTTGTGCTGCTGCTGCTTGTTCGGGAAGTCAGTCCCGTTGCAGGTATGCCAAAGTTCTGCTTTTGAATCTGCTTGTGAGTGCTCTCAAAAGCTTTTAAGTCAACGCAAAAGCAGTGGCCGCCATTCTTTGGGAGCTCCTGGCGTCCCTGCTGCTTGTGCTGCTGTTGCTGCTGGCACGCGAAGTCAGTCCCGTTGCAGGTATGCCAAGGGTCTCGACGTGACGTTAGAGTCGACAGCAGATGGCTTTTGAGTCGACGCAAAAGCAGCGGCCACCAGCGTTGGGGAGCTCCTGGCGTCCCTGCTGGTTGTGCTGCTGCTGCTGGCACGAGAAGTCAGCCCCTTTGCAGGTATGCCAATGGTCTGCTTTTCAATCTGCTTTTGAGTGTCCTCAAAAGCTTGAGTCGACTCGAAAGCAGTGGCCGCCATTATTTGGGGAGCTCCTGGCGTCCCTGTTGGTTCTGCTGCTGCTGCTGCTGCTGCTGCTGCTGCTGGCACGGGAAGTCCGTCTCGCTGCAGATATGCCAAGGGTTTCGGTTCAGGATGGTTCTGGAAATTTTTTTGAGTCAGACTCAAAAGTCGACTCAAAAATCACCTCAAAAATTGCCAAGGGTTTCGGTTCAGGATAGTTCTGGAAAGTTTTTCAAGTGCCATTTTATCCACGGGGCTTTTCCTTTGTTTTCCTCTCTCCCTGTTCCTCCAACCCCTCCTCCCTCACCCACTCCCTTTCCCTCCCGTCCCTCCCGTCCCTCCCTCTCCCCCCCTTTTCCCTTCCTCCCTCCATCTCCCCCCATTGTCCCTCCCTTCCCCCCATCTCCCCCACTTGTCCCTCCCTTCCCCCCATCTCCCCCACTTGTCCCTCCCTCTCCCCCCATCTCCCCCACTTGTCCCTCCCTCTTTCCCCCTTGTCCCTCTCTTCTCTCTCTCTCCCCCCCTTCTTCCTTCCTCCCTCCATCTCCCCCCCTTGTCCCCCTTCCCTCCCTCTCCCCCCCTTTTCCCTCCCTCCCTCCATCTCGCCGTCCCTCTCCCCCTCCTCCTCTCTCCCCTCCACCAGCGGCCTGCCCTCTGCTGTCCGAGGTGCATGTGGACCCGGCTGCCAACAGTCAGACCGTCGAATGCTGCAGAGACTCTCTCTCTCTCTCTTTCTCTCTCTCTCTCTCTCTCTCTCTCTCTCTCTCTCTCTCTCTCTCTCTCTCTCTCTCTCTCTCTCTCTCTCTGTGTCTCTCTCTCTCTCTTCAATCCCCCCCCTCTCTCCCCCCTCCTCCTCCCCCCCTTCCCTGCCCACCTCCCCCTTCCCCCCCCCACCAGCGGCCTGCCCTCTGCTATCCGAGGTGCATGTGGACCCGTCAGCCAACGGTCAGGCAGCCGACTGCTGTGGAGATTCCGGCACTCCTTGTGGTGAGTCTGTCTTTGACGCGCAAGAGTCGGCTCACAGGTGTTTGAGAATTCTAAAAAACCAACTGACTCCAGCAGTCCCTGTGGTGAGTCTGTCAGTGTGCGCTGGAGTTGCCTGAAAGGGGGAGGGCAGGGCTAGGCTAGAGATGTCGCGTGGCGTGACATTTGTATTATTAAAGCCCGACCGGCAGGTTGCAAGTCCCCTTTTCTCAAGATGCTGCACCTTGAGGCCCCCGTAACCGAGCAGCTAGCGTCAAACTGCCATAAGCTCTCGAGGGGTTTCCAACCTGGCTGGGCTGCGGACCTCTCGGAACTTGGCAGTGCCAACCTGCCAAGTTCTTCGTGGGGAGAATCGGGACGAGTTGGGTGGGGGGTAGAAACCTGAATTTGTACTCGCAGTTTGGGCGAGAATTGAGAAACAAAAATGTGCCTCGATTTTTTTGGTGTCGCATATTATCGAACAGTACAGTGCGTCAAACCCCATCCGATTGTTTTTCGACAGCGGGCAGGACGAGGGGTTGGTTGTGATCGAGACAGCCAATCGGTCACCCTGCAATGCAAACTTGGCAGAGCTGGCGAGGTGGTTCTCCGCCAGAGTGAGAGCTCCAAAACTTGGCAGCCCTGCCAAGTTTCCAGCCCCACTAGCTTGCGCGAACCAAACGCTGACTCTGCGAGGCCCAGACTTCGCCAGTAAAATTCGTTTCTACACGTTTTGTTGGCCAATCGGATTCTGCCGCCCCACCAACCTGAACAGTACTAATATGCAACCTGCCGGGGGGGCTTTAAGGTGTGTTTCGAGTGGGCTCAAAACACGCCGACTGCTGCTGCAGAGACTCCAGCAGTCCCTGCGGTGAGTCTGTCTGTGTGCACTAGAGTCGGCTCAAAGCGGGGAGAGCTAGAGATGTCGCGTGACGTGGCATTGTATCCAGAATCCAGGTGTGTTTTGAGTCGACTAAAAACACGCCGACTGCTGTGGGGACTCTGGCAATCCCTGTGGTGAGTCTGTCTGTCTGCGCTGGGGTCGATCAAAGAGAGGAGGGCTAGTGGGCTGTGGCATGGCAACTGAGTCAAATCCTGCTCTGCTTTGAGTTCAAGATTCTTTGCTTTTCTATTCATGCTGTACTTACAATAGGGCTCCTTCTGAGTCGACTCAAAAGCTGTTTCTGAGAATTCTAAAAAATGACTCAAAGGCTGTTTTTTCTGTTCATGCTGTAATCACGAAAGGGCTCCCGTTGAAAGCTTGTTCGTCTTGCAATGCTGGTACTACTACTACTACAGTCTGCACCCATTTCGCTTCGGGGCTCTCCCTTTCTCCTTTTGAGTCGACTCAAAAGTCGGCTCCCATTGAAAGCTTGTTCATCTTGCAACGCTGGTACTACTACTCTACAGTCTGCACCCCTTTCATGGCCCTCCCTTTCTCCCTTTACCCTTGCCCTCACGCTCTCCCTTTCTCCCTTCACCTTCCCACGTTCTATACCTTCCGTGCCATACCTTGCGTCCTCTCCCTCCCTATCTCAGGCTTAATCGAGCAAGCCCTCACAATGTAAGACTCTGCGCCTTCCTCTGCAAATTCTAAAAAAACCAGAGCTCTAAAAAACCAGAGCTCTAAAAAACCAGAGTTCTGAAAAACCAGAGTTCTAAACAACCGGCATTCCGTCCCTCACTCAGGCTCAATCGAGCAAGCCCTCTCCATGTAAGTCTCTGCACCTTCCTCTGCACCTTCCTCTGCACCTTCCTCTGCTCTCCCCCCTCTCCACTTCCTGTAGCAAAGCCACCAATTCTCCTCTGCACCCGCCCCCCCCCTGCGTCTACTCTTGCTAACCCTATGACATCTCCCCACCTTCATCTTCCCCTAACACGATCTTTTTCTCCCCATCGCTCTCCCACTCTCCCCCTCTCCCCTCGTTCCGCCTCCACTCATTGCCTTGCCCTCAATGCGGTAAGGTGCTTTTTTAGAATTCTCCAAAACCAACTTCTCCCCATCGCTCTCCCGCTCTCCCCCTCTCCCTCTCTCCCCTCGTCTCTCCTCCACACATTCCCTTCCCCTCAGTTTCTCTCCCCTCGTCTCGCCTCCACTCATTGCCTTCCCCTCGATGATGCATGCACTGATGCTGTCACTCACATACACCTTCCCCCTTGCCATTCTTTCTAGTGCCTCCTTCCCTCCTTCCTTTTTTTTCATTTTCCTTCCTTTTTTCATTTTCCTTCCTTTTTTCATTTTCCTTCTTTTTTTCATTTTCCTTCCTTTTTTCATTTTCCTTCTTTTTTTCATTTTCCTTCCTTTTTTCATTTTCCCTCCGTTTTCATTTTCCTTCCTTTTTTCATTTTCCTTCCTTTTTTCATTTTCCTTCCTTTTTCATTTTCCTTCCTTTTTTCATTTTCCTTCCTTTTTTTCATTTTCCTTCCTTTTTTCATTTTCCTTCCTTTCTTCATTTTCCTTCCTTTTTCATTTTCCTTCCTTTTTTCATTTTCCTTCCTTTTTTCATTTTCCTTCCTTTTTTTCATTTTCCTTCCTTTTTTCATTTTCCTTCCTGTCCATTTAACGCCCCATTCCCCATTCCCCATTCCCCATTCCCCATTCCCCATTCCCCAACCCCCATCCCCCATCCCCCATCCCTCATCCACCATTCCCCATTCCCCATTCCCCATTCCCCTTAGCCTCCACCATACTTAACTGCCCCACACGCACTTTGTTCACCTCCCTTCACCTTCGCATCCCTTCACCTCCCCTTCCCCAACCCCCACCAGTATCCCTCCTACTGGCAGCGCCATCCTCCTCTCCCCAGGCACTCACTCCGTCTCCCCCCAGGGCCTGCAGCTAGGGGGCCGTCCCCTCACCATCGCTGCTGCAGCAGCTGCAGCTGCTGATATCGCTGCTGCTGCTGCTGCTGCTGCTGCTGGTGGTATTGCAGCTGATGCCTCTGTTCTCTTTTCCCTTCCCCATCCCCATCCCCCACCAGCCTACCCTCTACTGGCGGCACCATCCTCCTCTCCCCAGGCACTCACTCCGTCTCCCCCCAGGGCCTGCAGCTAGGGGGCCGTCCCCTCACCATCGCTGCTGCTGCAGCTGATGCCTCCGCCTCTGCATCTCCCTCCCCTCTCACTCTAATCAACTGCACCAGCGACAGCAGCAGAAGCAGCAGCCCGTGCTTGAATGCCACGTGTGTACCTCCCAGCGCGGGAGCAGCAGCAGCAGGGGGGGAAGGAGCTGCAGGAGTGGGGAGCATGTGTGGGGAGCAGCAGGCGAAGCTAGTCCTACGGGGAGTGGTAGTGGCCAATGGTATGGCGGATACCCGCAGTGGCGGCACCACCAGCAGCAGGGGAACTGGCAGCGGTGGTGGCACTAGCATCGGCGGTACTGGCAGTGGTGGTTGTCTCCTGGTGCAGGGGCAGGCTGTGGAGGTAGTCAACTCCTCGTTTGTCAATTGCATGGCTGCGGACTGTGGTGGGGCAATCTTTGCTGCCTCCTCCAACAACGTCACCATCACGGGCTCGCACTTTGAAGCCTGTAAGGCTCTTGGGGGCACTCCTGCTGCTGCTGTGGGTGTTGGTGGTGGTGCTGCTGCTGCTGCTGCTGGACCAGGGACTGTGGGCAAAGGAGGAGGGGCCATTGCTCTGTACAATGTTGCCCACGTGGCGGTCTCTGATTCGTCTTTTCACAAGTGCTCCTCCCTGGCAACCAATGGCGGCGGCCTGGACATCATCTCGTCCAATGCCGCGCTGACAGCTGTCCGCTTCTCCGGCTGCCACGCGCAGGGCCTGGGCGGCGCGGTCTCGTCTGCTCTGTCCAACGTGACTGTAACGGATTGCCGGTTCCGAGACACGCACGCGATGCGGGGGGGATGCTTCGCGGACAATTCCTCTCCGTTTGTCTCGATCTCCTCCTCCTCCTTTCTCCGTTGCAAGGCGGATATAATGCAAGAAGGAGACATTTACAGCTCAGTAAACGGAGGAGGGGTGGCTCTTAACGCAACTGTGTCAGTCACTATTTTCAACTGCACCTTCTCTCGTTGCCTGGCTTCTATGGATGGCGGGGGCCTCGACGCCCTCGACCCTGGAAACCTCACTATAATCTCCTCCGTTTTTAGCCATGGCTCCACTTACAATCCGACTGGAGGTGGGGGGGGTGCAGTGTCCACCCGAGGCGGTAGCGTAACGATTCGAGGAACCCTGATGGAGAAAAACTGGGCGAACAGCTCGCTGGCCAGTTTCGGCGGCGCAATCTCGATATTGGATACTGCAATAGAGATATTTAATTCTACTTTTAAGGAGAATATTTGCTACGGGTATCTGTATGGTGGGGCGGCGAGTCAAGGCGCGGCGATAAACCAGGCGTGGACGAGGAGGGAGGCAGTGATTCCTCTGCTGATGGACGGGTGTGTGTTTGAGCGCAACGTGGCGGACGCGGCCACGGTGGGGTACTTTGAAGGGCACGCGACTGTGCGGCGGTCGAGGCACGTTGGGAACGAAGCACAGTACCGGCATGGAGGCGCTTGTGAGTACGGGGGGGGTCCTTGTGAGTACGAGGGGGGGTCCTTGTGAGTATGGGGGGATGTGAGTATGGGAAGTTATGGATGGATGTGTGACACGTAGGATCCACTCCAAGGGGGTGTGTGTTTGAGCGGAATGTGGCGGATATTGGCACAGTGGGGTACTTTGAAGGGCACGCGACTGTGCGGCGGTCGAGGCACGTTGGGAACGAGGCACAGTTCCACCCACGACGATGGAGGCACATGTGAGTACTGGGGGGGGTCCTTGTGGTTATGAGAGGGAGGATGGGGCATGATAGCGCGGGAACGAAGCATGTTGGGAGCGAGGCGTGCTGGTTGGGAACGAAGCACGTTGGTTGCTGGGCACAGTTTCACCCGCCACGATGGCGGCACATGTGAGTACTGGGGGGGGTCCTTGTGGTTATGAGAGAGGGGGGGATGAGAGTGTGGGACACGCTCGTATGGGATCATGCGTTTTCGTGTGAGGCTGTGCATTGCCTTCGCGTTCGCACCGTTTCCGACCTCCCATCTCCCATCTCCCATCTCCCATCTCCCATCTTCCATCTCCCATCTCCCATCTTCCATCTCCCATCTCCCATCTCCCATCTTCCATCTCCCATCTCCCATCTCCCATCTCCCATCTCCCATCTCCCATCTCCCATCTTCCATCTTCCATCTCCCATCTCCCAGCTTCCATCTCCCATCTCCCATGCACTCCCTTCCCTTCCCACCCAACCCACCAGACTTCGCCTCGATGAGCACGACCAAAGAGGACGGGGGGGGGGAGGAGGGTGGTGGCAGACACCACCCACCCCACCTTAACGCATGTCTCCCATGCACTCCCCTCCCTTCCCACCTAACCCTCCAGACTTTGCGTTGATAACAAGACCATAGAGGATTGCCTGTTTGCCCACAGCACAGCGGTGCATGCAAGACAGGCGGGGGGCAGACACCACCCACCCCACATTAACGCCTGTCTCCCCTCCCATGCAACCCCTACCAACCCTCCAGTCGTTGCCTTGTTGAACTCGACCATAGTGGTTTGCCTGTTCGCCCGCAACAACACAGTGCTGCATGCAGGGGGGGGGGGGGGGTCATTCACCACCCACCCCACCTGAACGCCTGTCTCCCCTCCCATGCATCCCCTTCTCAACCCTCCAGACTATGCCCTGATGAACTCGACCATAGAGGACTGCCTCTTCGCCCACAACACAGCGGTGCAGGACGGGGGCGCTGTTGTCACGTCTGGTCTGCTGAGCACTGTCATCCGCGGCTCTGTGTTTGTCAACAACACGGCGACTTCTGGGGAGGGAGGGGCGATCGCTGTGCTGGATGTGAGTGCATGGACTGGAATGGAACGAGTCAGCCTGAGTCAGGCAAAACCCAGATAAACGAGTCAACAGAGTCAAACGAGTCAATCCAATGGAGTTACACAAGCCAGTAAACCGAGTCAAACAAGTCAACGGGGGCCTGCTGGGCACTGTCATGCGCGGCTGTCATCCTCTCTTGTTGGCGTTGTCTTGGCCGCTTGTTGTCATCATCTTGGCCTCTTGTTGTCTCCTCCCCTACCTCTCTCCTCCCCTACCTCTCTCCTCCTCTACCTCTCTCCTCCCCTACCTCTCTCCTCCCCTACCTCTCTCCTCCCCTACCTCTCTCCTCCCCTACCTCTCTCCTCCTCTACCTCTCTGCTCCCCTACCTCTCTCCTCCTCTACCTCTCTCCTCCCCTACCTCTCTCCTCCCCTACCTCTCTCCTCCCCTACCTCTCTCCTCCTCTACCTCTCTCCTCCCCTACCTCTCTCCTCCCCTACCTCTCTCCTCCCCTACCTCTCTCCTCCCCTACCTCTCTCCTCCCCTACCTCTCTCCTCCCCTACCTCTCTCCTCCCCTACCTCTCTCCTCCAATACCTCTCTCCTCCCCTACCTCTCTCCTCCTCTACCTCTCTCCTCCTCTACCTCTCTCCTACCCTACCTCTCTCCTCCCCTGCCTCTCTCCTCCCCTACCTCTCTCCTCCTCTACCTCTCTCCTCCCCTACCTCTCTCCTCCCCTACCTCTCTCCTCCCCTACCTCTCTCCTACCCTACCTCTCTCCTCCCCTACCTCTCTCCTACCCTACCTCTCTCCTCCCCTACCTCTCTCCTCCCCTGCTCTCCCCATCCCCCAGGGCACAGAGTTTGCGATGGTGGTGGAGGGGAGTCGCTTTGGAGGGGAGTCGCTTTGGAAGGGAGTCGCTTTGGAGGGGAGTGGCTTTGGAGGGGAGTGGCTTTGAGGCCAACTCATGCGTCTATCGCTTTCCTCTCCTCTCTTCTTCTCTTCCCCACCCCCAGGGCACAGCGGGCACGGTGCTGGTGGAGGGGTGTCGCTTTGAGGGCAATGCAGCGTTGGCATCCAAGGGGGGAGCCATCTCCGCGGCCACTGCTGCCCTCACAGTCGCCAACTGCACCTTCCTTGGCAGCCACGCGCTTGTCAAGGGCGGTGCTGTCGCAGGTGGGTCGGTGCTTGAGGGTAGTGGGGTTTCGGGTTGAACGTATGAGTTGTAGATGGATTACAGGTGGGCGGCGGAGGCCTTATTACCATCAAGTCTGTAGGGTAGTGGGGTTTCGGGTTGAAGGTACTACTGAGTACTGCCGCCATCACAGTCGCCCACAGCACCTTCCACCGCAGCAGCCACGCCTTTGCCGCTGTTTCACCTTTCTCTCACTCCCTTTCGCCTTTCCATCCATCCCTCTCTCTCCTCCCTCCGGCACTATCGAATCCCACTATTTGTGTGTAATGAGTCGATTTTTGAGTCGACTCAAAAATCGACTCATTACACTCACTCTCCTCCCTCCGGCACTATCGAATCCCACTATTTGTGTGTAATGAGTCGATTTTTGAGTCGACTCAAAAATCGACTCATTACACTCACTCTCCTCCCTCCGGCACTATCGAATCCCACTATTTCTCCCCACCACCGCTGGCAGAAGCACCGCCAGCACCACCGCCCCCCTCCCTCCAGCTCGCTTCCTGAACGTGACCTTTGCAGCGAGCAACGCTTCGCTGGGGGGGGCAGCGCTGCATCTGAGCATGGCGGCCCGCGCACAGCTTGATGGGTGCCACTTGGAGGGGGTTCCTTCTGTCCCACTTCTTCGAACTTTCTCACACTCTATCCCTTCCACCTTCCCTCCCTCCCTCCCTCCCTCCCTCCCTCCCTCCCTCCCTCCCTCCCTCCCTCCCTCCCTCCCTCCCTCCCTCCCTCCCTCTCACTTTTTCTCCCCTTCGGCAGTATCAAACCCCACTTCTCCTCCCAGCAGCACCACCGACACCACCGCCCCCCTCCCTCTAGCTCGCTTCCTGAACGTGACCTTTGCAGCCAGCAACGCCTCCCTGGGGGGGGCGGCGCTGCATCTGGGCATGGCGGCCCGCGCACGGCTGGAGGGGTGCCGCATGGAGGGCGGGCAGGCGAGCAACGGAGGGGGAGTGATGCTGGAGGAGTTTGCCCAGCTGGAGATGGCGCGGTCGGAGTGCACAGGGAACAGGTGAGCTGGGACTGAGCAGGAGCGAGGAAGGAGGGGGGATAATTCTCACATGGAGATGGAGCGGTCGCAGTGCTCTGAGAACTGGTGAGCTGGGACTGGTGGTTGTGATTCGAGGCACGTTGGAATACGCTGGTAGGGTGCTGCATCAAGGGTGGGCAGGCCAGCAACAGAGGCAGGGTGATGCTGGATGAATTCGGCCAGCCGGAGATGGAGCGATCGGTTCATCCAGCATCAGCTGGAGATGGAGCGATCGGATTGCACAGGGAACAGGTGAGCAGATGCTGACTGGGGAATGATGTGCTAGTAAGGTGTGTTGGAGGGGTGCCGGGCAGGCAAACAGCGGGGGCAGTATGATGTTGGAGGAGGTTGCGCGGCTGACTTTTGAGTCGACTCAAAAGAGGTTGCGTGGCTGGAGATGAGAGAGTCTGTCTGAAAGCTCTGGGAACAGAACAGGTGAGCTGAGAGACTGGTGGCCGTTGTTCGAGCCCCTTGAAGGATGCTGGAGTGGTGGCGCAAGGAGTGCAGGCAGGCGAGCAACAAGGGTGGGGCTATGCTGAGGGATTTTGCTTGGTGCTCAGCTCATGGAGGGAGGGGCTTGCTATGCTGGGAACAGGTGAGCTAATGCTGACTGGGGGGCTCGCTGGAAGAGTTCCGCTTGGAGGAGGGACGGCCAGCAACGGTGATGGGGTCATGCTGAGCTGATATGCGCTGAGCTAAACAGCCCCTTTGGCCCTGCCCTTTTCACCCTCTCGCTTTCCCCATTTCTCTTCCTTTCAGCGTGCCATCTGGGCTGGGGAAGGCTGTATCTCCATGAGTGAGTTCACATCTGGGGAAGGCTGCATCACTTCTGAATAGGCTCACAAGTCCCTTTGCTCCCTTTGCCCCTTTTCCCCATCCCGCGTTTCCCATTTCGCCATCTGGGGGAGGGTGCATCTCCATGAGCGACCTGACCGTTGCCCCCTCCTCACTCAACCCGTCCTCTCACTCTCTCCTTTGCCCCTGCCCTCTTTCCCCCTCCCGCTCTCACCCATAGAGCTGGCCCCCGTCAAGCCTTCATCCCTGTCCTCTCACTCTCTCCTTTGCCGCTGCCCTCTTTCCCCCTCCCGCTTTCCCCCATTTTCCTCCTCCCTTGCAGCGCGCCATCCGGAGGAGGCTGCATCTCCATGAGCGAGTTGGCGGCCGTTGCAATCACAGCTTGCAACATCACGGGAAACCAGGGCGGCAACGAGGGCGGCGCCATCAGAGCCACGGGGCAGACACGACTCTCCATCACGGGCTCGCTGCTGTCCAACAACAGTGCCATGGACGGTGGCGCGCTCTGGTCTGAGATGGGCTCCAAGGTATGTGGCCCTCTTGGTCCCATGAGGCCTGTTGCAGCCAGCACAGGCAACGCCATCCGAGCCACGGGCAGACGCGACTCTCCATCACGGGCTCGCTGCTGTCCAACAACAGTGCCATGGACGGCGGCGCGCTCTGGACTGAGATGGGCTCCAACGCAACAATTAGACCAAGGGCACCATCCAGGCAACAGCCCTTGCTCTGCAACAATCAGACGTGCCCTTGCTCTTCCTGGACTTTAGTCCACTTTGCAGTACAAGGCGCCGCCCTGGATGGTGCCCTGGTGTGAGTGAGTGCCAATGATAGTGAGAGGAGATTATCGGTTTCAGAGCCACGGAGCGGGTGGGCACGTCTGGTTACACCACAATTCAATCTCTCTAGGATATTTTGGCCCCCTTATACTCTCCCACGCTGCTGCACTTGAATTCCGAGACGCCTCTCAAATCGACTGCCTGTGATGTGATCTCAATCGTCCTCCTTGCTACCATGTCCCACATGGCAGCCATCACCATGCTGAGCATCCAGAGAGCGCGCGCCTCACTTGCTTCGCCTCCCCCACTTGATTGATGGACCCCTCCCTTCGACGTCCGTGCCCCCCCGTACCTCACCAGGTGCACCGTGCACGTGTCCTCATCGTCAGTCACCATGCAGAGCATCCAGAGAGCGCACGCCTCACTTGATTGATGGACCCCTCCCTTCAACGTCCGTGTGCCCCCTTACCTCACCAGGTGCGCGTCTCCTCGTCAGTCATCTCCCACAACGCAGCCACCATCCAGGGCGGCGCCTTCTACTGCATCCAGAACGCGCGCCTCACCCTGCTCGCCTGCTCCTTCCACCCTTTCAATGATCACACCCCTTCCTGTGGCCCCATGTCCCTGTGGGCCTGTGCCCTTAAACCCCTCCCAGGTGTGCACGTCTCCTCCTCCGTCATCTCCCACAACGCCGCCACCATCCAGGGCGGCACCTCCTACTGCATCCAGGGCATGCGCCTCACCTCTGTGCTCCCTGCTCACACTTTCTCCACTGCCCCCCCGCCCCGTGCCCCCACCCACTTTCAGGTGCACGTCTCCTCGTCGGTCATCTCCCACAACGCCGCCACCATCCAGGGCGGCGCCTTCTACTGCATCCAGAACGCGCGCCTCACCCTGCTCGCCTGCTCCTTCCAAGCCAACACTGCTGCCAGGGGCGGGGCCATCCTGGCCGAGGGGGGTGTGAAGATAACCGTCTCAGGGGGGCCGGGTGAGGGCACAGGAGCAGGAGCAGCTGAGGGAGGCTCATCTGCAGGAGCTTGGCCTGTCGGGGCTTCGGTGTTTGAAGGGAACTCGCAGCATGCCGTTGTGCTGCAGGGTCAGGCGGTGGGGTCCTTCCTCGGATCGGTGCTTTTCCGGGGGAATGCAGGCGGGAAGACGATGGATGTGAGGGACGGGGGGGCGATCTTTGCCACGGATTCGACGGCTGTGGTGGTGGGAGGGGGGGTCGTGTTTGAGGGAAACACGGGGCGTAGAGGTGGCGCGATCTTCTGTGATGCTGACAGCACGCTGGTTGTCAGCTCCCAGGTCAATGTCACTGCGCTCGCTGCTGCTGCGGGTGCTGATGCTGCTGCCGATGCAGTTGTTGCTGCTTCTGATGCTGTTGCTACAGCCACAGCTACATCTGCTGCTACAGCTGCACCTGCTGCTGCTGCTACAGCCGCAGCCACAACTGCAGCAGCCACAGCCGAAGTACCACACTTCACAAAGAATCAGGCGCAGGAGGGAGGAGGGGCAATCTTTGCGGCCGGCAACACATCCCTGCAGATCTCCGATTCGATTTTCGAGTCGAACCGGGCGGCAACAGGGACAGGTGGCGCGATCCTGGTGCTCGACTACGCGCACGGGCAGCTGAAGGATTGCGCCTTCCGAAGCAACGAGGCAGGCTCGGATGGATCCGCTGTGTATCTGGACCGGGGAGGCATGGGAGGAGGTTCAAGTGGAGAAGGGGGTGCGGGGGAGGGAGGGGGTGGAGGAGGTGGAGGAGGGGGAACAGGGGGAACGGGGACAGGGGGAATGGGGGGAATGGGGATTAGCAAAGCAGCGGTGGGGGCAGTGGTGTTGGTGTCTGATATTGCAGGGTTGTTGCAGGTGGGAAACAGGGCTGGGGTGAGTCAAGCCGGGTCCAGCAACCTTGGTGCTAATGGCAATGCCACTGCTGCTGGTGCTGGCGCCGGCAGCGGTAGCAGCGGTGACGACACCAGCACCAGCAGCGGTGGTGGTGGTGGGGTGACGGGAGGACTGCTGCCTCTGAACGTGTCCGGGTTGTCGTTTCTCCGAAACAGAGTCATCGGCAATGCCAGCACACCTGCTCTCAGCACTGGAGGAGGAGTAGGAGGTGCAGGTGGTGCAGGAGGGGCAGGAAACGGGGGGATCGTGATGGCAGCAGGAGGGCTGGGGTCGGCGTTCCTCGATGCTACGTTTCTCCCTGCCATGCGGTCGACCTGTGTGGGGTGTGAAGCGATGGACAAGCAAGATACGATCGGCACGCTCCCGGCCTCCTTCCAGTTGCTGTGAGTCAAGTATGCATGCACGCTTTCACTCACTTGTGCCATGTGGTCGACCTGTGTGGGGTGTGAGAGCATGCACAAGCAAGATACCATCGGCACGCTCCCGGCCTCCTTCCGCTTGCTGTGAGTCGGCACATGTTCAAATGTAGTGTACACATGTTCAAATGTAGTGTACACATGTTCACATATTCCCTGCCTCCTTGATTTCTCAAGAACCTAACACAGCCATGTTGAAATGAAGTGCTTTTTGAGTCGACTCAAAAAGCACTTCGTCAGGTCTCTCCGAGTCTTCAACCCTTCACTCCCCTATCCCCACTCCCCATCCCCATGTCCCCCCAGAACGACTCGGATGCAGCTGCAGCTGCAGCTGCAACCATCATCCAGGTGAAAGGAGACCGTGCCAACCCAGTGACCGTGCTGCACACGTCACCATTCTCGATGCCGCCGGGCTCGTGGCGATCAGCGACTCCCAAGCCAAGGCGCCCACCCATCCTTCCCACACCCTTCCCCGAGCTACCCTCTCCCACCATTCCCCATCCATCTCTATCTCCTTCGTTCCCCGATCCCCCTTTCCTTCCTCCGCTTCCCGCTGTCCCAGGTGGTCAGGCCAGAACGACTCGGATGCAGCTGCAGCTGACACCATCTTCCAGGTCAAAGGCGACCGTGCCAACCCAGTGACCAACCTCCACGTCACCATTCTCGATGCCGCCGGGCTCGTGGCGGTCAATGACTTCCGAGCCAAAGCCTCCATCCTGCCTTCACCAGCCATCAGCGGGCTCCTACAGGCAACCTCGGTCAACGGCCGCGCCACCATCCCCCCCGTCACCATCGTCGAGCCGCCGGAATCGGGGAACCTCTCGCTCACTCTCTCTGTTTCCTCTTCGCTAGATGCTTTTCCGCCGATCTCACGGACGGTCGAGATCGCTTTCTGCCCGCCCGGGCAGTTCTACACCCGCCCGAACATGGCCTGCGCGGTCTGCCCGGTCGGCAGCTGGTGCGGGTCCGGGCGGGGCGCGGAGTTCTGCCCGGCGGGCAGCTATAGTTTTTTCCCGGGCGCAACGTCGCTGTCGGATTGTTTAACCTGCCCGACGACGAGTGACGTGCTGAAAGACACAGTGGCGGTGACGTGTGAGAGTGGCAAGATGCAGGTTGAGGAAGGGTTTTGGCTTGACTTTAACAGTATCACTGCAGGCAGCCCTGCAGTGTACGCGTGTGACGTGCTGGATGGCTGTGCGGGGCTGGTGTACTCTCCCCTCCCCGCCGGACAGACCTCGAACTCCACCCAACAGCCCGCCTCTCAGTCAACTCAGTCAACTTCTCAGTCGGATTCTCAGTCGACGGCACTGCAGCAGCCGCAGTGCAAGGCGGGGTACAGCGAGAACCGCCTCTGCTCCAGCTGCGCGCCCGGCTACTACTCCGTGCTCAAGTTGTGCTACGAGTGCTCGGCGTCCTTCCAGCGCCTCTTCCCGCTGCTGATCGTGCTCATCGTGCTCGCGTGGGTGGCCATGGGGGTGCTCTCGGATTCCTTCCACACCATCGCCATCTTCGCTATAGAGCTGCAGATGCTCACGTTTATCGGGTCGTACAACCTGCCCCTGCCCCCCTGGGTGCACACCATCGTGCAGTACTTCCAGATCGCCCTCTTCGTGCCGGTAAGTTTCACTCCCCATTTGGTAAGAACCCCTCTGCTCTCTTTGCGGGTTATGGCGATGGTTCCTGTCCTTCCCTCCTCCCTCTGCCTTCCTGTGTGCCCTCCTTGGTGCCCTCCTGGGTACCATCCTGGGTTCACACCATCATGCAGCACTTCCAAATCGCCCTTGCATGCCGGTGAGAGACCGTCTGTTCTTCGTCCGGGCTAGGGCACCTTGATCACACTATCTGGTGATGATTTCCCTGCTCTATTCTTGTTGTGAGGTTTCCTGCTGCGCTCCTGGGTTCACACCATCATGCAGCACTTTCAAATCGCCCTCTGCGTGCCGGTGAGAGACCCTCTTCGTGCTGGTAGGGTTCAGCTCGCACCTATCCTATCGATGTATGTACGTACTGCCGAAACGTCCCTCCCCTCGTCTTGTTCGCCTCTTCAGGATCACCTTCTCTCCTTTTATCGTCCTTTTCTCACCTTCTCCTCCTCCACTACGTCTCCTTTCCGTTTCCATTTCTCCTCCTCCACAGGACGCCATTGCACCTGGCTGCACAGTCAGCTACTCTTCTGTGCAGCAGTGGGCGGTCACTATGGTCAACCCCATGTTTATCCCCATGGTCACTCCTCATCCATATCTCACTCTTACCTGCCGTTCTCTCCTCTCTCTCCCCTCCCCTTTCCCCTCTCTCCCCTCCCCTTTCCCCTCTCTCCCCTCCCCTTTCCCCTCTCTCCCCTCCCCTTTCCCCTCTCTCCCCTCCCCTTTCCCCTCTCTCCCCTCCCCTTTCCCCTCTCTCCCCTCCCCTTTCCCCTCTCTCCCCTCCCCTTTCCCCTCTCTCCCCTCCCCTTTCCCCTCTCTCCCCTCCCCTTTCCCCTCTCTCCCCTCCCCTTTCCCCTCTCTCCCCTCCCCTTTCCCCTCTCTCCCCTCCCCTTTCCCCTCTCTCCCCTCCCCTTTCCCCTCTCTCCCCTCCCCTTTCCCCTCTCTCCCCTCCCCTTTCCCCTCTCTCCCCTCCCCTTTCCCCTCTCTCCCCTCCCCTTTCCCCTCTCTCCCCTCCCCTTTCCCCTCTCTCCCCTCCCCTTTCCCCTCTCTCCCCTCCCCTTTCCCCTCTCTCCCCTCCCCTTTCCCCTCTCTCCCCTCCCCTTTCCCCTCTCTCCCCTCCCCTTTCCCCTCTCTCCCCTCCCCTTTCCCCTCTCTCCCCTCCCCTTTCCCCTCTCTCTCTCAGGATGTGATCGGACCGGGCTGCACCGTCAGCTACTCCTTCGTGCAGCAGTGGGCGGTCACCATGGTCATCCCCGTTTTAGGCGTCCTCGTTTACGCGTGCCTCTACCTGACGCACCGCCTCTACGGCCTCGCCGTCACTCGAATCTACGGAGCACCCAAGAACCACCTCATCACCAGCACCACCACCCTTCCTCCTGCTCCTCCTCCTCCTGCCACTGCTTCGGCTGCCCGTGCTGCTGCCGCCAACGGTACCTCTGCCGCCAACAGTGCTGCTGCTGCCATCGGCGGCTCTCGCGCCGATGACTTAGCGCCGCTGACAACGAAGCGGGAGATGTTTGACAAGTACGAGAACACGCTTATTCACGGGGTCACCAACTGGCTCGACCTCAGCTATGCAGCCGTGACCTACCGCTGCTTCCAGGCTTTCTACCAGCACTGGTATGGGGCGGATGTGATGGGAGCAGCGCCATATATCGAGTGGTTCTCGGAGACCCACAAGGTGGTGTTTGCGCTGTCAGTGGTGATCGCGGTGGTGTACGTGGCGGGCGCGCCTGTGTGCTACGCGCTGGTGCTGTGGCTGGGGAAGGCCAAGGGGATTTTGCGGGGTCACACGTATAAGATGCGGTGGGGGTGGATGGTGAGCAGGTGAGTTATAACAGGCACATGTAAGTGGCACAGGTGAGCAGGGGGGATTCTGAGGGGGCACACGCACAAGATGCGGTGGTGGTGGATGGTGAGCAGGTGAGTTATAACAGGCACATGTAAGAGGCACAGGTGAGCAGGGGGGATTCTGAGGGGGCACACGCACAAGATGCGGTGGTGGTGGATGGTGAGCAGGTGAGTTATAACAGGCACATGTAAGAGGCACAGGTGAGCAGGGGGGATTCTGAGGGGGCACACGCACAAGATGCGGTGGTGGTGGATGGTGAGCAGGTGAGTTATAACAGGCACATGTAAGAGGCACAGGTGAGCAGGGGGGATTCTGAGGGGGCACACGCACAAGATGCGGTGGTGGTGGATGGTGAGCAGGTGAGTTATAACAGGCACATGTAAGAGGCACAGGTGAGCAGGGGGGATACTGAGGGGGCACACGCACAAGATGCGGTGGTGGTGGATGGTGAGCAGGTGAGTTATAACAGGCACATGTAAGAGGCACAGGTGAGCAGGGGGGATTCTGAGGGGGCACACGCACAAGATGCGGTGGTGGTGGATGGTGAGCAGGTGAGTTATAACAGGCACATGTAAGAGGCACAGGTGAGCAGGGGGGATTCTGAGGGGGCACACGCACAAGATGCGGTGGTGGTGGATGGTGAGCAGGTGAGTTATAACAGGCACATGTAAGAGGCACAGGTGAGCAGGGGGGATTCTGAGGGGGCACACGCACAAGATGCGGTGGTGGTGGATGGTGAGCAGGTGAGTTATAACAGGCACATGTAAGAGGCACAGGTGAGCAGGGGGGATTCTGAGGGGGCACACGCACAAGATGCGGTGGTGGTGGATGGTGAGCAGGTGAGGCTCCAATGAAAGGCACCCCAGATGAGTTTCTTTGACACTCACACATGCACAGGTACGAGTACGACTACTTCTGGTGGTGGCATGTCATGATACCTGCATTGCACTGCACTGCACTGCATTGCATTGCTTGGCATGTACCAAATGACATGTGCGTGCGTGCGCGTGTGTTCCCCCTGCGTGCTGCTTGGTGCATGCAGGTACGAGTACGACTACTTCTGGTGGCATGGCATGATATGTGCTGCAATGAATGATACATGTGTGTTATGTATGTGTGTGTGACCCCCCCCACCTGCCACTGGTGCAGGTACGAGTACGACTACTTCTGGTGGCATCTCACGTGCTACGCGCGGCGCATCATCCTTGTTTCCATCGCTGTCTTCGGCGTGCAGTCGCCCCAGACTCAGGTAAAGATGGTCCTTGCTGCCAGGCACAGGTGATTTTCTAGTCGACTCAAAAATCACCCATAAAAATCACCCATAAAAATCACCTTTTGAGTCGACTCAAAAATCACCTGCAGTCGCCACAGACTCAGGTAGAGATGGTCCTTTCTGGCCGGCACAGGTGGAAGGCAAGAGCCCCATCCCCATACGCAGGTAAACTTAATGTGTAATGAGTCTGTTTTTTCGTCGACTCAAAAACAGACTCATTGCACTCAGGTAAACATAGTCTTTGCAGGCTCGCAGTTGGAGTGTCAGGTGTTTGAACATGGTATCAGAGCAGTCTGGGGTACGATTCCCGGTGTGAGCCACTTTGAGCCGTCCCTCTTAATGATCTCCTAGTGGGGGGAAGTGTTGCTGTATAGGGCCACTCGGAAGACGCCACCCAGGGATCCTGGAAGGGCTACAGGTTCTGTCCTGGAGGGTTGTGTGAGTGCTGTCCCTCCCACCAATTTAACATGCTCAGGGAGATTCTTGAGGTGCTTTGTAGGTGATTCTTGAGTCGACTCATAAAACCACTTGAGTCGACCAAGTGGTGTTATCTATCTCCTGGAAGGGCTAGGTTCTGTGCTGGAGGGTTGTGTGAGCGAGCGCTAACCCACCAATTCAACATGCCCTTTTTAACCGACTTCAATTGCGGACCGGTGTTCTTATTGCGTTCGTGTCCCCCTTCGCGGCCTTCTCTTACCTTCTCCCCCTCTCCCTTTCGCTGCTCCCTTCTAACCCAACACCCCGCCCACCAGGTGTCGGTGACCCTCCCCCTGCAGGCCATCCGCATCGGCCTGCAGTACGGCGCGTCCCCCTTCGCAGCCTTCTCGCACGACATCCTCAACTCGCTGCTGGCCCTGGCGGAATTCCTCTTCACCGTGGCGCTCACGGGGTACAACTACATCGGCATCGACACCGGGGCCAACGTGCTCTTCGGCTTCTCCTTCGCCCTCATCTTTCTGCCCACCCTGGCCATCCTCTGCTACGAGCTCATCAACTGGTGAGGGCCTGCTGGCCAGGGCTGCTTGTTGCTTTGGAGCCTTCTCCAACGACATGCTCCACTCGCTGCTGGCCCTGGCGGAGTTCCTCTTCACCGTGGTGCTCACGGGGTACACCGGGTATAACTATAGGCATCGACACCGGGGCCAATGTTTCCCAGCCTCCCTCCCTCTTGCTCCTATCCCGGCCCCCTTTCTCCCCCACAAGAGGTACATCACACGCTGCACCTGCCGCGACCTCAACGCCTATTTTTGAGGCATCTCAAAAACAGACTCCCCAGCCTCCCTCGTCCTCATCTCCCACGCACGCACGCTGCACATGCCGTGAGCTCAGCGCCATGTGGCAGAGGCACAAGGAAAATAAGTGCACTCACTTACCCCCCTCTGTCTTCCCCCTCTCCGCGCCCCAGCCTCCCCTCCCCCCAGGTACATCACGGGCTGCAACTGCCGCGAGCTCAACACCATGCGGCAGAAGGAAGGACAAGGCCAAGAAATACATGCGCTCCCGCAAGCGCCTCATCTCCCTCTCCGTTGACGACCTCGTGCACCCCTCCTCGCACCCCCCCCCCAACAGGTACATCACGCGCTGCAACTGCCGCGAGCTGAACCACATGTGGCAGAAGGACAAAGCCAAGAAGTCCATGCGCTCTCGCAAGCGCCTCATCTCCCTCTCCGTCGACGACCTCGTGCACCCCTCTGACGTCGCCCGCTGGTTCCGCCCGCACGTCCTCTCCGCCTTCCTCCACTACTACTCCCCCGCCTCCTCCGCCTACCAGGCCGCCCGCCGCAAGACCCTCTCAGATGAGGTCGAATCCGGGGTGGACGGCGCTTTTCGGACGGACCAAACCGGTGACGGCGACGCAGGAAGCGGTCCCGGTTGGGAACGGTTCTGCGGCTTTGGGCCCGATTTTGAGGCGGCTCAGAACCAAGCCTCAAGTGGAGGTTTGGAGCATCTGAGCACGGCTGAAATGCGGCGGCGGCGGCGGCTGTTACTTCGACTACGGGACCGGTTTGAGCAAATTCGGCTGGCGGGGCCGGGGGATACTAAGTGGACGAAACACTTAAGTAAGAGTCAGATGTATGGCGTGCTGTCACAGGCGCTGCTGGGGGCGGCGGTGGGGGAGGTGACGGTGGCGAGGATGCCAGTGAGCCGGGGGAGCGAGGGGCTCCTGGAGGGTGGTGCTGGTGGCAGCGGTGCTGCTGCTGCTGCTGGTAGTGGTGGTTGTGGTGCTGGTATCAGTGGTGCTGGGATTGATGGTGGCCCTGGCTCTTGGGGATGCTCCGTTGGTGCCGCCGGTGTTGAGGGCGGTGGGGGGGGGTATGGGTTCAGTGGCAGGTTGGTAGGCGACAGCAGCAGGCTCACAGGTGCTTCTACGCCCACCAACAGACTTAGCACATCTGATGTCGGGTCAAAGAGGCTTGGCACCCCCGAAGCTGGCTCCAGGAGGCTCAGCACCCCTGAGGCTGGCTCAAGGAGGCTTGGCACCCCCGAATCTGGCTCAAGGGCTGTGTCAAGAAGGCTCGGAACACCGGAGCTAGGGTCGGCGAGAAGAGTGTCAGTTTCTCTCTCAGGGGAAGGCGGAGAGGCAAGGTTGGTGGAAGCGGGGGCAGCAGCAGGAGCAGTGGCAGCGTCAGTGCCAATTTCAGTTTCGGCATCAGGTGGCTTGGATGCAGCAGGGGGAGGTGCACCTGGGGGAGGTACACCTGGGGGAGGTACACCTGGGGGAGGTACACCTGGGGGAGGTACACCTGGGGGAGGTACGCCTGGGGGAGGTACACCTGGGCGTGGTTCAGGACGCTTCGGGTCTCGGAGTCTGTCCAGACGAGAACGGTGGGTGCAGCCAGAGGCGAACAGAGGTGAAGCGAGTAGGGGAGCCGGTGGGGTGGGAACAGGAGGGGGAGCAGGGGGAGCAGGGGGGGCAGGGCGGCAGGAGCAGTAGAGGACGTGGGAGTGGTGGGAGGGATGGAAGCTGGGTTGGGAGCGGTGGGATGGGATGCAGATGAGGAGGATGAGGAGCGAATGCTGCTGGAGTGGCCGCCCAGGCTGGATCATCACGTCAGCTGGACGGCAACTGATGCTGAGGGCGGCGAGCTCCGGAGGCGGGGCTTGTCTGGGAGTGGAGCGGGTGAGGTGGATGTCTTGGTGAATGGGGATAGAGAGGAGAGGGGGGAAGGGATGGAGGGGGATGAGTTGGAGGAGGATGAGGAGAGGGAAGGCGAAGAGGAGGAGGGTGAGAGTGAAGGGGATGAGGAGGAAGAGGCGGAGCAGGAGGAAAGAGGAGAGGGTGGGGGAAACAGCGCCACTGGTGAAAACGGTCAGCATCAAATGCAGCAGCAGCAGCAGCAGCAGCAACGGCAAGAGCACCATCAGCAGCATGGGCAACGCCATGGGCAACGCCATGGGCAGCATCCATCAGAGCAGCATTCAGGGCATGAGCAGCAGGCAGGGCAGCAGGCATCGCAGCAGGGGGAGTACGTGGAGGCGCGCATGAACATGGCGGAGCTCACGCTGCTCTTCCAGCGCCACCTCGCCCTCCTCGTGCGCAACGAGGCCCTCCGCCGCCCCACCTCTCTGCGCCTCCTCCTGCGGTCCGAAGCCATTCAGGACCTGCTGGCGTGGCTCACCTCGCCCCACTGGTAGGTTCACCTCGCCTCACCTCGCCCCACTGGTAGGTTCACCTCGCCTCACCTCGCCCCACTGGTAGGTTCACCTCGCCTCACCTCGCCCCACTGGTTCACCTCGCCTCACCTCGCCCCACTGGTAGGTTCACCTCGCCTCACCTCGCCCCACTGGTAGGTTCACCTCGCCTCACCTCGCCCCACTGGTAGGTTCACCTCGCCTCACCTCGCCCCACTGGTAGGTTCACCTCGCCTCACCTCGCCCCACTGGTAGGTTCGGCTTGCAAGGTAGGCCTGGACCGATTGCATGCGCTAATGTGCTCATGGCTGCTGCTGCTGCTGCTGCTGCTGTGGTGATTCCTTGTCTGATCCCTTACCTCCCCCCCCCATCAAAACAGTGAGCCCGAGGACCAGCAGCTGCTGAGGGACGTGGTGGCGATGATGCGGTCGGCAGCGGTGGCAGAGGCGGGCAGCCTGCACTGGTACCAGGGCTTCTGGGCGTTCTTCCGCACGCACTCTGTGCTGCACCGCGCCAAGACATGGTGAGTGAAGTGGCGGTGGGGGTGAGAGCGGAGCCATGATGTTGGGTTGATGAGGCAAGGGGGCCATGATGTTGGGTTGTTGAGGCAAGCCATGTCACGGCAGGGCATGCTGAGGTGCATCTTCATCTCACCTACAGAGGCAGGCAGCCTGCACTGGTACCAGGGCTTCTGGGCCTTCTTCCGCATGCACTCCGTGCTGCACCGCGCCAAGACATGGTAGGCCAAGACATGGTAGGCCAAGACATGCTAGGCCAAGACATGGTAGGCCAAGACATGGTAGGCCAAGACATGGTAGGCCAAGACATGGTAGGCCAAGACATGGTAGGCCAAGACATGGTAGGCCAAGATATGCTAGGCCAAGACATGGTAGGCCAAGACATGCTAGGCCAAGACATGCTAGGCCAAGACATGGTAGGCCAAGACATGCTAGGCCAAGACATGGTAGGCCAAGACATGGTAGGCCAAGACATGGTAGGCCAAGACATGGTAGGCCAAGACATGGTAGGCCAAGACATGCTAGGCCAAGACATGCTAGGCCAAGAGATGCTAGGCCAAGACATGCTAGGCCAAGACATGGTAGGCCACTCTACCCTTTACTACTGTAAGGTGTGGTAGGCCAAATCTACCCTTTACTACTGTAAGGTATGGTAGGCCCAGGGATGTTTGGGGCAGGCTTTTTGTCAACCCAAAGGCCTTCTTCTCTCCCTTATCTCTTCTAGTTCTCTCGACGTGGATTGTGCTGCGTTGTCTGCCAATCACTGATCTCCCTTCTACTCTTCCTCCCGTCTCCCTCCCCGCCTCCCTTTCACAACCCCTCCTGCCTCTCTCCCTTGGTCTTTTTCTCTTTACATGCAGTGTGCAGCCATGCCTACCATCAAAACCACTGCTGGAAGATGGTTGACATCTAACTGCAATGCTGGGAGATTGACTTAACACTGATACACTAGAAACGCTGACGTCCGGATGTATTTCTGGGAGCCTAGCATGCACCACTGCCGTAGCTTACCAACACCCTGTATAATATTCATTCAGGAAACGAAGGTCGTGAGTTGTGGAACGTGTTGGCATGCTGTGCACATGTGGACTTGGGGGCCAAACTGGCCAAAACTGTAACCAGAGAAAACAAAACGTGTTCAGCAGGACTCGAACCTGCGCGGGCAGAGCCCAACAGATTTCTAGTCTGTCCCGTTAACCACTCCGGCATGAACACATGGAAACTATTGTCGCTTTGTTAATCAAACAATGTTTTTTAAATTTCAACTCTTTCACCAGGCAGATAACTACGTTATTTTCCCAATGGCTTCCCAAACGTCCTTAGCGGACCTCACGGCGGACTGCTTCGCGCACTGCTGCCGATGGCTCTCCCCGCGCGACCTCGTCAACCTCTCCTGCTGCTGCTCGTCGCTTCGCCAGCTGGCCAACAGCGATGCAGCGTGGGCATGCCACGTGGCACATCAAGGAGGGCTACCCCGTCAGGTTGTCTCTTAGGCCGTGCTGACCGCCCTTGTCATAATCCAGAATCTCGTTGAAATGTTCTACGCGGTGAATGAAATTTACGGCCTCTCCCTTTCTCCTTCCCCTCCTCCCCTCCTCTTCCCCTTCTCCTTGCTGCTGCACACCAGGCTGCTTCACTCCCGGGCCTCCACCAGGCATTCATAGAGCGCCACGTGGCAGCACAGAAGCTGCAGTTCGCTGACCCTGCCTCGTGTGCATGGCCCCTATCTGGGGGCGCAGGGGGAGCAGCAGCAGCCAATCAGGGTGCAGGACGAGGAGGAGAGGGGGAGAGGGGAGGGGGAGGTGCGGCAGCAGCAGCATGGGGAAGGGGAGGCGCAGGGGGAGGGGCAGGGGGGGGCGCAAGGGGAGGGGGAGCGGGAGTTGGGGGAAGGAGAGGTGGGGGGATGGGGGCTGATGGGGGGGGGGAAGGGGGGTACAGAAGCCAGTGAGCGAGGTTCTGGTGTTTGCAGGGGGGGAGGGTTTATCCGCCATCCCAGCTTCGACTGCCGTCCCCAACCCTGCTGCTGCGAGATCTGGAGAAGGGGTTTGGGGTTCAGGGCTTTTCATGGATGGGGGGGAGGGGGAGGAGGAGGAGGAGGAGGAGGAGGAGGAGGAGGAGGAGGAGGAGGAGGAGGAGGAGGAGGAGGAGGAGGAGGAGGAGGAGGAGGAGGAGGAGGAGGAGGAAGGGAGTGCAGTGTGGCACCATGTGGTGGCAGTGCAGGTGCGTGCTGCCTGGTGCCCGTGCCGGTGCGTGCTGCCTGGTGCCCATGCCGGTGCGTGCTGCCTGGTGCCCGTGCCGGTGCGTGCAGCCTGGTGCCCGTGCCGGTGCGTGCAGCCTGGTGCCCGTGCCGGTGCGTGCAGCCTGGTGCCCGTGCCGGTGCATGCTGCTCTCGTTCTCTTCTTGCGACGCACAGATTGTTTGGCCTTCAAGGCGCGGGTTCAGGGTTCAAGGCTAGGGTTTCGGCGCACGGGGTTTGGGTTTCGGGGTGTCGCGTGCACGCGCATGCACGCGCACGCACACATGCACGTGCACATGCACATGCACATGCACAACCCTTCACCTCTTCCTCATGTGCATCACTCCTGTCCTTCTCGCCTTGCACTCAACCATCACTCCCTCCAGTCCAGGGTTCCAACATCCTCCTTTGGAACACACCACGATACAAGCCAGGGCGCCCCGCAGCATTCAGGGAAACACGGCTACAAGTCCGCCAAGCAGCCCCCTCTGCTTCCCCTCCTCCTGGCCCCGTGTAGGGATCCAACATTCTCCTGTGGAAGGCTGGGCACAAGGCTGGGCACAAGGCTGGGCACGAGGCTGGGCACAAGGCTGGGCACAAGGCTGGGCACAGAGCAGCACTCGGAGACACACGGTTACAAACTCATCTAGCAGCCATAATGACGGCCCACAAGGGCCGCATCACAGCCGTGCTCCCAGCCGTCCTCTCCTCCTTCCCTGCCCCTCTGCTTCTCCCCTTGGCCCCGCAACCCCCTCCCGTGCAGGGCTCCAACATTCTCCTTTGGACGGCTCCACGGTGCAAGGCGGCATTCAGGGGAACACAGCTACACACCCGCCGACCAGCGGTGCTGCTGACTAGGCCAAGGCTCGGCCAGCCTCAGCTATCAGCGGTTCTCACGGCCCACAAGGGCCGCATCACAGCCGTGCTCCCAGTGGACCTCTCCCCCTTCCCTGCCGCTGCCCGCCTCTCCCCGCCGCTCCCCTCACACACGTTTCTCCTCTCCGCCAGTTTGGACCGCACGCTGCGCCTCTGGGGCACGGTGAGATGGGGCACGGTGAGATGGGGCACGGTGAGATGGGGCACGGTGAGGAGCTCTTTCTCTAATTACCTCAGCTCGCACGTCTTGCCTCTCCCCACCGCTCCCCTCACACACATTCCTCCTCTCCGCCAGTCTGGACGGCACCCTGCGCCTGTGGATGGGGCAAGGCGAGACAGTTCTTTCCTGCATGCCTTTTCTTCTGGTTTTAGCCGTGCGCCTTGCCTCTCCCCTCCCCGACCCTCCCCTCCCCGCCTCTCCCCACCGCTCCCCACCGCTCCCCACCGCTCCCCGAGCACGAGTTCCTCCTCTCCGCCAGTCTGGACCACACCCTGCGCCTTGGGGGCAAGGCGAATGGTTTTTAATAAAAAACCTCAGCTCACCTCGCGCAGCTTCGCCCCCTGTCTGCCAGTTTTAACTGCACGCTGCGTCTCTGGGGGACATTCTAGTCGCCCACCCGCATCCTCACTTGGCCCTTCTCTTTCCCTCTCCTTCCCTCTCCTTCCAGTGATCTCTTCCACCCCCTCCCAGAAAAATACTTGCCATTGGAACACCTCTCTTCCACCCCCTCCCAGAAAAATACTTGCCATTGGAACACCTCTCTTCCACCCCCTCCCAGAAAAATACTTGCCATTGGAACACCTCTCTTCCACCCCCTCCCAGAAAAATACTTGCCATTGGAACACCTCTCTTCCACCCCCTCCCAGAAAAACACCTCTCTTCTCAGGTCACCTGTTCCCTCCTTGAGGAAAGTTGGCTTTTGAGAGTTCTCAAAACCAGCTTGTCCTTTCTGAGCAGCGCTGAGAAAGTGCAGAGAACGCCCCCATCTCCACACCTTCTCAGGTCACTTGGGCCCCAGTCTGTGCCTCGCAGATGGGATCATCGGCACTCCTCTACCCCCTCTACCCCCCTCTACCCCCCTCTACCCCCCTCTACCCCCCTCTACCCCCCTCTACCCCCGTCTCCCCCCTCCCCTCCACCAGGATAGCTGCCTGCGCACGTTCTCAGGTCACTTGGGCCCCATTCTCTGCCTGGCAGATCGGATCATCGGCACTTCACACTCTGGCACCTCACGCCCTGCCATGGGGAGCAGTGATGCCTCTGGCTCTACTCCCTCCTACTCCTTTCTCCCCTGCATTGCCAGCGGCAGCAGCGACAGCACTGTTCGAGTCTGGTCCCTCCTCCCTTCAGGCACGTGTCTGGTCTGTGTGTTCAACATGGCTCCTTTCTTCTCATTTATTTCTTTTGGTGTTTTCTCATTCTGTTACCGGTCCTCCTCCTTAATCCTCCATCGTCTCACTTCCTACATCTTCCCACCCGCTCTGTATTATCCCTTCCTAATCTCCTCTCCACCTAAAAGCAATCACTCTTTCACTCACCTCTGTCTCTCTCCACTACCCCTCCCTATTCCCCTCGCCCTCTCTGGTGTTTTCTTCCAGGGAAAGGTCGGTCAGCGTGCGTTGCCACACTGAAAGGCCATGAGGGGCCGATAACTGCCCTGGCTGTTGCAATGTGGGTGATTCCTTCTGTCTACTTGCATGCTTGTGCCTTCTTTTTGCCTTCTTTCCATATATACATGCAGCATACCAGCGTCACCCTCTCGACCCTCACTTTCGCCCCCCTCTCCCCCTCTCTCTCCTACACATGCCTTTTTGCCATTTTCACCCTCACCCTCATCCTCACACTCTCCTCCTCCCTCCTTCTCCCTCCCTATTCCCACCAATCGTCTTGCCAGTCACAATCCCTTCCTTCTGACCAGTGTGGCTCGAGATGCGAAGGTAAGGATTTCTCCAACCCGCGCTAGCTTGGAAAGGACCCTCGAAACGAAGGGTTCTTCGATCTATCCCTTCCTGTCTGCTACTCTGTTCAGGGTTTAAGGTTTAGGGTTCAGGGTTCAGGGTTTAGGTTTTGGGGTTCAGGGTTCGGGGTTCAAGGTTCAGGGTTCAGGGTTAGGGTTCAAGTTTCAGGGTTCAGGGTTCAGGGTTCAGGGTTTAGGGTTCAGGGTTCTGGGTTCAGAGTTTCGGGTTTAGGGTTCAGGGTTTAAGGTTTAGGAATCTATCCCTTCCTGTCTGCTACTCTGTTCTTACTTCTAGCAGCTTCTTTAAGGGTTACTTCCAGCAGCTTTTTTTAGGGTTACTTCCAGCAGCTTCTTTAAGGGCCTGCGTGGGACTATCACCTCTTCTCCCTGCAATCATCAGATGGTTTTGAGGCGCCTCAAAAACTGTGTGATTGGATACTAGTTTTGAGGCGCCTCAAGAAGAGGACCTGCCGAAGAGCATCACCTCTTCTCTCTGCCATCATCAGATGCCTGTATGCCTTCCTGGGACTATCTGCCCTTCCATATTCCATCCATTCTTTCATGTGCATCTCCCCTTCCATATTCCATCCTTTCTTTCATGTGCATCTCCGCTTTCATATTCCATCCATTCTTTCATGTGCATCTCCCCTTCCATATTCCATCCATTCTTCCAGGTGCACTGTTGGACATGACTTGAATGGCTTTGAGGCGCCTCAAAACTAGACTTCTATCACGCGGCTTTGAGGCGCCTCAATCAAAACTAGACTTCTATCACATGACTTGACTGGCGCCGATCCTTCGTTGGTTGTTTTACATTTTCCTTAAGCGTTCCAGTTCCGGTCCAGTTTTGAGTGTGTAATGAGTCGAATCAAAAATCGACTCATTACAAACGTTCCAGTTCCGGTCCAGTTTTGAGGCGCCTCAATCAAAACTAGACTTCTATCATCCGGTCCAGAACATCCCCCTCTATTTCCCTGTTGTCCACAGCTGCGACTGTGGGATTGCCGCTACATTTTACTTAGACGGTCCTGAACATCCCTCTCTATTTTCCTTTACTTCCCTGTTGATAACAGCTGCGTCTGTGGGATTGCCGCAACATTGTGCCTTCGACCGTCAACCCTCCCACCACCTCCTCCTCCTCTTCCTCTCCTTGCATCGGCACGTGTCGCACGCCTACCTCCCCCTTCGCCCTCCTCCCTCTCCCGCCTCATGCCAGCCGTGCTCTCTGTCTGGTGGCGGGTAGAGGCGGCATAGCCATGATCGACCTGCTCCCAATGAAACAGGTACAGTAACAGGCATGAGCGAACCAGGTGCAGCGACAGGTGTAGCAGGTACAGCAGCCAAGCCCTACAGCAGCATGCCAGCCATGCCCTGAGCCCGGTGGTGGGCAGAGGCGGCATAGCCATGATCGACCTGCTCCCAATGAAACAGGTGAGGAGTCTATTTTTGAGGCGCCTCAAAATTATGTCCGGAGGCCATGATCGACCTGCTCTCAATGAAACACGTACACTACCATTAGATTAGCCATCTGTCTGTGCTTACAGCTACACGAATAGATCAATCTATCTGTGCTTGCGGTGTCTACTACTAAGCAGCTTGGAAGACCAGGCAACTTCCTCACTATGATTCCTCGAGCTTTGCTTCTACTATGACTCCTTCAGACCAGCAAAGCTCGAGTAATGTCATCTTCCCTCCACTCCCGTCTCCCCCTCCTTCTCGCCCCCTCCCCCCCCCAGGTGCACTCCCTCCCCTGCGGATCCTCCCCCCTCGCTTCCTTCTCCTCCTCCCCATCTCGCCACATCATCGCAGCAGGCTTCGAGGATGGCTATGTGCGAATGTGGCGCGTGGGGCCTTTGCAGGAGGGAGTAGAAGCAGGGGGGCCACACGCTGCATTGACTGTTGGGTCAGCAAGGCAACTGTCGGCATGCATAGCTGGCTTCAAGCTGCTTGCCTGCTCAAAAGCGCATAACGGTACAGTGGATTTACTGTACTTGGACGGCTATAAATGCATTAGTGGCAGCCGGGGAGACGGGTTCCTGAGTCTGTGGGATGCAGAGACCGGGGAGGAGATTCGCACATTGGATGCTACTGCTCCGCCCCCTTGGCTCGTGGAAGCAGAGGATGAAAGTGATCAAGGTGATGGTGATGGTGATGGTGGTGGTGGTGGTGGTGGTGGTGGTGGTGGTGGTGGTGGTGGTGGTGGTGGTGGTGGTGGTGGTGGTGGTGGTGGTGGTGGTGGTGGTGGTGGTGGTGGTGGTGGTGGTGGTGGTGGTGGTGGTGGTGGTGGTGGTGGTGGTGGTGGTGGTGGTGGTGGTGGTGGTGGTGGTGGTGGTGGTGGTGGTGGTGGTGGTGGTGGTGGTGGTGGTGGTGGTGATGGTGGTGATGGTGGTGGTGGTGGTAACTGCAGAGATGGTGGTAACCATGGGGGTGTTGGTAGCTACCGGGATGCTGATGTTGTCCATGTTGGGGAAGCTGCTACAGCAGATGCTGCCACCGCTGGCGCTAGTCACGGCCCTACTTTGAACGAGACTGTTAGGCGAGTTTTAGTGGAGAGTATGCATGCGTGTAGTGGTTTGGTGGTTGCCACGTTGGTCAGCTATCGCAGGAGGGTTGTGCTTGGGAGGAGGATGCAGCAACAAGTGGTGGAGGTTGAAGGCAGATGGGTCCGGTTGTGGGATTTTAGTAGTGGCAGGGCTGGCTTGGAATCAGATTATGGTATCAAGGAAGAGGGGGGAAATCTTCCAATAGGTGGTGGAAAATTCTGGTAGTAAGCTTTTCAATGTATTATGCTTTGTTGTAAGGTTTCCCTTGTAAGGCCAAATTTTAACCTAGGATTTGTGGGTGAAATCTTGTAGCAGTAGGTGTTGCTTTTGTTGCTGCGTCGGACTTCATTTACTTTTCGTCATTTCCGCCAACAGGTTTCGCCAGCGCTTCACCAAGCAGCGTGATCATCAACTTGGGATGATGTATCATCCTCGTCGTTATGCGACGCAATCATCGAGACCTGCGCGTTTCGCCCCCCCAAACCAGCCCTCCCCTCTCCCTCCACAACCGATCTCGTCCATGCCTTTCCTTCCATTGGCCATCATGCGCTAGGTCGGGACAAGACGACAAAGGGACGCGCTGTGTTTTGCCTGCGAAAACAATTCCCTGAGCTGGTCTGTTACTGTACAGATCGGTTTCTTATCACATTGTGAGATGGAATTTCACATGGCTCTGGACCAAATATGGCTTAGTCTGGGAAAACCCACAGACGAGAACGGGTTGAGCCAGCCTCTTTGAACTGCCCCAGGGTCTCCAAACGAACTTCAACACATCCCACAGAGTCACCTGAACATCTGGAAACTCGAAGGAAACAGGGAACTAGTCATCCTGCTCACGACGGTACAGGAACAACATTCGATCCAGTGCGCGGGTCTTTTTGGCTGTTGTGACCCTTCCAGTGTTTTAAATCTCCTTACCAGTTAACCCTCTCAGTGGGGCCAAACACTCATCACTCCAGAGTACACCACTACTGCTTCGGGTGCTCGGGAAATACCCCCGACGGTCGGTTTCGCGCTGTGTCACGTACAATCACATTCCGCTAAAAACAAACGCAGCCGTCCTGACATACACGCTTGATTTTAACGAGGTTTAGGTTGTACTGTTCAATACAGTGTACTGTATGTGATGTGACTCTGTGATGAGAGGGAAATCCTCCACTCCACTCCACCCCACGCGAAGGTCAACCCTTCACTTGGCCCCTCTGCCTGGCCCCTCTGCTTGACCCCTCCGTTTAGGTCAGACCGCTGGTCATAGGGGAAGGCTTTGTCAGAGTTCCAAGTTAGTATTTCTAGCTGCAGCGTGACGGCATAAATTGCAGGAGGATGTACGGATGACGCTCTTTTCCGCAGCTGTATCCCGGGTTGGACCTTTAGATTTCCCCCTCGTCCCCGACTTCGTGCCCTAATACCGGCACTTCCCTCGTCATACTCCTTTCCACTGCGAGGCGACATTGTCGCGACCATCCACCATCATACATTTGCTACCCTAACGCGGTGCCATGCGTCATGGCCGTCAGATTACCGTTTAGTTGCCCAAGGGACAACGAAACTTTTTCTTAGGCGCATCGTGACGGCTATCCTCGCTATTGCACTCCTCGCTGCTAGAGTTCTCGCGTCGACTCCTGATGCCTCGACCGCGAGTCCAGACAGCGGTGCGTATTCTCCGGCCATTGTCGCGCCATTACATTCTCTATCGAGTCGACCCAGAGTCATATTCTTCGGCCATTGTCCCGCCGTTGCATTCTCTCTAAGCCCGCTCCTCTTCTTTTTCCCTCGTGTTTTTCTTGTCGACTCAAGAGCCCAGACGGCGGTGCGTGCGCTGCCCTCCGTAGATTATACCTCGACAGATTTATCGCATTTGATGTTCTTAATTCATTCTTGATAGATTATTCAGGCTGTCTGGATCGCAGGTATGGAGCTCCAAGGCACCGAAACATCATGGTGGGCAGCGGCAAAGCCAGAATGCTCCATTATTCTACCGCACCGCTCCGATTACCTCCACAAACTCCCGACCCCAATTCCCCGCCTCCGATCCCCTAGTTCCTGCCTACCCTTTCGAACCGTTCGACTCCTCTCCGCATCCTCTCATTCCCTCTTCCGAACGTCTCAGCCCCCTTCCCGAGCCTCACAGCCCCCCTCCCGAGCCTCTTCCGTCGTCGCTCCGTTCGCTCTCCGACCACCCTTACAGTAACAATGTCCAGCCTCGTCATAGTAACGATTCCCGCCCCAAACAATCGCAGCAGAGCCATAATCGGCATTCCCAAGGTCCCACATCAAGGGCTGATAAGGTCAGACCGTACAAATACTCTACGCCACACGCGGACTCAGGACCACAAACGGAGCAGCGTATGCCGGAGCAGCGTATGTCGGAGGAAGCCAACGGCACAGAAACGGCGTTCCGAAGCCGCAGAAGCCCCGGCAACAGCAGCGGAGGAAGCAGCAGCGGCGGATTTCACACTCCCCCGTCCGACATAAGTCCCGGATCCGCATCCCCGTTATACGCGCAGCGCGCATCTCAATCAACGGCTCACCACACTCGCGAAACGGCTTCCAGGCGTCAGCATGGGAACGGCCGCGAATCAGAACCTAACGGCGGCCGTCAGGGACCAAACGGTCACCGTCTGAATGACGCCGACGGCCATTGCCAGCCCGCCGCTGCGACTGATGGCTGCGAAACCCCTTCTCCGTCGCTCTCCCATTCTCACCCGGGCGGAGCCGTTTCCCCTACCGGTACCGAAGCAGCCAACCGCAACAGATTAAGCTCGTCCTCGTTAAGAGCGCCCTCGTTAGTAGCGTCCTCTGGACCCGCTCCGTCCGCTCCAGGACCTTTATCTGAGTCCGTGCTTCCCCTAATCTCCTCAGCCATAGCTCTCTGCAACCGCATTGTCCATCTCGCGACCTCCACCTCAACCTCTTCTAAAAACCACAGCTCCGCCCGAGGGCGGTCCGCATCCCTCCCCACTTCCCCCTCCGCCTCCCCTTTCCGCCCGACCGCCTCCCCGCTTCCCCCCATTCGAAACACCGCCCTCCGCCTCGCTGCCGAACGTGTCTCGCAACGAATCAAGCAGCTCCTGCCGATCCTGATCCAACTGCAAGGTCCGGCAGCGCCGAGCCTCGCTGCCGACCCTCGTGCGTTATTTATCATCCAACGGCTTGTAACGGAGCTGGAAACCACTGTAGTCGCCCTCCAGGCGTGTAGCAGATCCAGCGGAAATCCACTGGCGAGCCTGCGCCGCTTCTTTGGTCGGCGGCATTTGTCGTTATCCGCCTTCTCCCCTTTCGCGTCCTCTTCCTCCTGTGCCGTAACCCGAACGGATAGTCATGCCGGACCTCCTGCCGGACCTAACCCAGTCAGTTTGGGTGCCGAACCTCCGCTTTCCCGAGCCTTGTCCTCAGCTTCGACCACGTCCATCCCTTTCACCTCCTCCCACTCTTCCTGCTCCTCCGCTCTCACCTCTCAGTTAAAAGCGTGCTTAGCTGAGATCCGCCAATGTCACACGGAGTGCTTGCTTCTGCTGGGCCAGGGTTTCACCGTTTACAGCCGCACTCAGAGTCTTGGGGGGGGGAGCTCACTCGGACGGGGGGAAGGCGGAGGAGAGAGGGGAGGAGAAGGCGGAGGAGGAGGAGGAGGAGGAGGAGGTACAAGAGGTATAGGTGAAGGGTATGGGTTTCGGCAGCAGCAGGAAAGGCAGCAGCAGCAGGAGGAGCGGGAGCAGCAGAGGCGGCGAAGCTTGGAGGATATAGCGTTTCCCTCGAGTTGCATGGTTGATAAGTCGCTATTTATGGTCGGTGGCCACAGTACTGTGGGGACTACCAGGGTAGGCGGAGGTAAACACAGCGGTAGCAGGGGTGTCAGCAGCTCTACTGGCGCTGCCCGCGCTGCCTCTCCCCCTGCTGCTGCTCCTGCTGCTGCTCCTGCTCCTGCTCCTGCTCCTGCTCCTGCTCCTGTTTCTGGCTCTGGCTCTGGCTCTGGCTCTGGCTCTGCTGCGGCTGCAGCCCTCTTGCCTCCCAGTAGGCGAGCTGCCACATCAACTAGAAACAAGCCCAACAGCAGCAGCACGCACAGCGGCACCAGAACCCCCCCTTCCGCCCTAGCAGCGGCCCCACCACCAGGCATGCTCCGCCCTCTCTCCCCGCCCCACCCGCTCACCACCTCCGCTCCCCAAACCCCTCCGCACCCCCCCCTCCGCCTCCTGCCCTCAGGCGCCTCCTCCCCCCGCAGTTCCACCGCCACTGGCGCTTCTGCCTTCTCCGCCGGCCCGGCTGCCGCCCGCCAGCTGGTCGCCTCGCTGTCACGGGGCTCCGTGCTGGAAAAGCGGGCGGCACTGGCGGCGCTTTTGGAGTTATCTGAGTCGTCAGACATGGGGAAGTTACACGTGACAGCAGCGGGGGCGGTTCCTGTGATTGCCGTGCTGCTCAATCTCCCGGACCTGGGAGGCAGCTTCGGCAGCAGCAGCTTCGGAAGCAGCGGCGGGCCTGGGGGGGTGGGTGGGGCAGCTGGTGCGGGTGGTAGTTCGAACGCTGCTGGTGGTGCTAGCAGCAGCAGGAATGGGAGCGGTAAACAGGGTGTCACAGCGTCGATTATCGGTGAACAAATCAAGGTGGCTTCCCTGAAGCTGCTCCTATCGTTAGTCTCCCTGGATGAAAACCGGGCCGTGGTGGTGAAAGCCGGGTGTGTGCGGATCCTAGTCACCACCCTCCGAACCGGATCGCCGGACCTGCGCGCCGTGGCTGCGCGGGTGCTTTTGAAGCTGGCCGTGGGAGGGGGTGGGGCCGGGGGCGACAACTCCAAGGTGCTGATCGCGGCGTCTGAGGCGATCCCGTCGCTGGTGGCCATCTTGCAGTCCCATACCGACCCCGCCGCCAAGCAGGAGGCTGCAGATGCCATCGCGCACCTGACTGCCAACAATGAGAAGAACCAGGTGGGCAACAGGGGTTCCAGGGTTCTAAACATACTGGCAAAGGTGGGGTCACGTTTTCGTCGTTGCAGCCAAGCAGGAGGCTGCAGGCGCCATGGTGCACTTGGCTGCCAATATGAGAAGAACCGAGTGGGCAGAAGAAAAAGAACTAGGTGAGAAAAACGGGTTTCTAAGGGGTAGGGGGGTAGGTAGGGCTTAGGTAACAGCTCGCCGGTGCCAAGCAGGAGGCTGCAGACATGATGGTGCACCGTGCACCTGACCTAAGTGGGAAAATTCGCGTTTCACGTAAATTCGCTGACGAATTTACGCTGGTAAATTCGCCCGAACGCCAGGGCCCTGTTTTGAATTCGTTGGGAAATTCTTTCCGCCCGGGCAGTTAAAAAATGCCCGGGCAGGCCCAAAAAAAAGTTCCCAGGCAGGGGGGGCGTGGGGGGTTTCAGGGCAACTCTTTCTAAGCAAGAAAGTTTTAGCACAAAATAAATATTGCTTCTGAAAGTTTATGGCCATAGCATGTTCTAGAGTTTGGGGGGGATCCTTCGCAACAACAGCCCTGCAGCAACTTACAGCAACATCATACTCGTGAGGTAAGCTAATGTCTATGCGGTAAGCTACTAGATCTTCTAGCTAGGACGCGGAGTGATTAGCTAGATCTACTCTACGTCTGGTAGAGTAGCGTGTGAGATGCGTGATATGGTTGCGTAAGTTGTGTTGGGTGCTGGATGGGTTGGGTTATCTAGATGCGGTGGGGTTTGATGCGGTTGGGAGAGTGGGAGGGGTTGGGAGCATGTTTGGAGGTTCAAAAGTTAGAATCGCGAATTGGCGAGGCCACGGATGGCTTCGCCAAGTCGTCGCGAATCGAGTGGGGAAATTCGCATTTTTTTGTCCGGGCTGCCCGGAAAATTTCCCCCCAGCGTTTCGCGAATTTACGAATTTACGCAAAACGCTGGGGGACCCCAACGAATTTGCCCACTTAGCACCTGACTGCCGACACCTTGGGAGGGAGAACCAGGTGGGGAAAGAGCGGTTATCTTATCTATGAACCTGACTGCCGACACCTTGGGAGGGAGAACCAGGTGAGAAACAGGGAGTTCTAAGGGGTTCGGAGGTTAGAGAAGGAACCAGGGAAGGGAAAGGTTGGCAGGCAGGCGTCAGGTGAGGGAAGGAGAGAGGGCGAGGGGGGGTGGGAGGGAACGAGGGTGCTGTGGAAGTGGCGGTGGGAGGGAGGGGAGGTGGTGGCGCGGGAGGGTTGGGGGCCTAGGGTTTGGGAATGCACTAGGTCTAGGTGAGAATCGTGTGTTTGAATGAAGGGGGCTAGGGGCTTAGGGGCCTAGGGGCTTGAGATGGAGCCAGGTGAGCAGCGAAGTGGTGAGATAGGAAGGAGGAGTCCAATTGCTTTTCTGAGTCGACTCAAAAATCACCTGGGATAGCAGGAGAGGAGTCCAATTTTTGAATTGCGTTTTGGGCTGCCAGGAGGCAGGTGAGGGAAGGAAAGGGGCTGCTGCGGTGCGGCAGCTGGCTAGGGGGTGGTGGGGGAGGGGGGAGGGGGACGGGGGAGGGGGTGTTGTGTTGGTGTGGGGTTTGAGGGGAATTGGGAAAATGCACGTGGTTATGCCGCTGCTTATACCTTTTGAGTCGACTCAAACTCAGCTTGAAGAGGCACGTGGTCAGCTTGAAAAGGCACGTGGTTATGTTGTGTCGCTGCCAATAACATATGATGTCCTTCAAACGAGTTTTGAGCCCCTCAAAAATTGTTCTTCAAGCGATTTTAGAGGCACCTAAAAAATTGTCCTTCAAACGGAATGAAGGCGCTACAATGGCGGGTAGCTGATGGGAGTTCCTAGTTCTCCGTTTCTTCATACCCCTCCCCCCCACCTCCTCCTCTTCCTCCACCCACACCCCCCCCCCCCCTGCAGGTAGCTAAGCCCTATCTGGTGGGCATGCTACTTGACGGGGGACCGGAGGTGCAGGCGAGCAGAACAAGGGCTGCTTTCTCAACCCGCTTCCCCCCAACCCCGCCCCCACCCCCACTCACAGATGGCGGAGGCAGAAGTGGAGGCCGTCTCCCCTCTCTTCCTCACTCACTCTCTTTCTCGCCCTTCCCTGCACTTTCCCACTCTCCCCTGAATCCCTCCTCCCCCCACCCCCCATCCGGGCTTCCCTCCCGCCCTCCGCTCCCCCCCTCTTTCCCCACTCTCATCACGCACACATCGCAGTGGCAGAGGCAGGGCCCATCCCCTCTCCTCACTCCCTATCTCACTCTCTTCCTCACCCTTATTCGCTCTCCCCTCCCTCCCACCCTCCACTCCCCCTCTCTTTCCCCACTATCATCACGCGCACATCGCAGTGGCAGAGGAAGGGCCCATTCCCTCTCCTCACTCCGCACCCCGCCCACCCCCCCACCCCACACCCCCCTCCCCGTTCCTTCCCCCGCCTACAGATCGCAGCGGCAGAGGCTGGTGAGCCTGCTGAGGTGACTTTTGAGTCGACTCAGAAGTCGGCTGGTGAGCCTGCTGAGCGACGGCGAAACAGGCGAGCAGGAGAGGGCTGCTTTGGCCCTGGGCACGCTGGCAGTCAATAGCAGCAACTACAAGCTCTGTGTCTCCCCCTCTCTCTACCTCACTCGCTCTTGAACTCTCGTCCTCACTCCCCCTGTTCCCCACTGACAGATCGCAGTGGCAGAGGCAGGGGGCGCCCCCTTTTTTGAGTTGACTCTAAAATCGACTCATTACACACAGATTGCGGTGGCAGAGGCAGGGGGCGCCCCCTCCCTGGTGGGCATGCTAAGGGACGGGGGAGCAAACGAGCAGGAGAGTGTTGCTCTGGCGCTGGGTACACTGGCAGTGAACAGCAGCGACAACAATCTCTGCCTCTCCCCTCTTTTCCCACACTCTCTCCCCCCTTTCCTCCCCCGCCTACAGATCGCAGTGGCAGAGGCAGGGGCCATTCCCTCTCTGGTGGGCATGCTGCGAGACGGGGGGCCAGGCGAGCAGGAGCGGGCGGCTCTGGCGCTGGGCACGCTGGCAGTGAACAGCAGCGACAACAAGCTCGCCATTGCTGCTGCTGGCGCCGTGCCGCTGCTGCTCGACCTCCTCTTCCACGCCGTCACTGCTGCAAATGGTGTTGCTACTGCTGCTGGTGGTACTAGTGGCGGTGGTCGTGGTGGTGAGGGTGCATCAGCATCAGCAGGCGTTGCAGGCGTTTCAGGGGACTCCCTCCCGCCGTTCCTGTCCCCCTCCTCCTCCGCCGCTGCCCCTCCTCCCCCCTGTGCCACCGCCAAGACCTGCGCGTGGACCCTCTACGTCCTCAGCTCGCACCCCGTCTCCGCGTCCTTCATCCTCGCTAATGACGGGCTCGAGATAGCTCATAAGGTGTACAAGGAGGGCCCGTCGGAGACGCGATACTGGGCCGGGCATTTGCTGCTGCTGTTAGACCCGGACTTCCGGCCAGAAAAGCAGGCCAGCTTTAGGAAGTATGCTTGGACGTCTCCTACTTCGGCACTGGTTTCGAGACAGCAGCAGCAGCAGCAGCAGCAGCAGCAGCAGCAGCAGCGGATGGCACCTGGCACTCCCCCTTTGCAGCAGCAGCAGCAGCAGCAGCAGCAGCAGGAGGTGCAACAGTATCCAAGGGCCGTGTCAACTGACAGTGTTTTGTTGTCACACCAACCCCACACAGCTCAGCAGCAGCAGCAGCAGCAGCGGATGGCAGCAGCAGGCAGTACTTCTTCACTGCAGCAGCTGCTGCTGCCAAACTCGCAGTCGACGGGCCGTAGGTTACGAAAGCAGAAGTCGAGATTTGTAACGCAGCTGTAACGCCGTGAGTTCACCATTCGTGGCGGTCGAGGGGCAGTCGAGGGGCGGTCAGTTACGAAAGCAGAAACCGATATTTGTAACAGAAGCAGTAACATCGTGGCGACGGCCATATCGTGAAAGGGAGTGGATCTGGGGGGAAGGCTCTGGGGAAGGGGCTTGGGGGGGGAGGCTCTGGGGAGGAGGCGTTTTGGGGGAGAAAGCTCAGCCTCCCCTTGTATTGGGGAAAGGTTCGTTTTCCCCTTGCATTGGAGAAAGGCACTTGCACGTTGCTTGTCTCACAGAGGCTTGCAGGCAGAGGCCTCTCATGAGCCATCATGCTGGGCTGGTTGATCGAGGGGACAGTTGTTACCAAAGTACTGGTTTTGTGACGGTGGCTTGCAGGCTTAGGTCTCGCGTCATGCTGGGCAAGCTAGTCGAAGGGGGGTCTGGCATTGAGCATGCTGACAGATGCAGCGGAGCGATGTGTAGGGGGACAAGGGTACTGGTCTTGTGAAGGTGGCATGCAGGCAGGCAGAGGCCTCTCATGAGTCAGGATGCATGCTGGGCTGGTTGGGCGAGGGGGCAATGGGCATCTGCCATGGAGCACGCTGCAGACAGATGCGTCGGAGCGATGTGTGGGGGGAGAAGACAACTGGTTTTGTGTAGGCATGAAGGCAACTGCCGCACATGTTGGGCATCTGTTGCCAGGCATCCAGACAGACAGATGCGGCGGAGCGGATGTGTAGGGGGAGAAAGGCTCTGGTCTTGCGGAGGAGGCGTGCATGCAAAGGCTTCACATGTTGCTGGGCGGATTGGGCAAGGGGGCAATGGGCACCTGGCGTTGAGCATCCAGGCAACTGCGGCGGAGTGGATGTGTTGGGGGAGGAAGGCACTTGTCTTGCAGATGCATGCAGGCAAATGTCTCTCGTGATGCGGGGCACGTTTCTGAGGCGCCTCAAGAATAGACTCCCCACGCAAATGTCTCTCGTGATGCGGGGCACGTTTCTGAGGCGCCTCAAGAATAGACTCCCCACGCAAATGTCTCTCGTGATGCGGGGCACGTTTCTGAGGCGCCTCAAGAATAGACTCCCCACGCAAATGTCTCTCGTGATGCGGGGCACGTTTCTGAGGCGCCTCAAGAATAGACTCCCCACGCAAATGTCTCTCGTGATGCGGGGCACGTTTCTGAGGCGCCTCAAGAATAGACTCCCCACGCAAATGTCTCTCGTGATGCGGGGCACGTTTCTGAGGCGCCTCAAGAATAGACTCCCCACGCAAATGTCTCTCGTGATGCGGGGCACGTTTCTGAGGCGCCTCAAGAATAGACTCCCCACGCATGCAGCAGGTGCAGCGGAGAGGATGTGCGGCGCGGAACGGAACGGAACAGAACGGAACGGAACGTAACGGAACGGAGAACCGTAGTGGTTTTGCGGTGGAGGCATGCAGGCAACGGCATCATTCACGTGGTGCTGGGCGTGTTGGTCGAGGGCTTCTGTGCAGCAGGTGCAGCAGGTGGGTAGGGGGGTTCAAAGCGGTGGAGAGAGCATCTTTCAGGTCGTTGTGCGAATCGAAACCACCACCTCTATTCCCGGAAAGTTGCTGACCTGAGCCTGCTGAGCTGCTGCCGACTCTGTGGAAATGGAAATGGAAATGGAAATGGAAATATGGTCTGGAAATGAAAACTGTGGAATTTTCTCAGATGGTTCTGGTAGGTGAGTTTGCATAGCTAGATGACGCGTACTGGTACTAATAGTGGCAATGGGCCAGTGCGCGTACTACTACTGCGGTACATGTGCGTAGCTATGGATTCTCTTCCCTTCTGTAGCTTGGAGCGGACTATTCTCTAGGCTAAGGCTGTATGTATGGTAGTGGCTGTAGCGGCTGTAGTGGCTGTAGTCGAAGGAAACCAGGCGTATCTTGCACGACCTGTCAGCTGCTTGCTTGTTTCTTTTAGGCGCCTCAAAATAGGCTCCTGGTCTTCTGCCACTCCTTGGCTGTTCTAGAGGCCTTGGCTGTTCTAGAGGCCAAGGCCATATACTACCGGGCAATGCCACCAACCAATGGCATGCACACCCGCACCCCCAGAGGATGCTAGACAAATAGAGAGGGTGGGTTTGTACCTGCAGTAGTGATTTAGGTGACTTGGGAGTCGACTCAGAAGTCACCATTTTCCGCACACTGAGCGTGCCATGTAAATAGAGGGTTGGGTTTGTTTGAACCTGCAGTAGTGATTTAGGGTTTCAGATAAGGCATATTCCTTCCAAGCTCGAAGCTGGGGCAACTTCGCTGTTCATTTGAAGTGTTTTCGAAACAACCTGCGAAATAGGCAGGGGTCGGCTGCATGTATTAACCCTCTCAAACTTGGTGACAGGAGCTGTACTGAATGTTTATTACCCCCTCTGTAATCACTTCCTCTATGGCAGAGGAGCTGCCGCGGGCGGATCAAGTACGGTCCCAGTTTTTTCTGGAGCTCGCTCCAAATCCAAGCGAACCCTTGGGCCGGTCACTAGTCCCGTCAGCCCCTCTGCTCGTGGGAGTGCTGCTGCTGCTGCTGCTCCTGCTGCTCCTGCTGCTCCTGCTGCTCCTGCTGCTGCTGCTGCTGCTGCTGCTGCTGCTGCTGCTGCTGCTGCTGCTGCTGCTGCTGCTGCTGCTGCTGCTGCTGCTGCTGCTGCTGCTGCTGCTGCTGCTGCTGCTGCTGCTGCTGCTGCTGCTCCTGCTGCTGCTGCCTCCGAGGGCGGGTCAAGTACCAGTTTCCTCTGGAGCTCGCTCCAAATCCAGATGGATTATTGAAGGTGTTCCATCAGACCCTCTGCTTGTGCTGCTGCTCCGTGCTGCTGCTGCTGCTCCGTGCTGCTGCTGCTGCTCCGTGCTGCTGCTGCTGCTGCTGCTGCTCCGTGCTGCTGCTGCTGCTCCGTGCTGCTGTTGCTGCTCCGTGCTGCTGTTGCTGCTCCGTGCTGCTGTTGCTGCTCCGTGCTGCTGTTGCTGCTCCGTGCTGTTGTTGCTGCTCCGTGCTGATGTTGCTGCTCCGTGCTGCTGTTGCTGCTCCGTGCTGCTGTTGCTGCTCCATGCTGCTGTTGCTGCTCCGTGCTGCTGTTGCTGCTCCGTGCTGCTGGTGCTGCTCCGTGCTGCTGTTGCTGCTCCGTGCTGCTGTTGCTGCTCCGTGCTGCTGTTGCTGCTCCGTGCTGCTGTCGCTTCTCCTGCAGCTGATGCTGCTGCTGCTCTCACTGGCACTGCCGTTGCCGTTGCCAAACGGGCCCTTGGCCCAGAACGAACAGCCCCTCTGCCTCCAGACTGAGAGCTACTCCAAGGTGATACTGCTGGCATTGCAACTGCTGCTGCTGCTGCTGCTGCTGCTGCTGCTGCTGGCATTGCAACTGCTGCTGCTGCTGCTGCTGCTGCTGCTGCTGGCATTGCAACTGCTGCTGCTGCTGCTGCTGCTGCTGCTGCTGGCATTGCAACTGCTGCTGCTGCTGCTGCTGCTGCTGCTGCTGCTGCTGCTGGAATTGCAACTGCTGCTGCTGCTGCTGCTGCTGCTGCTGCTGCTGCTGCTGCTGCTGCTGCTGCTGGCATTGCTACTGCTGCTGCTGCTGCTGGCATTGCTGCTGCTGCTGCTTTCGCTGCTGCTGGCATTGTTGCTGCTGCTGCTGCAGATGATGACAATGGTGGGAGCTGTGGTGAGTTTGCTTCTGGTGGCAGCGCCAGGCTGTCTCCTGGCCTCCTCGCCACCATCACCTGTCGAGCAGTGCACCCTTCCTCTTTCTACTCTTCTCCTCCCTTCCTCCTTTCCCACCTGCTTCAACTCCTCTTGTTTCTTCTCCTGTGTCTCCCGCGTTCCCTCCAACCCCTCCCACTCCCTCCGCCATCCTACCACCAACTCCACCACCCATCCCCGTACCAACCACAACCCCACTGCCCGTCCCAGTACCTACCAACCTCCCAACACCCCTCACCACCGCTCCTAACCCTCCAATCGTCCCCTCCACCACCCCTGTTGGTCCCACCCTCCCTCCTCGCCTCCCCCTTCCCATCCCACCCTGCAAACCCCTCCTGCCTCCCCTACCCCTCCCCCGGCTTCCGGTTGTTAAAGGCGCTTTGAATCTCGAACCTTGGAGACTTGGACTCTGGACGCCCTGCATTGTGTTTTGTCCTTGAGGATTCTCAGAAGCAAAACTCGACCCTTCGGGTCTTGGACTCTGTACGGCCTGCACTGGATGTGTGGGAGTGGCCTGCCCGAGAGGTGTGGCGGCGCCATGCCGAAACATGAAAGGCGTACCGGCACCCACGCCTGCACCCGCGCCTGCACCCACGCCCGCACCCACGCCCACACCCGCGCCTGCACCTGCACCCGTGCCCGCTTGTTGCAGTGAAAACATGGGGAGGAGGCCCCCCAGCGTTGATGGTGCAGTGGGCCCCTGGGAGTCAGCCAAGCTAGTCACGTTAGTGCCTGTCATGCCAGATGGCATGCCAGCTGTCATGCCAGCTGTCACGCCAGCTGCAGTAGCGCCCTTTACGCTCACACTGCTGCTGTTGAAAGCTGCATGGCTGTTGCTGCTGCTAGTAGTGTTACCCGTACCAGCACCAGCGCCGCTGCTGCTGCAATTACCAGAAGGGATGTTACAAGGGTTACCAGAAGGGTTACCAGACGGGTTATTAGAAGGGCTATTGTTACTGTTGGGACCACGGGCCCCCCTAGAACGGCCTCGGCCCCTCTTCCCCTCTCCTGCTGCTGCTGCTCTCCCTCCTCTCCCTCCGCCCCCACTACCAGCTGACACTGAGACAGGAGCAGAGGGGGTAACCGGGGGAGGTTGATTGGGAGGAGGAGGAGGTGCATTGTGGGGTGGTTGATTAATATGTGGAAGATAAGGGGGAGGTAAGACCCTAGCGCCAGCAGCAGCAGCGACAGCCGCCAGTGCACTAGGGGGGGTTGCATCCCCACCACCAGTCATAGCACCATTAGTACCTGCAGCCATTCCCGAGCCTGATCCCGAGGCACGCGCCAGAGGTCTGGGTACCGATCCTGCGGCCAAAGCAGAGCCCAATTGGCTGAGCCCTCCTCCCGAACCTGAAGTCAGCCCGGGTGGTGGCCGAACCTGATGCAGTGGTCCAGGTTTGGCAGGAGGTTGGGGATTCTTGGCGGGAAGGAGGAAAAAGAACCGTTTATCCCCTACCTGGAGCAGCTGCTGGGATTTCAGCGGGACCGGGTCAGATCCAGAAGATTTCGGCTGCCCGTCCACATACACCCCGTTCTTCCCGAGCACTTCCAGGCGAAATTCGCGAGCGGCGAAGTCGTAGAAGATTTTCGCATGGTTTCGCGAGACGTTCATCCCGCCGCCTAGCGCCGAGAGGTCGAGATCGACGGACGACTTCTTGCTGTTGCGACCGAGCACGATCGAATACGACTGCACGAAATACTCGAAATCTTCGCCGTGGAGCTTCGCGAAACCCGCGCGAACTTGCTCCGCGAGTGGCGCAGCCGCGGCCGCCGCCGCCGGCGGTGCTGGTCTCGGCTTAGACGGCTGATCGCATTGCGGTGGCTGCTGGAGCGGCTGTTGCGGATGTTGCGGCTGCTGCTGCGCCGAGAGTTGCGCCAGTGGCGGAAGCGATGGGGGAGCGGATTGTTGCGGCAGGAGGGGGATCGGGAGCGGAGGTGGAGGCGGACGGAGAAGCGGATGCTGCTGCTGCTGCTGCTGCTGCTGGTTTTGCTGCTGCGGCATGATTGAAACGGACAGCGATGGCTGTTGTAGCAGTTGCTCCCCGTCTTCTACCTTGAGCGCCTAGAGAAAACAATATAAAATACAGGATGGAGCGCCGTTCTTGCACGCTTTGGGGGGGTAGGAGCAACGCAAGATAGCCGAGACTGGAAACTAGTCCGGATAGACTGAAAATTCTAGCTCGTCAACTGGTCTCATAATAGGTAATAAGAAGCAAGAACTCGACCGAAAATGGGCGACAGCAGCACCTCAGGGATGAACAAGAGCGCGATACTGTACAAGGCTATAAGGAGTACGTGAGAACACAGAGCACGCTACATGACTCTGCCGCTATCGGTATAAATAACTATTGTAAGTGTACCTATGCGAACATTTAACATCCTAACGATTGCTCTGGTTGAACTTCTAGCACAACTCAATGCATCAAAACCACGTGGACTACCCCTCGTGTACACACTCTACGCCAACAGCTGGAAAATAATTATCGTTCAATATTAACATACAATACTAAGTCGTCAAAATACTCGGGGTGCCTAACAAAGTGCTTACACTGTAGCCGGCCGTTGCGGCAGCAGCAAGTTATAAAAAGCATCCCGGACGAAAAAGTCCGCCCCACCATCCGTCTTGGCCTTCCTCCAGGCAACCCAACCCCCGCTCCTTATCGCTTTGATATCCTCCCCTCCAGTGTAATGCGGGTCGAGAATAAGAAACGCACACTCCCCTGTCGCCTCATCGTAGTCCACGCCTAGTAGGGTGTACGCGAGAACACCACCTCCTATCATCACCGGGGTGCCCTGGGTGGTGAAATGGTGTGCTAGCTGTCTGCCTTTAGATGGCATGTCTGCTCCGGATGGCACAGTCAGCACCTTGCATGTCACCTGGAGGGAGGGACGAATCCACCAAGAGAGGGAAAAATCCACCTTGCAGGATTAGACATAAGAGAGAGGGGGCATCCCCCTTGCTAGCTTCTGGCCCTTATATGGCATGTATGCTCCTGACGACACAGTGAGGTATATACACGTGCACCTATCCACTACCACGTGCACGATGCTCCATGCACCATGCACCATGCACCCTCAAAGACACCAACCGTGGATGACACCTTAAGTTGAAACTACTCACCCCCAGAAGGTGGTCCAGAATGAAACTGAGCTCTATAGCGCCAATCCACTGGCTGGATCCCACGAACGACGGCTCCTTGTCGCCCACCTCCACTAGCGCCTCCTGAATGCGCCTGGGGGGAGGGGTGAGAGGCAGTGCGGAGAGGAATGGTAGAAGGATGACGTTCTAGGGGGGACAGGGAGGGACCACGAACGGCTCCTTGTCGCCCAGCTCCACTAGCGCCTCCTGAATGCGCCTGGCGGGGGTGAGGCAGTGGGGGGGAATGGTAGACGGACATGCCGAAGACGGTCAAGGGGGGGGACGTGGAGGGACCAAGGTCAGCATAAGAGGCTCCTTGGCGCCCACCTCCACTAGCACCTCCTGAATGCGCCTGGAGGGATTGGTAAGGCATGGGAGCGGAATGAGCGAGATACGATGGCGGCGTTTAGGCTTCCGGAAGGAAGCGTGAGTGGCCATAGGAGGGAACAAGTGGACAATATCGCTCGGAGCAACGTAGAGGTGATGGCGGATACGGATTGGAATGTGGAGTTGATATGGTTAATTGCAGCTTGAGGAATTATATGGAGGGAGAATGTTTTTGAGAATTCTCACAAACACCCTGCAATATATGGAGTTAGAAGGCTATCCAGCTGAGCTGGAACGCGTTCGCATGCACATCCCATGCGATGCTTGTCTAGGTGATTGACTAGTAAGTCCTTCTTCTGCTCGAAATTTCTCACTCTGCTTTGTAGTTCGGTCTATCGATTATGCAGGGAAGTATCTGCTGCGATCAGACCCATTTATTGCAACAGTTGATGTGGAATAAACTGCTGCAATAAACAGTTGATATGGAATAAACTGCTGCAATAAACAGTCGATGTGGAATAAACTGCTGCAATAAACAGTTGATGTGGAATAAACTACTGCAATAAACAGTTGATGTGGAATAAACTGCTGCAATAAACATTTGATGTGGAATAAACTGCTCCAATAAACAGCTGATGTGGAATAAACTGCTGCAATAAACAGTTGATATGGAATTAACTGCTGCAATGAACAGTTGATATGGAATAACAGTTTTCTTGCAGCTTGAGGAGTGATATGGAGGGAGAAACGCGCGATAGGTAAGGGGGGACTGGGCAATAGGTGGGACTAGGAAAAGCACTGTGTGTACCAAGCAAAGAGATGGCGTGTCCCGATGGTGTGTGTGTGTACCAACCAATGAGATGGCGTGTCCCGATGGTGTGTGTGTACCAACCAATGAGATGGCGTGTCCCGATGGTGTGTGTGTGTACCAACCAATGAGATGGCGTGTCCCGATGGTGTGCGTGTGTACCAACCAATGAGATGGCGTGTCCCGATGGTGTGTGTGTGTACCAACCAATGAGATGGTGTGTCCCGATGGTGTGTGTGTGTACCAACCAATGAGATGGCGTGTCCCGATGGTGTGTGTGTGTACCTGACAATGGCAAACACTTTACAGCGCGTACCTATGGCTTGGTACGGGGAGTGAAGTGTACTGCTGAATGCGGAACCAGGACACGATGGTCTGAAGGGAGCGATAGGCACAACCCCATCCCTGACGGTGGGAAAGGGAAAGGTGGGGGGAAGGAGAAACGGGAAAGCAAAGGGGGAATGGGGGGGGGGGGGGGGGACTTAGGGAAGTGTACTGCTGAATGCGGAACCAGGACACGATGGTCTGGAGGGAGCGATAGGCACAACCCCCATCCCTGATGGTGGGAAAAGGAAAGGTGGAGAGGGAGGGATGGGGGGAAGTGAGAAACGCACGAAAGTGCACTGCTGCATGCAGCACCGAGAGACGACGGTTTGACGCAAGCGATAGGTGCAAGTGATGAGATGATGAGAGGATGAGAGGATGAGAGGATGAGAGGACGAAAGGATGAGAGGATGAGAGGATGAGAGGATGAGAGGAGCAGCTTAACCCTGAGAGGTGGAGGTGAGAAGAGCAGGAAACCAGGGAGTGTGGAGGGTGGGGGAGACTTACACTGTCGTCAATCCTGTCTTGCATGTAGTGGTAATACTCGTATGAGCCCTGCACCAGGTACTGCCTCGACCCTGGAGACACAGAGCAAAAGGGGAGAGGGGAAAGGGGAAAGAGCAAGATGTGGAAAAAGGAGGGGACCTATTCACAATACTGTCTTGCATGTAGTGCTAATACTCGTATGAGCCCTGCACCAGGTACTGCTTTTAAACTAGAATTCCAGGGTTCAATTCAGAGTGGAAGGAAGAGTGGGAGAAAGAAAAAAGGCTGAAATCGTGGGAGGGGACGCGGGGAGGGCGATGATGGAGAAGGCTGGAAGGAGGAGGCTGAGCGACGAGTGCGGTGCAGAGTCTATTTTTGAGGCGCCTCAAAAATAGACTCCTCGCGACGAGTGCGGTGCATGTGAGGGAGGGACGAGGGAGACGAGGGGGAGGAACAGTGCCCGGGACCAGAGAAAAAAAGAACGTGCTTTTTGCTCCTGTGGACTTACCTGTGGAGTGTGGCAGGCGAGGAAGGCCCACGTGTACGTCCCAGAGGCGAAGAGCTGCTGGGCATTGGCGGAGGGGTGGGGTGGGGGGGAGCAAGGGAAGGCGGAAGGCGGAAATAAGGAGGTGCAGAGCTGACATCTATGTCCCATGGACAAAGACATGCACTTGAGGAAGGGGAGTAAGGGGGAGGAAGGGGGACGGAGGGGAAGAGAGCAGGTGGTAACATGACGAAGGAAAAATGCTTTTGAGGCGCCTCAAAAGCACTCTCAGTTCACGCGGGAAGAGAGCAGGTGGTAACATGACGCAGGAAAAATGCGGGGAAGCACACACGTAGGGAAAGGGAGAACAAGGGAGAGACGGGTGTGAACAACTGAGTGGGAGTGAGTGTGTGGGAGTGGGAGTGAGTGAGAGTGGGAGTGGGAGTGGGAGTGGGAGTGAGTGGGAGTGAGTGGGAGTGTATGTGAACGGAGAAGAGTTACAGCGCACTGACTCACCTTTTGATGGTGCTTGAGTGTCATCCGCAGCAGCAGCCGGCGCAGAGAGCGAGAGGGCGGATGCGATGCGCAGCATGGGTCGGTCCAGAGGCAGCCCCAGGCGCTGGTGCAGGGTTGAGCGCATGTCCACTGGGGAGGGTGGGGAGGGTTGATGGGGGAAGGATAAAGGTGCGGAGGGGGGTAAACGATAGGGAGGGGCGGGAGAGAGGACGCGATGCGCAGCATGGGTCGGTCCAGAGGCAGCCCCAGGCGGTGGTGCAGGGTTGAGCGCATGTCCACTGAGAGGTCGCGGAGGGTTGATAGGGGAAGGAAGGGGATAAACAGTAGGGAGGGGCAGGGGAGGGCGGATACGATGCGCAGCAGGGGTCGGTCCAGAGGCAGGCCCAGGCGCTGGTGCAGGGTTGGGGAGGGTTGTTGGGAGAAGGATAAAGGTGCGGAGGCGGGTGAACGATAGGGAGGGGCAGGAGACAGGACGCGATGCGCAGCATGGGTCGGTCCAGAGGCAGCCCCAGGAGGTGGTGCAGGGGGGGCGCATGTTGACTGGGGGGTTGGGGAGGGTTGTGAGGAGGAGGTGGCGGAGGGAAGAGGAGAAGAAGGGGGGAAGTGAGGGATGCCAAAGAGATGATATGCTGGTGCAAGCAGGTATTTCTAAAAGTCACTCTTAGAGGAAATACTTGTGCCCAGGGGCAAGTAGTGAACAGACCCCAAGATACAACATATTCCGTTCTGCACTCACCCAGGCCCTGCTGCCTATTTTTTGGAATTCTCGGAAAAACCAACCCTACAACGTATTCTGTTCAGCACTCACCCAGGCTCTGCTGCCCCTCGCCGTACGTGAGAGGGTAGAGCACAGTGAGTGGGTGCGGCCAAGACGGAAGCAGGAAGTGGTATGCACGGAACTGCATCATGCAGAAGGGAGGGAAGGGAAGGGAAAGGGGGTAGAGGGTGGGGCAGAGACGCAGGAGGAGCGCAGGGAAACGATTTTTGAGGCGCCTCAAAAAGGGAGGGAAGGGAATGGAAAGGCGGGTAGAGGGGGAGGCAGAGGCGCAGGAGGAGCGCAGGGAAACGATTTTTGAGGCGCCTCAAAAAGGGAGGGAAGGGAATGGAAAGGCGGGTAGAGGGGGAGGCAGAGGCGCAGGAGGAGCGCAGGGAAACGATTTTTGAGGCGCCTCAAAAAGGGAGGGAAGGGAATGGAAAGGCGGGTAGAGGGGGAGGCAGAGGCGCAGGAGGAGCGCAGGGAAACGATTTTTGAGGCGCCTCAAAAAGGGAGGGAAGGGAATGGAAAGGCGGGTAGAGGGGGAGGCAGAGGCGCAGGAGGAGCGCAGGGAAACGGGTAGTGCACAGTGACCGGGTGCAGCCGGGAGGGAAGCAGGAAGTGGCATGCACCGAACTGCATGGCGTGGATCAAAGGGGAGGGAGAGTGAGGAGAGGGGTACAGGAGGAAGGGAGGGCAGGGGAGGGAGTGCCAGAAGAGGATGCTCCAATGCCCTGTTCCCAGCACCTATAGGATCAGGTTACGCGTGGAGGAAGTGTGAAAGGCTTACAGTTGCGTGACATGTACAAAATGGACGGAGGGCAATGCGGGATTGGATTATGGAGGGGTGGCAGGGAGAGAGAAGGAGTGAAAGAGAGGAGAGGGACGACCTTGAGTCCCAGCTGGAAGGAAACGGCTGAAACTGCTTCCTTTGCTGCATCACCTGTTGCCCTTGCTCCATCCGTAGGTGTTATTGCCCTTCCTCCCTTCCCTCTCTCCCCCTCCCCTTCATTCCGCGTCCCTTCCTGTCCCCCCCCGCTCCTCCCCTCCCCCCCTCGCCGTCCCGTCCCCCCCCTTCCCCGCCCCCAACCATCCATTCTACCGCCTTGACTTGCCGCAGCAGCCCCGGCACTACGAGACGGCGCAGCGCCGCCCGCAGCGACAGCTGGCGGGGGGCGAAGACGAGGCAGCTCAAGGACAGGCTTATCTGGTGGAGGTGGATGCTGGGGGCGGCTGGGGGAAGAACAGGGGGGAGCGAGAGAGAGGGGCCGGGGGAAGGGGGTTGGTTGGGGGGGACTGGGTTAGAGGTAGTGAGTGAGAGGGCTAGGGGGGTGTGTATGAGACGAGCAAAGTCGCCCACTAGTGGCATAGAGTGCTCCTTATGGGCACACACTTTCAATTCCACTTCAGTTGAAGCTGCGTTGGTGGTGGTACTTGCACTTCTGAATCGACTCAGTAACAATAAAGAGTGCTCCTTATATGTGGCTGGACACCCCACCCACTGCTCCTTACCTGGGGTGTAGCTGAGACCAACAGCCGCACTCTTCTGCCCCTCGAATGCAGACGTGGCAGCTGGCGATTGGTTGAGCAGCAGAGATACACGTGTCGTCGATGCCAGCTGTGAGCCAAGAGAGGGTGAAGGGGAGGCGGGAAAGTAGGGGATGGAGGAACGAGAAGGGGAGGCGGGACGAGAAAGGGGAAGAAAGAGTGGAGTCGAGGGCAGGAGGGCAGTGCGGGCGCTGGAGATGAGGAAAGGGCTTTAAGGGAATCATTAAGGGAATCAAGCTAGTAGCATGCATCTATTAATCACCAGCCACATACTCTTTTCGAAGCTTGGCTTTCTGCTCTCCCTCCCCCTCCTCCCCCACTAACCCCCTTCCCCCCTTTCCCTCTAGCACCTCCTCCTTTTCCTCCCCCTTCTCCTCCCCCCTTTCCCCCAGCCCCTTCAACTGACGTCAGCAGATCACCACACACCATCCCCTCTGCACTCCCCCCACCATCCCTGCCACGTGTCACGCTGCCATTGGCTCCTGGAGCTCTCCCGTTCGGCAGAGAGCCAATCAGGAACGGACGCACGGCTCCTGCAGCAGTGGCGCTGGCAGCTGATGTCGAGCTGGCAGATGCTGACGTGGCAGCAGAGGGTGGCTGCGGTGGGTGCAGCAACCAGAGGGCGTGAGGGCTGGTGACGTCAGCTTGAATGGCTGAGAGGGACGCGGATAGTGATGACGACAGGGCTGGCGAATAAGGAATGGAGGGGTGGTTGGGGGGGGTGGAGGGGAGGGGGAAAAAGGGGAAGGTTTTGGGGGGGGAAGGGGGGAAGGGGGGGAACAGGGGGGGGAGGTTGGACAGGGGGCAAGGGGGAGCCAGAAGCGGCGAGGGGGGGGAGAGGGGGGGAGGGAGGGAAGGGGGGGCCAGTTTTATGAAATGGCTAGTAAGGTAAGGTCGAATAGCTGAGAGGGATGCGCAGAGGGGATGGCGAGGTGAGAGGAGGGACGGAGGAGAGTGGAACAGGTAGGGGATCGAATGATTTGGGGTGAGGTTTTGAGGCGCCTCAAAACTAGGGGATCGAATGATTGGGGGTGAGGGAATCGATGGGACGAGCAAGATGATGGGATGAGGGGGAATGGCTGGTAAGATAAGATGGCGGGTTAGGAAATCTATGGGAAGAGCAGTGATGTGTTTCGTGGGAATCTGTGAAATAGAGGAGTTGGGGGATGAGGGGGCGGAGCGAAGCTCACTCTGTTTGTCGTGGATGAACAGTGGCAGGGTGGCTGCCACGTCACACACCAGCGGGCAGTGTGCCGCCCAAAACTCCTCCTCCAGCGGATTCTCCTCCCCACCAGTAGCAACAGAACTGGAAGCAGCGGCAGCAGGGGCAGATGAAACAGACGATGCACTACTTACATCTCCCTTACCCCCTCGAGTCGCCACTACCTCTACCTCCACAGCCGTCCCTTCCTCCTCCTTCGCAATCTCCCATGCCACGTCAGCCTCAGTCTCTTCTCTTCGCCTATCCGCTCCCCTTCCCTCTTCTCTGCCGTTCCCCCCATCTCCCTCTTCTCTGCCGTCCCCCTCATCTCCCTCACTCTCCGATCCTATCCGTTCCCTGTCCTCATCATCCCTCGCCTTCTCTGCGAGATCCTGTCCCCACCAATCTGCAGCTGCCACGTCATCCCTTCTCAGCTCGATTCCCGCCAAAAGGGTTAATTTCAGGGGGATTTCACTCGAGGCGAATGCGACACTCGTCCACGTCACCATGAAAGGGCGGCGCGCCAATGCCACATCATGAAAGATTCGCCGGAATTCGGCGATCGGTGCCCTCAGGAGAGCCTGATTTTCGGGGGTAAACTCCCCTCGCACCGCAACCCCGACGACTGTAAGCCCCCCAGGAAGCAGCGGCAAAAGAGCTCGCGCCTCCGACTTGGCGACGTCGCACGCGGAGACATCACGCTGTGCGACGTCGCATCTGGCTGCGACATCACTCGGCGAGGTTCGCGAGCTACCGTTACCGCCGTCGCTGTCGCCACGCTGCTGGAGTGCGACGTCCCTGAATCGCGGGTCTACGAGGATGCAGGACAGAACGGAGCAGGTAGGGCGTGGGTCGCGAGATGAGAAGAACGAGGCCGAAGGGCCTACTAACCAGCCGAGAATAACGGGAAAGGACGACTCGCTTGGCGAATCAGAGACTGCTGGAGGATTTCTTAAGATGGTGGATTTGAGCGACGCGATCACCTGATCGTGCAGGCGAACTGAAGCGGCCATGGCGGTGGCAGTAGTGCTAGGCAAATTTATTGGGGGGGTGGATCATGAATCTTGCTTGCATGGTATTCAAGGCATTCCCGAAAAACAAATTCGTGCATGAGTTCAGGTAACGAAACCGGATTCGTGAATTCTTGTAACGAAACTGGAGTCACCGCAGCGAAAATCTGTGGCGAGAGTAGCGAAACCTTCAAGTCATCTTTGCGAAAGCGAGCACGAAATATTCTGTGCAGATCCATGCAGCTGGGCAGTGTGCCTAGAGAATTCCTCGACAACTTCAAGGCTCACATGGGAAAATCCAAGTTGGCAAAAGTGCATATGTGCCAGCCGGGAATCGAACCCGGGTCTGCACCGTGCTGATCTGGCAGGGTGCTATTCTACCACTAGACCACTGGCACAGCATGTCATGTCGATTAAGCTACGTTAAAGATTCTTAATTTAAAAAACTAAAATGGCTCTTGCTCAACTAGGTTTGCCCAGCTGTCATCCTCTTTACAGTGAAGCAAACTTCAAAGTCAGGCTCTGTACATTGAAACGGCATTCTTTGTACGAGTCAGCCAACTACGAGTCCTAATATGGGATACATACAAGCTTTTATGTTACATAGCTCACCCGTACCATATTCCTAGATTTCTCACTGCAGCTTACAATCAGACCACCGCACCATTAGCTCGATCTTGTTTTTCACCATTTTTCACCGGAAGTTGCTTCTGTGAGACGCTTTCGGTGCCTCCGCAATAGTTCCGTCTGCCTTGTTTTCACCCCCTTCCTCCCAAAAGACTCCTGACTAAACCCGCCCGTTTTGCCATGGCTCGTCGCGACGAGAAGAAGCGGCGCAAGCGGGACGATTCGGACAGCGAGGATTCGGACGAGCGCAGGAGACGGAGCAGGAAGAGCCGGAAATCGCGGAAGGACAGCGACGACGATTCTGACGAGGACGATGCTGCCTCCACGTCGGATTCCGACGGCGATCGCGGCCGGAACCGCAAACGGCGGAGCCGCGGGAGCCGGAAAAAGCTCCGCAAGGGTGACTCTAGCGAGAGTGACGATGACAGTCGGAGTAGGAGCCGAAGCAGAAGCAGGAGCAGGGGACGGAGCAAAAAGGATAAGAAAGACAGGAAGGCGAAAAGAAACAAGAAGAGCAAGCGGGATTCCCGGCGGCGACGGGAACCGTCGGATTCGGAGCGATCAGAGGATAGTAGCGGGAGTGGGAGTGGGAGCGATAGCGGGAGTGATAGTGACGGGGGTCCGTCGGGCGGGAGAGGGAAGAAGGTGTCTGAGGAGGAGCTCCGGGAGTACCTGGCGAAACGCGCGCAGAAGAAGGCGGCGAAATTGGCGAAGAAGCTCAAGCCGAACGCCGTGTCTGGTTACACGAATGACAGTAACCCGTTCGGGGACACCAACCTCACTGAAACGTGAGTTGTGCTGGTGTGTGTGGCGAATGAGGATAGAGCGGGACGTGCTTGGGGGAAACCCCCACGGGGGAACACTCACTTTTCAGGAGTCGTTTACTCGCACGTGATTTCGTCCCTCCACCCGTCCCTCTCCCTCCCTGCAACCAGTTTTCGAGAAGGACGTGCTGCGAGGCACCTTTCTGAGCGTCGTGCAATCAGCCTCATGAGACGTCTCACCACGCGCGCTCTACCTCATTCCCCCCTTCCCTCTCTTCGCATGTTTTGAGGCGCCTCAAAAATAGACTCCTCTCGCGCTCTACCTCATGTTTCCCTCCCTCCGTTCCCCCCATCCCTCTCTTCGCATGTGTCCCTCTCCGTGCGCACAGCTTCGTGTGGCGCAAGAAGATCAACAAGGACTCGTGCTGCGGGGCACCCTGCTAAAGCGTCTCAGAAGTCGTTTACTCACGTGTGTTTTCCTCCCCCCGCCCATCCCTTGGTTGGTGCGCGCAGCTTCGTGTGGTGCAGGAAGATCGAGAATTACTCGTGCTGCGAGGCACCTTTCTGAAACAACTCACTGCTCGCTTTCCCCCCCCATGTTTCCCGGCCTGCCTCCCACCCGTCCCTTTCCCTCCCACCCGTCCCTCTCCCTGCTCTCACCGTCGTGTGGTGCAAGAAGATCAAGAAGGATGTGCTGCGAGGCACCTTCGCAAGTCTCAACTTACCCTTCCCCCCCTAGTCATTTCCAACCTCCCGTTCTCTACCTTTCCCTTTCCCCTGCTCTCACCATCGTGTGGTGCAAGAAGATAAGAGGTCCCTCACGCGCTGAGGGGCACCTTTTTTTTAGATAACATGTCGCTCACCACTGTTACCCTGACTTGTCCTCCCTCCCGCGCACACACCTGTACTCCCTCCCCGCCCATCACTTGGTGCGCGCAGCTTCGTGTGGCGCAAGAAGATCGAGAAGGACGTGCTGAGGGGCACCTTGGACCCGCGGGAGATCACGCTGCAGAATGAGAGGAAGAGACTCGAGGCCCGCATGGTGTGTTGCTGGGGGGTTGTATGGGGCATTGGTTGGGGCGTTGGTTGGGGCGTTGGTTGGGGCGTTCTGAGGAGAACCCTGGACCCGCGGGAGATCACCCTGCAGAACGAGAGGAACAGGCTCGAGGCCCGCATGGTGGGTTGGTGGTTGGGATATAGTGATTGATGCATCCGTCCTCTGCTCTTGCTTAAGTTGCAACCACCTGTCTTCCTGTCAATCCTTCCATTGAACCGCCTGTCCTCCTGTGTTCCGTCCCACGCGCTCTGTTGTATTTTGAGTCGACTCAAAATACAACTGTCCTCCCGTGTTCCGTCCCACGCGCTCTTGTTCAACGTGCGAGCAGGAGGAGATTGAGAAGGTGAAGAAGCGACGGGAGGAGAGGATGCTAGAGAAGGCTCAACATGACGAGGAGATGGTGAGTGGTGGGGAGAGATGGGGAGTTGTGCGTGCATGGCAAATTTATGTGCTGGTGGGTTGTGAAACATGGTCCCATGAGATGGGGGGTTGGAGGAGGAGAGGATGCTGGAGAAGGCCCAGCACGACGAGGAGACGGTGGGTTGTTTGGTGGGGAGGGATGGAGTGTGGAGGCGAGAGTTGATTAGGCTGACACAAGCTGTGGGTTCGACATTTTTCTCATGGGGGTTGCTTGGGCCGTTGTCCTCTGGTGAAAGGATTTTCATTCCTCGTTTTGTGTGCTTACCTCGTGCTTCCCTCTTGTCTGTGTGTGTGCGTGTGTGCCTTTCTGCAGGCTATGTTGGCGCGTGAGAGGGCTCGAGCCGAGTTCCAAGACTGGGAGGAGAAGGAAGATGAGGTAACTGCTTCCCTCGCTCGTCCTCCCCCCCTTTCTCTGCCTTTCTTTCGGTTGCACACACACACACAGACACACACACACACAATGCTCTCACACATACACTTTTCTTTGGATTGGTCAGCAGCAACAGGAGTTACAAGACGCAGAGTTTAGGCCAATTGAGGTCTGGCTGGCTGAGGGACGGGCGCCGCCCATTGCTTTGCTCAATTGAGTTGCTTTGCTTTGAATCCGAACCTCCCTCCCTCCCTCCCTCCCTCACTCCCACCCTCCCTCCCTCCCTCCCTCCCTCCCTCCCTCCCTCCCTCCCTCCCTCCCTCCCTCCCTCCCTCCCTCCCCCACTCCCACCCTCTCTCCCTCCTACCTCTCACCCTCCCTCCCTCCCTCCCTCACTCCCTCCCTCCCTCCCACCCTCCCTCCCTCCCTCCCTCCCTCCCTCACTCCCTCCCTCCATCCCTCCATCCCTCCATCCCTCCCTCCCTCCCTCCCACCCTCCCTCCCTCCCTCCCTCCCTCCCTCCCTCCCTCCCTCCCTCCCTCCCTCCCTCCCTCCCTCCCTCCCACCCTCCATCCCTCCCTCCCTCACTCCCTCACTCCCTCACTCCCTTCCTTAAGTCCCCTTCCTCTCTCACCCCTCCTCACCTCTTCCCCGCAACCCCCACATGCTGAGTTCCGTTTCGCAAGGAGAGTCCTTGCACCAGGAAACAACGGGTCAAAGTCCCCGTTGTTTCCTCTCAAAGATCCAGAGGAACGAGCGTCTGACTTCTTTCCCATGCTCCGCTACTCACTCTTCCTCCCTCTCTTCCTCCCTCTCTTCCTCCCTCTCTTCCTCCCTCTCTTCCTCCCTCCCTCCCCTTCCCCCCCACTTCTCTCCCCCTCGCAGTTCCACTTTGAGCAGAGCCGCGTTCGCTCGGAGATCCGCCTGAGGGAGGGCCGGGCGAAGCCCATCGACGTGCTTGCGAGGAACCTCACGCTCTCAGGGGACTTTGACATCGAGGTCAACGAGCCGTACAAGATCTTCAAGGTGCGTTATGAGTCGATAAAGACGATAAGAGCCTGAGTGAAAGGGGTTCTTATCCTTCAATATAGTGAAAGGGATTCTAATCCTCCAACATAGTATGCTGGCATTGAGGTCGACGGGGGGGGGGGTGAAACGTTTTAACACCTTGTTGTGCTTCTACGAGGTGACTTTTGAGGTGACTTTTGAGTCGACTCAAAAGTCACCTTGCTGTGCTTCTACGCTTTCTGAATTTGTGTCTGTGTATGTGTGCATTTGTGTGCATGTGCATCTGTCTGCATGTGCATCTGTGTGCATGTGCATCTGTGTGTGTGTGTGTGTGTGCATCACACCAGGGCCTCACGGTGAAGGAGATGGAGGAGCTCAAAGAGGACATCAAGATGCACCTCGAGTTTGACCGCAACAACCCCATGCACCAGGAGTTCTGGAAGGTACAGTGTGGGGGTTCTGGAAGGTACGGTAGGGGGGTTGCTGGAAGGTACAGTAGTGCGGGGGGTTCTGGAAGGTACGACGGGCTTCTGGGAGGTACATAGGTTTTGGAATGAAATTGATGGTTCCTGTCTTGGCTTGAGTGATTGGGTGCTTCTGATGGCATGTAATGCATCCTCAGAAGGCATGCATCCACCTGCCTTCTGCAGTGCAGCTGGGCTGTGGGATCCTCAGAAGGCATGCATCCACCTGCCTTCTGCAGTGCAGCTGGGCTGTGGGATCCTCAGAAGGCATGCATCCACCTGCCTTCTGCAGTGCAGCTGGGCTGTGGCATCCTCAGAAGGCATGCATCCACCTGCCTTCTGCAGTGCATCTGGGTTTCGGGTTTCGGGTTTCGGGTTTAGGATTCCCCATTCCTCATACCGTTTTTCCCTTCCCCCTCCCAACCATTCACCCCCTCGCCCCCTCCCGCTCCGGCAGGGACATTGTAGCCCAAGCAAGAGTGAGGAGCCCAGACAGCAAAAGAGGGGGGCGCTCACGCGCACGGCAATTGCTTGCACACCTGTTGCCCATTCCAGACACCCGCATTACCTTGCGTTTCCTTCTCATTCAAGCTCCCATGCGCACCCTGCTCACCATTTTTGAGGCGCCTCAAAAATCTTCTCATTCAAGCTCCCATGCGCACCCTGCTCACCTCCCTCTCCCCCATGCAATGATGGTGGTCTGCAACCACGAGATTTCTGAGACCACCCACAGAGACGCCATAGACAGCGAGAGTGAGAGGGGAGGAGCCGCCAGAGGGTTTCACAGCTGAGGAAAGAGGGGCATGCACACGGCAGTAGGGGCATGCACACGGCAGTAGGGGCATGCACACGGCATAGGGGCATGCACACGGCAGTAGGGGCATGCACACGGCAGTAGGGGGCCACGGCAGTAGGGCATGCACACGGCAGTAGGGGCATGCACACGGCAGTAGGGGCATGCACACGGCAGTAGGGGCATGCACACGGCAGTAGGGCATGCACACGGCAGTAGGGGCATGCACACGGCACCCGGCAGTAGGGGCATGCACACGGCAGTAGGGGCATGCACACGGCAGTAGGGCATGCACACGGCAGTAGGGGCATGCACACGGCAGTAGGGGCATGCACACGGCAGTAGGGGCATGCACACGGCAGTAGGGGCATGCACACGGCAGTAGGGGCATGCACACGGCAGTAGGGGCATGCACACGGCAGTAGGGGCATGCACACGGCAGTAGGGGCATGCACACGGCAGTAGGGGCATGCCACACGGCAGTAGGGGCATGCACACGGCAGTAGGGGCATGCACACGGCAGTAGGGGCATGCACACGCAGTAGGGGCATGCACACGGCAGTAGGGGCATGCACACGGCAGTAGGGGCATGCACACGGCAGTAGGGGCATGCACACGGCAGTAGGGGCATGCACACGGCAGTAGGGGCATGCACACGGCAGTAGGGGCATGCACACGGCAGTAGGGGCATGCACCACGGCAGTAGGGGCATGCACACGGCAGTAGGGGCATGCACACGGCAGTAGGGGCATGCACACGGCAGTAGGGGCATGCACACGGCAGTAGGGCATGCACACGGCAGTAGGGGCATGCACACGGCAGTAGGGGCATGCACACGGCAGTAGGGGCATGCCACACGGCAGTAGGGGCATGCACACGGCAGTAGGGGCATGCACACGGCAGTAGGGGCATGCACACGGCAGTAGGGGCATGCACACGGCAGTAGGGGCATGCACACGGCAGTAGGGGCATGCACACGGCAGTAGGGGCATGCACACGGCAGTAGGGGCATGCACACGGCAGTAGGAGGGCATGCACACGGCAGTAGGGCATGCACACGGCAGTAGGGGCATGCACACGGCAGTAGGGGGCATGCACACGGCAGTAGGGGCATGCACACGGCAGTAGGGGCATGCACACGGCAGTAGGGGGCATGCACACGGCAGTAGGGGCATGCACGCAGTAGGGCATGCAACGGCAGTAGGGGCATGCACACGGCAGTAGGGGCATGCACACGGCAGTAGGGGCATGCACACGGCAGTAGGGGCATGCACACGGCAGTAGGGGCATGCACACGGCAGTAGGGGCATGCACACGGCAGTAGGGGCATGCACACGGCAGTAGGGGCGCACACGGCGTAGGCATGCACACGGCAGTAGGGGCATGCACACGGCAGTAGGGCATGCACACGGCAGTAGGGGCATGCACACGGCAGTAGGGGCATGCACACGGCAGTAGGGCATGCACACGGCAGTAGGGGCATGCACACGGCAGTAGGGGCATGCACACGGCAGTAGGGGCATGCACACGGCAGTAGGGGCATGCACACGGCAGTAGGGGCATGCACACGGCAGTAGGGGCATGCACACGGCAGTAGGGGCATGCACACGGCAGTAGGGGCATGCACACGGCAGTAGGGGCATGCACACGGCAGTAGGGGCATGCACACGGCAGTAGGGGCATGCACACGGCAGTAGGGGCATGCACCAACGGCAGTAGGGGCATGCACACGGCAGTAGGGGCATGCACACGGCAGTAATAAGGGGGCATGCACACGGCAGTAGGGGCATGCACACGGCAGTAGGGGCATGCACACGGCAGTAGGGGCATGCACACGGCAAGTAGGGGCATGCACACGGCAAGTAGGGGCATGCACACGGCAGTAGGGGCATGCACACGGCAGTAGGGGCATGCACACGGCAGTAGGGGCATGCACACGGCAGTAGGGCATGCACACGGCAGTAGGGGCATGCACACGGCAGTAGGGCATGCACACGGCAGTAGGGGCATGCACACGGCAGTAGGGGCATGCACACGGCAGTAGGGCATGCACACGGCAGTAGGGGCATGCACACGGCAGTAGGGGCATGCACACGGCAGTAGGGGCATGCACACGGCAGTAGGGCATGCACACGGCAGTAGGGGCATGCACACGGCAGTAGGGGCATGCACACGGCAGTAGGGGCATGCACACGGCAGTAGGGGCATGCACACGGCAGTAGGGCATGCACACGGCAGTAGGGGCATGCACACGGCAGTAGGGGCATGCACACACGGCAGTAGGGGCATGCACACGGCAGTAGGGGCATGCACACCGGGCAAGTAGGGGCATGCACACGGCAGTAGGGGCATGCACACGGCAGTAGGGGCATGCACACGGCAGTAGGGGCATGCACACGGCAGTAGGGGCATGCACACGGCAGTAGGGGCATGCACACGGCAGTAGGGCATGCACACGGCAAGTAGGGGCATGCACACGGCAGTAGGGGCATGCACACGGCAGTAGGGGCATGCACACGGCAGTAGGGGCATGCACACGGCAGTAGGGGCATGCACACGGCAGTAGGGGCATGCACACGGCAGTAGGGGCATGCACACGGCAGTAGGGGCATGCACACGGCAGTAGGGGCATGCACACGGCAGTAGGGGCATGCACACGGCAGTAGGGGGCATGCACACGGCAGTAGGGGGCATGCACACGGCAGTAGGGGCATGCACACGGCAGTAGGGGCATGCACAGGCAGTAGGGGCATGCACACGGCAGTAGGGGCATGCACACGGCAGTAGGGGCATGCACACGGCAGTAGGGGCATGCACACGGCAGTAGGGGCATGCACACGGCAGTAGGGGCATGCACACGGCAGTAGGGGCATGCACACGGCAGTAGGGGCATGCACACGGCAGTAGGGGCATGCACACGGGCAGTAGGGGCATGCACACGCAGTAGGGGCATGCACACGGCAGTAGGGGCATGCACACCGAGCGCAAGGCAGTAGGGGCATGCACACGGCAGTAGGGGCATGCACACGGGGGGAGCAGGTAGGGGCATGCACACGGCAGTAGGGGCATGCACACGGCAGTAGGGGCATGCACACGGCAGTAGGGGGCATGCACACGGCAGTAGGGGCATGCACACCGAGGCAACAGTAGGGGCATGCACACGGCAGTAGGGGCATGCACACGGCAGTAGGGGCATGCACACGGCAGTAGGGGCATGCACACGGCAGTAGGGGCATGCACACGGCAGTAGGGGCATGCACACGGCAGTAGGGGCATGCACACGGCAGTAGGGGCATGCACACGGCAGTAGGGGCATGCACACGGTAGTAGGGGCATGCACACGGCAGTAGGGGCATGCACACGGCAGTAGGGGCATGCACACGGCAGTAGGGGCATGCACACGGTAGTAGGGGCATGCACACGGCAGTAGGGGCATGCACACGGTAGTAGGGGCATGCACACGGCAGTAGGGGCATGCACACGGTAGTAGGGGCATGCACACGGCAGTAGGGGCATGCACACGGCAGTAGGGGCATGCACACGGCAGTAGGGGCATGCACACGGTAGTAGGGGCATGCACACGGCAGTAGGGGCATGCACACGGCAGTAGGGGCATGCACACGGCAGTAGGGGCATGCACACGGTAGTAGGGGCATGCACACGGCAGTAGGGGCATGCACACGGCAGTAGGGGCATGCACACGGCAGTAGGGGCATGCACACGGCAGTAGGGGCAAACGTCGCCCATTCCAGATGCCCGCATTTCCCTCGTCTTCCTTCTAATCCAACTTCCCATGTCCACTACCCCCCCCCCCCCTCCCCCCCCCCTCCCCCTTCCCCCCCATTGTCTCCCCAGGCAATGATGGTGGTGTGCAACCATGAGATAGCCGAAACGACCCGCAGGGATATTATAGACCGAGCGAGGGTGAGAGGGGAGGAGCCGCCAGAGGATCTCATAGCGGAGGAGAGGGGCATGCACACGGCAGTGGGGGCCGACGTGGCCGAAACCCTGGCCGTGGCGGGCAGCGAGGAGCTTTCGCGCATGGAGGAGCGGATCGCCGGGCAGATGGAAACGGGCAGCGCGAAAGTTGTGGAGTACTGGGAGGCTGTGCTGAAAAAGCTGAAGATTTTCAAGGCGAAGGCGAGATTGAGAGAGATCCATGCTGACCTGCTGAGGCAGCACTTGGCCCTGCTGGAAACGGGAGGGGCGGAGGGAAGGGAAGGGGGAGGAGAGGAGAGGGGGGATGGGAGAGGGGGAGGGAGAGGAGGGGAGGGGCGGGGATGGGAGGAAGAGGAGGAGGAGTTGGGTGCTGGCGCTGGTGGTGGTGCTGTTGGTGCTGGGGGTGGTGGTGGAGGGGGAGGAGGAGGAGGAGGGGGAGGAGGAGGGGAGGAGGGGGAGCCAGGGTCGTTTTCACCAGAGTTGTTGACGATGGAAGAGGCGGCTAAGGAGGGGTACAAGGAGGGTGGGGAGGGCGGAGGGGCTGAGGGAGGGTTTTCGCCAGAGCTGATTCACACGTATGAGGTGGATGGCTCGGACGTGGTTGACCCAGAGGCGGACAAGAGAGAGCTGGTGAGTGGGTTGCTGCTAGCCTTGAAGCATGCTGGGGTCAGGGGGCTGATTCACACGTATGAGGTGGATGGCACGGACATGGTTGACCCAGAGGCGGACAAGAGAGAGCTGGTGAGTGGCAGGGAGTAGAACAAAAGGGGCTTTTGTATGGGGCTGATTCAGCCCACCTGCTGAACCTTGCTATTTCAAGGCCGATCCACACGTTTGAGGTGGATGGCACGGACGTGGTTGACCAGAGGCGGATAAGAGGGAGCTGGTGAGTGGGCTGCTGCTAGCCTTGAAGCATGCTAGAGTCAGGGGGCTGATTCACACGTATGAGGTGGATGGCACGGACATGGTTGACAAAGAGACGGATCAGAGAGAGCTGGTGAGTGAGGTGCAAGTAAAAGGGGGTTTTAAAGAGCTCTGCGGGTAACTGGGCTGATTCACACGTATGAGGTGGATGGCACGGATTTGCTTCCTTTACTCCTTATCCGTTCTCTCCCCCCCCCTCCCCCCCCCTCCCCTCCCCTCCACCAGGAGCGCAAGAGGGCACAGATACAGGCAGACCGGCAACGCAACGTCCTGGAAGCTTCCGGTGCTGGTGCTGCTAACGTCAGCACAGCAGAGAGGGCCCTGGTGGCGAGGGCGCCTGGTAACGTGGCAGCAGGGGAGGACCGCCAGCTCAGCGCTGCGGAGAAGGCGGCGGCCAATAAGATGATGGGGCAGGATGCTGGTGACGTGGCGTTTGGTGCCGGGGCTGAGGTGCCCCTGGAGACTCAGGTGAGGATTCAGGTGGGTGGATGCCCAGGTGAGAATTCACATAGGGGCTCAGGTGAGGATTCAGGTAGAGGCTCAGGTGAGTATTCAGGTAGTGGCTGAGGAATCAAGCTTGTGGTTGAACACACTGTTCATTTCAGGTGAGGGAGAGACAGGGGCTGATGGCTGAGGTGCCCCTGGAGACTCAGGTGAGAAGTCAGGTGAAGCCTCAGGTGAGGATACATGCCGAGGCTCGGCTGATACATCAAGCTTGTGGTCGAGCACAATGTTCAAGTGAGGGAGACCCAGTGGCGGATGGCGGAGGTGCCCCTCAAGACTACCACCACGAGAGCCCTCCTGCCTCCTCTCCTTCCTTCCCTTCCCTTTCCCCCTTCCATATTTCCCCCCCCATGCTGTGTAAGCCCAAGTACTTCAACCGTGTGTACACTGGGGTACGAGTGGAACAAGTACAACCAGACGCACTGCCACCACGATAACCCTAACCCTCGTGCCTTCTCCCCCCCCTCCTTCCCTCCCCCCCCCTCCCTCCCTCCCTCCCCCTCATCTTCCCTTCTTTCTTTACCCTCAGCAGGCGCACTGGTGGCGTGACCAAGGGCCGCATGTCTTACCCACCTTTAAAGCCCTCCCATCCCCAATTCCCCCCCCCCCCCCCCCCCCCCCCCCGCAGGTCTACTGGTGGCACGACAAGTACCGGCCGCGCAAGCCCAAGTACTTCAACCGCGTGCACACGGGGTACGAGTGGAACAAGTACAACCAGACGCACTACGATCACGACAACCCGCCGCCCAAGATCGTGCAGGGCTACAAGTTCAACATATTTTATCCAGATTTGATCGACCGGTCCAAGCCTCCGACGTACCACATTGACAAGGATGGCAGCGACGGCGAGACGTGCTTGATCCGCTTTCACGCCGGCCCGCCCTACGAGGACATTGTGAGTGGTTTCCGCTCCTTTTTCCTTTAGGGTGACTTTGGTGTTTTTGGTGTCTCCAGTTTCCTCCGTTTCCTTTCCTCCATGGTTTCAACGGACACCACATTTGAGATTCCTTCCTACCATGGTGACTTTGAGTTGACTCAACTCAAAAGCCACCTCATCACCTTTGAGATTCCTTCGGTTCCCTTCTCCTTTAGGGTGTGTGTCAGTTTCGCATTTGTCCTAGCCTACAGCATCACACACCAGGCCTGAAAATCGACTCTGCTTTTTATCAGACCTGTGAATTCTTTCTCCGCGGTTCCGCTCGATCCCCTTCTGCAGGCGTTCCGCATAGTGAACAAGGAGTGGGAGTACTCGCACAAGAAAGGATTCAAGTGCACGTTCGAGCGAGGCATTCTGCACGTGTACATCAACTTCAAGCGCCACCGCTACCGACGATAGATATACGTACAACCAGTCCGTGGGGTATGCAGTCCAATGGCAACGCACAGGAGAAAGGATTCAAGTGCGCGTTCGGCCACAACATTCCGTGTGTGTGGCGCGTCAATCAGCTTTCGCTGCTACCGCTACTGGCGGCGACCGCCTCTGCGGCTGCTTGGGGTCCAGCTTTGGTCTCTTCTGCTCGCTGCAGCTACTGGGATGGGTTGGAAGGAAAGACGGACCGTCCAGTGCTAACTACCTACTACCAGCTGAGAGAAATGTGCAGGCAGCCGAATCAGTGCGCTACTGCAGCCGTCACTGCTGTCTCTCTCACTGCTGTCTCTCACAATATGATGATGGAACAGTGAAGAGTGCTATGCTTTATTCCACGAAGTCGAGTCCAGGACCACGACAGCCTGATGTGATGATGACAGCGTTTCTGCACATTTTCCACTAGGGTTTTCCACGTCATTGTCTACCAGACTACCAGTAACTTCACCACAGTAGTAGTTGTCCCTCGATCTTTCAACAGTTCTCATCACCTCTTTCATTTCAATCACCCTCGCTCGTACACACACCGCCTGCTTCTACACTCCCCCTCCCCCCCCCCCCCCCGCCTTCCTCATTGCTTCCGATCCGAGTCCCGGCCCAACACCTCTTTCAGCAGAAGTGGCCGTGCACCTCTGGAAAGCAACCATCTCGTCCTCTGGAAAGCAACCATCTCGTCCTCCTCTGGAAAGCAACCATCTCGTCCTCTGGAAAGCAACCATCTCGTCCTCCTCTGGAAAGCAACCATCTCGTCCTCCTCTGGAAAGCAACCATCTCGTCCTCCTCGCCCGCGTGCAATACCTCCAGAGCCCACCACCCCATGCTTCTTTTCTCCCTCCACCCCTACTCATGTTTTACATCCCCCCCCTTTCTCCTTTGTATGCAGCACCTCCTGTGCCACCCAATGCTTCCAACCTCCCCCACCCCCACTCCTCACTAACTACACCTCTCCCCTTGCTCCCTTCTTCGCATTTGCAGCACCTCCATAGTGCCACCCATGCGTCTATACCTCCGCCCCCACACGCACTCCTCGCTACACCTCTCCTCTAGCTTTCCTCCTGGCCTCCAACACCTCCTCAGCAGAAGCAGCCATGCGCCGGTGAAAAAGCAACCATCTCCTCCAACTCGCCCATATGCAGCCCCGCCAGTGGTACCGCCCATGCTTCTATACCTCCCCTCTAGCTTTCCTCCTGGCGTCCAGCACCTCTTCAGCAGAGGCGGCCATGCGCTTGTGAAAGGCAACCATCTCCTCCAGCTCGCTCGTATGCAGTGCCTCCAGTGCCGCCCGCGCCGCCGACCGCTGGTTTCGTCTCTTCTCGAGCGCCTCTTTCACATGCGACGCGTTGCGCACTGTTGCTCCCACCTGAGATAGCCGCTTCACCTGCTGGCCCGACAGGGGGGTAAGCTCCTGGATATGGGAACAGGGAGGAAGAGAAAAGGAAGGTTCTTTGAAACATCGCACCGTTAAGCACTGTTGTTGCCCCCACCTGCGGTAGCCGCTTCACCTGCTGGCCCGACAGCGGTGTGAGCTTCTGGTAGGAAGAAGGAAGGGAAGAGCGGACAAGGGAAGCATGCGTTTCTCTCTTAACATGCGCATTGCGCACTGTTGTTTCCTCCAACTGAGATAGCCGCTTCACCTGCTGGCCAGACAGAGAGGTATGAGCTTCTGGGGTGGGGAAGCAGAGAGGGAGAATTTAAAAGGTTTTGACGTTGCACTCCCTCGAGATCTTAGCTTGAGGCTTGTTGCTCGCTCCTACCTCAGACGACTGCTCCACTTGCTGGCCGAAGCTTCACTGTACAGAATGATGAACTCCTTTTCCGAAGGAGGCTCTCACCTCGAGGACGAGGCCTCCATTGCACGCTCCTGCTTCTCCTCTGGCAGAGACGACAACCCCCCAAGCCCTCCAGACCCGCCAACAGCCGACCCGCCAGCCTTCTCTCCCCTTATCCCAGCCAGGGCGGACGAGCCGCCCTTCTCCGTGGCGTTGCAGTGCAGCACCACCCGCTCCTCGTACACCACCTTGGCCGCATGGACACTCCTCTCAATGCGCACCCAATCACTCTAAGTGCTTAAAATCTGAGGCAATTCATCTCTTTACAGAACAACTCACCTTGAGGAACGAGGCACCAATTGCAAGCTCCTGCTTCTCCTCCGGCAGGGTTGGTAAGCCGCCAAGCCCTCCAAACGCCCCAGCCGACCCGCCAGCCTGCTCCCTCAGGATAGCAGCCAGGGCGGACGACCCCCCCTTCTCGGTGGCGTTGCGGCGCAGCACCACCCGCTCCTCGTACACCACCTTGGCCGCATGGAAGCTCTTCTGGATGCGCACCCAGTGACTACCCTTCTGTAGAAAACCAGGCATATTGCCTTTGTCTCTCTGTCAGTCACTCACCCGATCGCAAGCTCCTGCTTCTCCTCTGGCAGGGTTGGTAAGCCGCCAAGCCCCCCAAACCCCCCAGCCGACCTGCCAGCCTGCTCCCTCCGGATAGCAGCCAGGGCGGACGACCCGCCCTTCTCGGTGGCGTTGCGGCGCAGCACCACCCGCTCCTCGTACACCACCTTGGCCGCATGGAAGCTCTTCTGGATGCGCACCCAGTGACTACCCTTCTGTAGAAAACCAGGCATATTGCCTTTGTCTCTCTGTCAGTCACTCACCCGATCGCAAGCTCCTGCTTCTCCTCTGGCAGGGTTGGTAAGCCGCCAAGCCCCCCAAACCCCCCAGCCGACCCGCCAGCCTGCTCCCTCCTTATAGCAGCCAGGGCGGACGAGCCGCCCTTCTCCGTGGCGTTGCGGCGCAGCACCACCCGCTCCTCGTACGCCACCTTGGCCGCATGGACACTCCTCTCTCAATGCACACCCAATCACTCTAAGTGCATACAATCTGAGGCATTTCCCCTCTTTACAGAACAACTCACCTTGAGGAACGAGGCACCCATTGCAAGCTCCTGCTTCTCCTCTGGCAAGGTTGGCAGCCCCCCAAGCCCTCCAAACCCCCCAGCCGACCCGCCAGCCTGCTCCCTCCTTATAGCTGCCAGTGCAGACGACCCCCCCTTCTCCGTGGCGTTGCGGCGCAGCACCACCCGCTCCTCGTACACCACCTTGGCCGCATGGAAGCTCTTCTGGATTCTCAGCCGCCGTCGCTCCAACTCCTCCTCCCACCCCTTCTCCCTCTCCCTCCCCTGCTGCTTCTCCCGCTCCTCTGCTTCCTTTGCCGCGGCTGCCGCCGCCGCCGCTGCCGCTGCTGCCCCGGGTGTTTTCCCACTGGCTGACCCTACCCCACCCGCCCCTGGCCCTGCTGTGATAGCACCTCCTGCTACTACCTCCTCTCCCCCTCCTCCTGCTCCTCCTTGGGATAGAGCAGCCATGCCACTAGCCAAGCTATCGGTTGCATCGGCAGCAGCGTCAACGGCAGCAACAGCAGCTGCGGCCGCACCAGCAATGCTGGTGGGGGGTGCTGTGAGGGCGACGGGGCGAGGGATTCTGGGGCGCACCTTGCGTTCATATGCCACCACTGCTGCCACAAACTCCTGAATGGTTGAGTGAGTGATTGAGGGAGAGTGTGAGTGACCAAGGAAGGGAGGAAAGCTGTGAGGAAGACGGGGTGCGGGACTCTCAGCCGCAGCCTGCGCTTGTATTCCAACACTGCCACCAAAAACTCCCACTGACCTGTTTTGAGCCTCTAAAGACCTCTAATCAGGTAAGCCCAAACCCGAGAGGAAAGGAAGACTCAGGAGCCCCATTCACCTGGTATGCTCTAGGGCACTCGGGGTACTCAAACACCTCACGCGGCGAGCTGGGCCCTCCCCCAGGCAGCACCTCCCCGTCCTGAAATCTGCGCATGCGCTCAGGGTGGAACTGCAGCCCCACGAAGAAGCCGCCTCTGGGGGGCCAGTGCACGTCCGGGTCGTAGTAGGCTTCGATTAGGCCGTCCGGGGCGAACGCCATGGGGCGGAAGCGAGACGCGAGCACCCGCACGCCCTGGAGGGAAGAGGGGAATGACGTGAGATCAGAGGAAGGTTATGACACAGGAGGGAGGGAGGGAGGGAGGGAGGGAGGGAGGGAGGGAAGTTAAGAGTGGAACTGGAGCCCCACGAAGAAGCCGCCCCTGGGGGGGCAGTGCACGTCCAGGTCGTAGTACGATCTATGAGGCCGCCCGGGGCAAAGGCCATGGGGCGGGAGCGGGAGGCCAGCACGCGCACGCCGTGATGGGTGGGGGGGGGAGGGAAGAGTTGGGAAAGAATACAGTTGATATTCGGGTGCGATGTGGTGGTCTGTCCTGTGATCTGGTGGTGGTAGCTTGTTACCATGTTACCTGATTGTGGTGGTGATTCTTACAAAATTGATCTGGTGGTAACTCCAAAATATTCTAAAAAAGAAACCAGGTGGTGGTGTCGGTAGAGTATGTCACCTGGTGCTGGTAGTCTCACCCAGTAGTGCTACTCTCACAACTTTACCTGGTTGTACCTGCAGTCTCACCTGGTGGTGGTAGCGGTTGACTATGTCACCTGGTGCCGCTAGTCTCACCTGGTGCCGCTAGTCTCACCTGGTGGTGGTAGCTGTTGACTAGCAGCTCGTTCTCCCCAGTGGCCTCGCGGGCTTTCTCCAGCGACCCTTCAAACCACTCCGCCAGAGGCGTGTCCGGGACCACAAAGATGGGGTGCCGGTGGCCGTCTGGGGAGAAAGAAGCACGAGGAGGTGCAAGACAGGAGGTGAGGAGGCATGTAAGAAGAGGAGGTTAGTGAGAAGAGCGTTGCTTGGAGCAACTCACGATGCTCGTTGACCCAGCCAGTCAGAGGCGTGTCCGGCACCAGCGCCACAAAGATGGGGTGCCGGCGGCCGTCTGGGGTGGGGGAAAAGGGGCACGACAGCAACAGGAGCAATTCCACCAATTCCGCTTCCCTCGTCTAGTTTTGAGGCGCCTCAAAACTAGATTCCGCTTCCCTCGTCTCTCACCATAGTCCGAGTAGTCGATGTGCTTCAAGTCCAGGCCCTTGCACGATGTGAGGTCAGGTGACTTTTAAGTGCCCTACTCTCTCACCGTAGTCCGAGTAGTCGATGTGCTTCAAGTCCAGGCCCTTGCGCGAGGTGACCTCCGTCTCTACATCCTGGTACAGCGACCCTCCAGACGCCACGTTCAGCACCTGGCTACCGCGGCAGATCCCGAGGTACGGAATCGACCGCTCCAGGCACCGCCTCGCGAGCGACAGCTCGATCGAGTCCTTGGCCTTATCAATCTCCGTGTCACTCGCGTGCGCGGCGCGGATCTCCGCGACTTCCTCGGGTGACAGGTCAGCGGTGAGCTGGCTGTCGTAGAGCTCGGGGTCGATGTCCTCGCCCTCGCACAGCAGCACGCCGTGGATCGGCTCGAACGCGTCCAGCAGCGACGCCACGCCGGGGACACGTGGCACGATCACGGGGACGGCGCCGTAGGCGACGATCAGATCCAGGTGGTATTCACCTGAATGAGCAAGGAAGGGTAAGAGGGTGTGGGGTCAGAGAGAAGAGGGCGTGGGTTTTCGTCACTCCGAGGCTATGGATGAATGGTAAAGTCGACTAAAAAACCCGTGGAGATGGAACGTCAGGTGAAACGTCAGGTGGAACGTCAGGTGGAACGTCAGGTGGAACGTCAGGTGGAACGCCAAGTGGAACGTCAAGTGGAACGTCAAGTGGAACGTCAAGTGGAACGTCAAGTGGAACGTCAAGTGGAACGTCAAGTGGAACGTCAAGTGGAACGTCAGGTGGAACGCCAAGTGGAACGTCAAGTGGAACGTCAAGTGGAACGTCAGGTAATCAGAGCCATCCTCCGCTACAAGAGGCAAGACCCGTTACGGATGTAACAGCCATTCGTTCCGAGACTTACTAAGTTCTCCGGCCAGTTAGTAACTGCTCACCCTGGTCTCCTGCTCTCGGCAACGGCAACCTCTCTTACCAACGAAATCGACGAACTTGTTCTTGCGAAGCGTCCGTCGCGACACGATCAGGACACGTGGCAGGCCCTCGGACAGCCTCTCCGCGTCCTCCCTGGCCGCATTGCCCACGTCAGGGTCCACGTCATCGTCCTTGTCCTCATCGTCTACAGGGCGGTTCTCGTAGTAATCAGCCATGGTCGACTAACGCACAAGTACACCTCAATCTCCCGAATCTACACCCGTTCACCAATATCTGGCAGGTGACCTTACAGTCTCAGTAGCGAAACCTAGCTCTGCGACTCTGACAACCAGGTGGCGTGTGCGATGCGCAACTCGCAGCCTAACGCAGAGTAACGAGCGAAAACAGAACTCACGCTGTGAACCAACGAATATGCGAGTAGTCTGACTTGAATCTATTATACCCACACACTTATCAAGGGCCAGTTCCCGCGGATTCCAAGGCTTGCCCGTCAGCGATGCCTGATCGGTTCCCCGATTCAGATGCCAAAACAGCGAAAGCAATGGTACAGATGAAGCTCACATCTGGCCCTAGACCTCAGATCCTGCGACGCCGAGGCAATATCAAGGTGCCTGCCAGGGTCTTCGAACAAACTGGCAACTGAAGTGGGTTGCTGCTGGAGCCATGGATCATGTCATGGTATGGTGGGCCGTGGCTTGTGGGCCGTGGCTTGTGGGCTGTGGTTTTGAATCGAGGGAACATTGAATTACGACATTCCATAGAGTCTGACGGCGGATGAGAAGTGGCGGCCACGTGGAGTGGATGAGGCTCCGCTGTCAGCGATTCGCGGTTTCTGCGACTGAACAGCTCACGCCACCTTGGCAATATCCTCTCTATAAAGAAGTTTGTTGACACCTGTACAGTCTGATTACTGCAGCTTGTCTGTGCTTTACATTCACGGATACACTGCGATACTAATTTCTTATTCCCCAACCATGCCCTGTGGAATTGCAAGTTTCCCAACCTCGCTGCGCTGGCAATTGCTAGGGTTTCACCATTCACCCACGGCATCCCCGCCTGTTTGGACTCTCTCCCCCTCGCCCTCCCCATCCCATCTAGTCCTTTCCTTCTCGCCTCCCCCCTTCTTCCACAACCCTCAGCGTGTACCAAATCGAACTCTCTTGTTCGAGCTTCCACCACACCGAACCACATCAGTACCAACCTCGCCAACATTCTACCGCAAAAGACCACACCGATTTCAACCTCTATGAAAGTTCGAACTTCGTTTGTTGCGAGTCGCACACCTTCACCCTCCCCTCCTCTCTCCCACCCACCCTGGCAGCAACAAAGGCTGCTTTCTCGCACAATGATCGTCCTCTTTCACCAACCAACCTTTCTGGTTGGTACGGTTTCACCATTCCAGTGCCTCCCTCTTGCCCGAGCGGAGCGCGGAAACTTGCAATTCCACATCTCCTGCCTTACCTCTCGCCTCTGTGTCTTTGTCCTCTCGTGCTGGTGAGCTTACCGCAACGCGTCGCGTCGCTTATCCCACTTGTTCCGTTCCCGAGCGAGGGTTTTAATCCGCCATGGGGAAGAAGCTCCTAGCGGAAAACGCGGAGATTATAACGGAAGGCGCGGATGCGTCTATCGGATCGAGAAATGCGGACGACAAGAGAGAGGCGAAGAAGGCCAAAAAGGAGAAGAAACTTAAAGCCGAGAAGAAGCGGAAACAGGAGGATTTAAGCGGTGATGCCACCGAGGCAGCCGCGTCGGCACCCGCGAAAGGCGAGAAGAAAAGCAAGAAGAAGCAGCGCGCCGACAGCGCCGCTTCGCCGAGCGCTTCCCCCGATTCCTCTCCCGCCAGAGCATCCGCTTCCCCCGCCGCCGCCCCCGCGGCTCCTTCCGCCCCAGCCCACGCGAAGCTCGAGAGCTGGGCTGACGTGGACGTCCGCGTGGAAGGCTTGGAGATCGACGGCGCTGACCCATCATCCGCCGCGTGTCAACCGCTTCGCCCACTGGCCTCGTTCGCGGAAGCTGCGCCGCACGTCCCCGCGGATCTGCTCTCCGCGTGCGCGTCGTTCGCGTCCCCCTCCCCCATCCAGCGCTGGGCGTGGCCGGTGCTGCTGCGCGGGCGCGATCTGGTTGCGATCGCGGCGACGGGGTCGGGGAAAACGCTGGCGTTCGGAGTGCCCGGGCTGAAGCACGCGCTGGAAGCGCGCAAGGGCGGAGGCGGAAGGGGGAAGCGGAACGGCTCCGCGCAGCCGTCGATGCTGGTCGTCGCGCCGACTCGCGAGCTTGCGCAACAGGTGGGTTTCTTTTCGGGCGCGGGAGGCGATCAGGGCGGGTTTGGCGCGGGGTGGAGGTTGGGGAAAGTGGGTGGGGAAGGTGGGGAGAAGAGGTGGCGGAAAGGGGGAATGGGTGTTGTCGATAGGGGGGGCTCTTCCGCTGTCCCCCTTCCCTTCTTCTTTACTGCAAACTCCGCGCGCTTAGCCCTCTCCTTACCCGACCCCCCCCCCCCCCACCCTCCGCCCCAACCTTGTTCAAACTTCCCCTCCTCCCTCCTTCTGCACTGCTTTGCCCGCCAGATCGCGGAGGTGCTAGAGGCGGCGGGGAAGCGCTGCGGGGTGGGGGTGGTGTGCGTGTTCGGCGGCGCGCCGAAGGGCGCTCAGCGGTCCGCGCTGGCGCAATCGCCGGGCGTGGTGGTGGCGACGCCGGGGCGCCTCAAGGACCACATGCAGGACGGCACGATTTCTCTCGCGGCTGCATCCTTCGTGGTGAGGAACGGTACATATCGGTATGAAATGGTGCATAGCGGTGATGAGCGGACTCAGGAGAGAGACTGCAATCGCCGGGCGTGGTGGTGGCCACGGGCCGCATGCTGGACATGGGGTCAGAGGCTTTAAAGTATCCGTTTGAACCTGTTTCTTCCACGTGGCTCCTCGCAACAGGTCCTGGACGAGGCGGATCGCATGCTGGACATGACATGGGGTTCAAGGGGTACTAGAAGGTGCCCCTCCCTCCCAACACGTATTTTGTGCTCTCATGTGCCTGAATCTGTTCGTGCCCATGTGCGTCCCATGCATGCCGCAACAGGTCCTGGACGAGGCGGGCCGCATGCTGGACATGACATGGGTTTCGAGCCTTTAAAGTATCCGTTTGAACCTGTTTCTTCCACGTGGCACCACGCAACACAGGTGCTGGACGAGGCGGACCGCATGCTGGACATGGGGTTCGAGCCTGACATCCGGTTCATTCTGCAAGCCACGCCGGCTGGTAAGTCGGGTAGAGGCGAATACCGGCTTTTGAGGAGGATCGAAGGGGAGTAGGGGGAAGAAGGGAGGTTTTTATTTTGGGGGAGGAAGTGGGGAAGAGGGGGGGGGGGGGGGGGGGTTCAGGTTAAATTCTATTTTCTCCCTCGTTATCCACTCCTTCTCCCTTCCCCCTTCTCCCACGTGTGTAATGAGTCGATTTTTGAGTCGACTCAAAAATTCTCCCTTCCCCCTTCTCCCACTCCACCACTGCGTCTCCTTCCTTTCCCCACGCCCCCCTTTTCCTCACCTTCTCTCTTCCCCCATTCCCCGTCCCCCCCCATCCCCATCCCCCGTTCCCCCCCATTCCCCATTCCCCGTCCCCCCCCATCCCCATCCCCCGTTCCCCCCCATTCCCCATTCCCCGTCCCCCCCATCCCCATTCCCCGTTCCCCCCATTCCCCATTCCCCGTCCCCCCCCATCCCCATTCCCCGCTTCTCCATCCGTCAGACCGCCAGACTGCCATGCTGAGTGCCACGTGGCCGCCTGAGATCTCCAAGCTAGCCAGCGATTTCCTCAAGAACCCCATCAAGGTAATAATCTAAGCCTGCTGGATGTAATTTTGTGTCTGTGTTTGTGTTTGGTAATCATTTTAGCCTGCTCGCTAAGCTTCTTAAACGAAGCGTTTAGGAGGGCATATAATAAGGTGTCTTGCTTGCTCCTTTTTGCCACTGTGCATGGCTCATGTCATGGCACGGCATTGCAATGGCACGGCATTGCAATGGCACGGCATTGCAATGGCACGGCATGGCACGACATGGCATTGCAATGGCACGGCATTGCAATGGCATGGCATGGCACGGCATGGCGCGGCATGGCAGGTGATGGTGGGTCGGAGCACGGGCGGCATGTCGGCGAACGACGACGTGACTCAGATCGTGGAGGTGGTGGAGCCGTGGCAGAAGAGCAAGCTGCTCGTCGAACTTCTCAAGAAATACCACAAGTCCAGGAGGTGAGCGACAGTCGTAGGTGATTTTTGAGTCGAATCAAAAATCAAGAGGTGAGCGACAGTCACGGCTGGTTGGCTCTGCAATCTCCAGGGATGAGAGGAGCGAGCCGTGGACTGTAACTGGAGCCTGTACAAGCTGCAACATAGCTGTACACAGAACCCTCATGAGGGTAGTGTAAACTGGACTGGGGGATCGCAGCATAGCTGCACAGAACCCGCATTAGCGAAGAATCAAAGATGCTTCAGGGTGTTTTTTTAGAATTCTGAAAAACAGGATGTTTTTTAGATTTCTCAGGGTGTTTTTGAGAATTCTAAAAAACACCCAGCATCAACTGTACACTGTACTGGGGGATCACAGCGAAGCTGCGCAGCACCTTCATCAGTGAAGAATCAAAGATGCTTCTCAATTTCCCGAGTCTGAACCGCCTCCTTCCGTGCTGGATCACAGCACCTTCCCATCATCCCACCATGCCATCATCCCACCATCCCACCATGCCACCATGCCATCATCCCACCATGCCACCATGCCACCATGCCATCATCCCACCATGCCACCATGCAATGGGGTTTGCAGCGAAGATGCTTCTCAATTTCCCGAGTCTGAAGCTCCTCCCTCCCTTTCTTCACTCCTGGTGAAGTGGAACGGAGGCAGTGTTGCTCGTTTAATGCTCCTGAGCTGCTACCGTTCAAGTCCCATCCATACATACATACATACATACATACATACATACATACATACATACATACATACATACATACATACATACATACATACATACATACATACATACATACATACATACATACATACATACATACATACATACATACATACATACATACATACATACATACATACATACATACATACAGACGTACATGCCTGTCTTTATGACCCCCGACCATTGTACCACCATCCCAACACCCCATCATCCTCATCATTCCACCACACCATGCAATGGGGATGGCAGCGAAGATGCGTCTCAATTTCCCGAGTCTGACTCACCTCCTTCCTTCCACTCCTAGTGAGGGGGAATGGGGACCGTGCTGCTCGTTTAATGCTCCTGAGCTGCTGTCCCTTAAAGCCCCTTCATGAATACATACTCACGCACATGCCTGTATGACTTCCTACCACCATGCCACCAGGCCACCATGCCACCATGCCACCATGCCACCATGTCACCATGTCACCATGCCACCATGCCACCATGTCACCATGCCACCATGCCACCAGCCCATCACCCGATCGTCCCACCACACCATGCAATGCAATGGGGACGGCAGCGAATATGCTTCTCAATTTCCCGAGTCTGAACCGCCTCCCTCCCGTTTTCCACCCTTGGTGAAGGGGAGTGGAGGCAGTGTTGCTCGTTCAATGCTCCTGAGCTGCTACCTCTTAAATCCCCATCATACATGGATGCATGGATACATGGATACATGCGTACATGCCTTCATCCCACCATCTCATCGTCCCACCACACCATGCAATGGGGATCGCAGCGAAGATGCTTTTCAATTTCCCGAGTCTGAAGCGCCTCCCTGCCTTTTTTCACCCTTGGTGAAGGGGAGTGGAGGCCGTGTTGCTCGTTTAATGCTCCTGAGCTGCTGCCCCTCTGGCTCTGGCACATTCAAATCTCTTGCCTTCATGGTGGCCCCCTGCTAGATCGCAGCATCATTGCATCATCACATCATCCCATCCGCCCATCATCCCACCATGCAGTGGGGATCGCAGCAAAGATGCTTCTCAATTTCCCGAGTCTGAAGCGCCTCCCTGCCTTTTTTCACCCTTGGTGAAGGGGAGTGGAGGCCGTGTTGCTCGTTTAATGCTCCTGAGCTGCTTGCAAACCGCTCTAGGCTATTCATATTTATCACCTTCGTGCTGTGGCTCCGTCCACGGTAGATCACACACACGCACAGCACCATCGCATCATTGCATCATTGCATCATGGGGATCCTACCATCCCTCCAGTCTCCCCATGCTATGGGGATGGCAGTGAAGATGCTTCTCGATTTCCCGAGTCGACCCCCCCCCCCCCTCTCTCCTCGGTTTTTATTCTCCCTTGGTGAAGGGGAATGGAGGCAGTATTGCGTCGCTCCATTCCCTCCATTCCCTCCCATTCCCTCCCATTCCCTTCCCCTTCCCCCGTGCTCCCAGCAACCGGGTGCTCATCTCCGTGCTCTACAAGGCGGAGGCGGAACGCATCGATCAACGACGCACACTCTCCTCTCCTCTCTCCGTTGCCTCTTGTTCCCCCCCTCCCTCCCAGCAACCGGGTGCTCGTCTTCGCGCTCTACAAGGTGGAGGCGGAACGCATAGAAGCATACTCTCCTCCCATCTTTTCCCCCTTCCCTTCCCTCTCCCCCCTTCCTTCCCTCTCCCCTCCCCCCTCCCAGCAACCGGGTGCTGGTCTTTGTGCTCTACAAGGTGGAGGCGGAGCGCATAGAAGCGCTGCTCGCCTCGCAGTGAGTCCGCCATTTTTCCCCTCCCTTTCTCCGTACTCCACCCCACCGTTCCCCCCCTCCCTACTTTCTCACCCTCGCCGCTTTTTTCTCACCCTTGCCGCTTTTTTCTCACCCTCGCCGCTTTTTTCGCACCCTCAACTCAACCCACGCTCCACACACCCCCTTTCCCCCCGGCGCCCCCCTCTCCCTCTTACCCGCCTCTGCTCACCTGGTGCCTGCTCCCCTTTTGAACACTTGGTTTCTAGTCCTAAACCTTAGTATGTCACGCGCAATATCGATGCTTGCTTGCTGCCGTCCACCATTGGTGTTCAATTGCCGTCCTCTGCTCTTCCGCTCTTCCGCCCTTACCCTTCCTCCTTTCTCTCCTCCTTCCCTTCCCTCGCCTGCTCTGTCTGTCCTACCCCCCCTGTCCTAACCCCTCTTTTTGTCTTCTTCCTCTCTCCTCTCCCTCCCCCCACCCTTGGTCCCCTGCTGTCCCGTTTTGCTCCCCTCTTCGTTCATCCCAGTGGATTTTTGAGGTGCCTAAAAAATCTTCCCCCCACCCTTGGCCCCCTGCTGTCTCCCTTTGCTCCCCTCTTCCTTCATCCCAGTGGGTTCAAGGTGGGCGGCATCCACGGCAACAAGAACCAGAACCTTCGCACCAAGGCTGTCAACGACTTCAAGAGCGGCGTTGTGCCTGTGCTGGTGAGACTAGGAGCATGCACCCAAACACACACACACACACACACACACACACACACACACACACACCTCACACTCCCCATTCCTCCCACTCTCACACATCCACCAAGGCAGTCAGTAATTTCAGCAAAACGCATGCACGCAGGCAGACGAGCATACACCGAGGCATATACTCACCTCCCTCCCTCCATCCCATCTCCCCCCCTTACCATTGTGTCAGGTGGCTACGGACGTTGCAGCAAGGGGGCTCGACATTCCCAATGTTGAGTGAGTGGCTGGGAGGGTGGCTGAGTGGCTGAGTGTGGGGGTGCATGGGATGAGGCGGCTTAACTTGCGAGGTAGTTCTGGCATGCTTGCAAATTGCGTAGCGCGGTGACTGGTTCAACTGCACTGGCGGCCTCTTCCCAAACCTTCCCTTTCATCTCTCCTTTCCCTTTCAGAGTGGCTAACCATCTGCACCTCCCCTCTCACCACAGAGGGCTGTGTGCATCCCTTCTCAGGGTGGTAACCAACTGCACCTTCCCTCTAAGCACCGAGGACTAAGTGCATCAAGCCCCAAAGCCACAAAGGGCATCGAATTGACCTTACCGCTCTCTCCCCTTCCCCTACAACTGCTTTCTCGCAGAGTGGTTATCAACTGCACCTTCCCTCTAACGACCGAGGACTACGTCCATCGCATCGGGCGCACGGGCAGGGCGGGCAACAAGGGCATCGCGCACACACTGTTCACTTCAGAGGATAAGGTGAGAGAGGGAGATGGGGAAGGGGGGGGGGGGCGGGGGGGAGAGGGGGAGGGGGGGACAGTGTTGAAACGGCCGGTACTTTTGGGTTTCACAGGGGTCAGGCAACAAGTGCATTGCTCACACTCTGTGCACTTTGGATGATGAGGTAATGGGGAGGATAAGGGCATTGCGCACACAATGTTAATTGCAGGCAACAGTAAGAGCGGCCTCCTTTTGGGATGTTGGGCTCCTTGCTGTTCCTCGCTCATCCAGCCCTCCTTGTTACAGACAGTCACGTGCAGGCAAGTTGGTAACGTGCAGGGAAGTTGGTAACGTGCAGGCAAGTTGGTAACGTGCTGTGCCAAGCCGGCTCCGATGTACCAATCGCCGAAACTCCTCTCGTGTCAACCCCCTTCATTACAGTCACGTGCGGGTGAGCTGGTGAATGTGCTGCACCAGGCCACTTGTCGCCCTATTAAACTGATAAGTTTTTTCTTGCCCCTATGTCCGTTCATTACAGTCACGTGCAGGCGAGCTGGTGAATGTGCTGCGCCAGGCCAATCAACCCGTGCCCGAAGGCCTCTTCAAGTTCGACCTCTCCGTCAAGAAAAAGGTGATCGTCATGGACGTCTTGGTGTACGACATGTTGCATCAATTTACTTGATTTTCTTTTAAAGCAGGGCGGGACAGAACGCACAGCTTCTTGTTCGAGTTTTCCATGCCATGGTGTGCTTCCATCTTCCTGTCACGTCCCATCGGAAGCTGACGGTTGGTAACTTCGTTATTTCCTCGTTGCAGGAGTCCAAGCTGTATGGAGCTCATTTCAAGGACATCTCCCAAGTCACAAAGAAAGCCACCAAGATCACATTTGACTCTGATGACGATGAGTGAACAACTGTGTGGTGTAAGGGAAAGCGATTTTCTCACTGGTGTTCCAACATATCTTTCTACTAGCGCTTCACATACCAAGGTTTAATCCATATAATACCGTGTAAACAACAATATATTTCGCTTCAATAATATTGTATGGATATTTGGATGCGACTTCAGGGCAACTGAAATCTGATATCAATCTTATTCCATTCGTAACGCTATCTCCCGTTAACGCGTACGCGAGTGCAGATCGCCGCCGTTCGAACCTTGCACATCCCATCATTCGCGGCGTCGGGCCCGCTCAGATTTCGCTGGCTCTCTGCTCACTACAGTAGCAGGTGTTTCTCCTCCCTTCCCTCACGAAACACTCCTCCTCGTGCATGTTTTCAGCATTTTATTTTATCCTCTTATCTGACACGCCTTGGAGCACTACTAGCTTGAGACATCTCAGAATTGAGCCCAGGCTTTGTTCGTTCTTCCCCGACGAGCAGTGCTCTGCACTCCCGTTATTCCTCCATCTGACTCGTCTTCGGTTCCCCTAACATTACTCTCTGTAGAAATAACCGATACGAGTTGCGCCTAGCCTAACTGATTCCCGGCTCGCGACATTGCTTGGGCGTTTGCCACCTTTGCCGTCTTTGCCACCTTTGTCACCCCATGGTCCTGTCGCCTTTGCCTAGTCGTCCTCCAACCTGCCCATTCATTGGTTCGTAGTAGCGTTATTTTCTCGGCATCGTAAGGTCCGAACCCTTTTCAGAACGTGACCAGCCCTTAGTCTAGGTCGTCCGCTTTCTCCTCACTTTTTTTTCCTACGGAACAGGGGCGTCGAATCCGACGGGACGTGACCGCTTTTTCCTTACAGAACAGAGGCATCGAATCTGTACAACATGGCCACCCGTCGCGGGCGCTCTGCTACTGCCGATGAAAGCTCGACTCCGACGAAAAGCAGCGTGGATCAGGTGGAAGAGGTTGCGGCGACTCCCGAAACGGAGGCCATTTTGATCAAGATCGTGAGCGACAAAGGCGAGGAGGTTCAGTACAAGGTCAAGAAGGGCGCCAAGATGCAGAAGGTGTTTGACACGTACGAAAAGAAGGTCGGCGCGCCTCCCGGGTCTCTCAGGTTTACCTTCCACGGCGAGCGCGCTCAAGGGAAGGACACGGTGGAAGTGATTGGACTGAAGCAGAACTCGGTCCTGGAAGCACATCAGTTCCAACTCGCTGGCTGATTGAGAAGCCGTGAATGGCTCAAGCTGATGCTCTGCAGGGGTTTTCTCATCTTCTGGTATGCTTTTCTGATGTATGCTTCTGATCGTGCCTAGGGTGGAGTTTGTAGCTAGGGTTAGCTATTTTCCTCATTTCCTCCAAAATCTGCTAATTCTGCCTGATGTGACGCTATGTGTGTTTTGGGCTCGCAATGCTGACAGCCATGTAATGGCGATACTGATTCTCACTATTACGGTAGTACCATGTAGGAAATTGTTAGTGACATGAAACGTACTAAAGTAACTTAGAAGCCTAATTTGAAGGTGCTTTTATTGGACCCCATCCCATCATATTCATGTCAACTTATACATATTATCTATGTAGAAGTTATAGGCTAGACTGAGGTATGCTTCTAGTGAGTACAACCAACTAGTATTTGTTCTAGGTTTCCACCTCTAGTAATCATTCGTTTCTACGTTAACATGGTATCACGCTTAGGTTAGGATCCCCCCGCCTACCGCTTCCGCCCGTCGCGCCTCCTAGGCCCCGTCGCGCCCCCTAGGCCCCGTCGCGCCCCCCCTGGGCCCCGTCGCGCTCGTTAGGCCCCGTCGCGCCCCCCCTGGGCCCCGTCGTGCCCGCTGGGCCCCGTCGCGCCTCCTAGGCCCCGTCGCGCTCCCCCTGGGCCCCGTCGCGCCCGCTGGGCCCCGTCGCGACCCCTAGGCCCTAACGCGCCCCCGCTGGGCCCCGTTGCGCCTCCTAGGCCCCGTCGCGCCCCCCATGGGCCCCGTCGAGCCCGCTGAGCCCCGTCGTGCCTCCTAGGCATCGTCGCGCCTCCTAAGCCCCGTCGCGTCCCCCCCCTCTGGGCCCCGTCGCGCCCGTTCGGCCCCGTCGCGCCCCTCCTAGGCCCTGTCGTGCCCGCTGGGCCCCGTCGCGCCTCCTAGGCCCCGTCGCGCCCCCTTGGGCACCGTCGCGCCCGCTGGGCCCTGTCGCGCCTCCTAGGCCCCGTCGCGCCCGCTGGGCCCCTTCGCGCTTCCTAGGCCCCGTCGCGCCTGCTAGGCCCCGTCGCGCCCTCCCTGGGCCCCGTCGCGCCCGTTAGGCCCCGTCGCGGCCCCCCTGGGCCCCGTCGTGCCCGCTGGTCCCCGTCGCGCCTCCTCGGCCCCGTCGCGCCCCCCCTGGGCCCCGTCGTGCCCGCTGGGCCCCGTCGCGCCCCTTAGGCCTCGTCGCGCCCGCTGGCCCCTGTCGCGCCTGCTGTTAGCGCTCGCCTGCCTGGCCTCCTAGTGCCGCTCGGCCTCCTCCTAGTGCCGCCCGGCCTCCTCCAGTGCTGCCCGGCCCCTCCTCGTGCCCGACCGGCCCCAGCAGCACCAGCCTGGCCCCTCCCAGCACCAGCCCGGCCCCAGAGCACCTGCCCGCCTCCCCTGCTCGGCCTGCCGTGTCCTCTCGGGCCCTGTGTCTTCTGCTCGCCTGCGCTGGGACGCCTAGCTGCTGCCCTACTGGAGAGTGCTGCCGCCGTGTCCCCGCGCCGCTGTGCTCCTGTGCCGCTGAGGAGCTGTGCTGCTGTGCCGCTGTGTCGCTGAGGAGCTGTGCCGCTGACCCTGCACGATGGCTGACTTTGTGCTCCGCCTGGACGCTGAGGGCCACGCGGTTGACTTCGCCGCCTGGCTCTCCGATCTCCGCCGCCAGCTTACAGGTCAGCGCCAGGATGGCCACTCTCTGGTTGTCCATGCTGATGGCTTGCTCCCCCGTCCCCCTGCACCTACTCCCCTCCCTGCTGACCCCTCCTCTGATGACCGTGAGGCTTTCTCTACTGCTGCGCTGGCCTGTGCGGTCTGGGACTCACGCGATGCAGTAGCTCAGGTTGCTATTAGTCACGCCCTCCCTGTGTCTGAGCGCTCGCGTTTTGCTACTGTTGAAACGGCCAAAGCTTATTTAGACGCCGTTATTGCTCGCTATTCCACCCCTGCCTCCGCTTCTGCTGGCCGCTTGCTCTTTCCGATGCTGTTCCCAGACCTGGCTGCCTTCCCTACTGTCGCAGACTTTGCCACTCATTTGCGTGCCCTAGAGACTCGCTATCGCACTGCCAGCACTGCTGCCCAGCTCACTGCGCTCCCCCTTCCTTTCTGCATGACGCTCTATTTTATCGCTATGCGCCTGCCAGACCGCCTCGCTAGTGCTCGCGACCACTTTCTTAGCCAGCACCCGGGTGACCTCACCCTGACCGCCTTTGTCGACACCCTCACTGAGATCGAGACTCGCCAGCGCACTATCGCTCAGTCGAGCGGTGCGCCGGCAGTCTCTATCTTTCACGGCTGTGCCCCATCCCAGTGCACGTTCACTGACGTTTCGGCTGCGGTCGCCACGGCGACCCCTCTTACCGAGACGGCTGCTGCTGTCCACCCGCAGCAGCGCTCGCGTCGCGGTGGTCGTGGCCGCCAGGGAGGTAGGGGTGGTGACGCAGGTGGTAGTGGTCGTGGTGGTGGTGACGGTAGTCCGCCTGAGGGGACTACCACCGGTGGGCAGGAGCAGCAGCCCCAGCAGCAGCAGGACCAGCCCCAGCCGCAGCCGCCGTCCCAGCAGCACCCGCCGCAGCCGTGGGCTCGTCTCCCGCCTGGTTGGCCCGGCACCTCCGGAGGCGGTGGCCGTGGTGGCGGCCCGCGCAGCTTGGCGTCTACCAGCGGCTCCAGTGCTGTGACCTGCCAGTACCAGCTTCAGACCGGGCCTCTCCGCGGCACTCTGTGCCGCCGCCCGCACCCGACCGCCCGCTGTTTCCGCCGCCTCGACGATCTTTTTCGTCGTCGCTTTGGCCCGGCCCCGGACCTCCCTGACTGGCACAGCCTACTCCGCCAGGGCGTGCCGATCTTTGAGTTAGACATGGATCAGATAGGTGCTGCTTTGCATGCTTTGTCTGCTGACGCTTCTAGTGTTGCTGTATCTTACTACCCTGTGTACTCTAGTTTAGGTGTTTCACCCTTGTGTAGCTTAGCTTCCCCTGCTGCGACAGGCGTAGGACTGCCTAGGTTGCCTAGTCTAGTCGCTGCACCGGCTCCGTCCCCGGCCCCCGCCACTGCGTCGCTGTCCTTCACTCTCGACTCTGGTGCTTCTGCCTGCTTCTTCCGCGACCGTTCCACGCTCACGCCGCTTGCTGCACCTGCTGTTGTCTCTCTCGCTGACCCCTCTGCGGGTCCGGTCGTCGCGCGCAGTTCTACGTCCCTTCCTTGTCCGGCAGTTCCCTCGGGCTCCCTTACTGGCCTCCACGTTCCCTCGTTCTCCAGGAACCTGGTTGGTGTCGGCTGTCTCCAGGACCTCGGCGTCACCACCACGTTCCCCGGGCACGAGCGGTTCGCTGTCTGTTCTGAGGCTGTCTCAGGTTCCCCCCTTGCGACGTTCCCCCGGGACCCGGTGTCCGGTCTGTTTACCCTACACACCGCTTCCCCCCCGGTTGGTGCGTCCTCCCAGGTCGCTGCAGCTTGCTCGTGTCGGTCCCTCACTCACCCCTCCCTTCTCTGGCACCACCGCTTAGGTCACCCTGCTCTCCCGCGTCTGCGTCACATGTCCCAGCACGGTCTTGTCTTAGGTCTCCCCGCGTCGCTCCCTGCCCTTCCTCCCTCGACTGCGCCACCGTGCACGCCTTGCGTCGAGGGTCGGCTCCGCCGTGCTCCTCACTCCTCCTCGCTGCGTCCTGCTACTGCCCCCCTTCAGACCCTGCACTTGGACGTTTGGGGCCCTGCCCCCGTCCCCGGACCGCGCGGTGAGCGCTACTTCCTTGTGCTTGTCGACGACTACACGCGCTACACCACGGTGTTTCCCCTGGAGCGGAAGGCCGACGTGCCCGACGTTCTTCTCCCGTGGGTTGTGGCTGCGCGTCTCCACCGCGGTCTCCCCGTGTTGTGTCTCCACTCCGACCGTGGCGGCGAGTTCGCCTCTGGTCGGCTTGGACAGTTCTGTCGTGCGGAGGGCATCACCCAGTCGTACACGTTGCCGGACTCGCCACAGCAGAATGGGGTTGCTGAGCGCCGCATCGGCTTGGTCATGGAGGTCGCCCGTACCTCCATGATCCATGCCGATGCCCCCCATTTTCTGTGGCCGTTCGCTGTTCGCTACGCGGCTCACCAGCTTAACCTGTGGCCACGCTCCCAGCGGCCGCAGGTTTCGCCGACCCTCCTTTGGACCGGGTCCCCTGGTGACGCGTCTGCGTTCCACGTCTGGGGCTGCCTTGCTCACGTTCGTGCCTCTGGCACGGACAAGCTCACTGCCCGCACTGTCCCCTGTGTCTTCCTCGGTTTCCCCCTGGACTCGTCTGACTGGCTTTTCTACCACCCGCCGTCTCACCGCTTCCTCCACTCTCGTGACGTCACCTTTGACGAGTCCGTCTCCTTCTACCGCCGCTTCCCTCACCGAGGTCTCCCAGTTGCCCCCCCCTTTTCCTTGCTCCCTCTCCCCCGGTAGCCCCTGCCCCTCTCCCGCCTCGTCCTGCCCCGTCTGGTGTCTCCCACGTCACTCCCCTCCCGTCAGTTGTCCCCGTTGAGGAGTCTGCTGACTCTGGTGGTACCCCCGGTCCGTCCTTGCCGCGTCCCCCTTCCCCGGTGCCTCCGCCCCCACTGTCGCAGTCGCCGACCCCGCTGCCGCCACCGTCGCCGTCGCCGCCGCAGCCGTCGCCGCCGCCGCCGCTGTCGCTGCCGCAGCCGTCGCCGCTGTCGCCGCCGCCGCAGCCGTTGCCGCCACTGCCGCCGCTGCTCTCGGCCCCTGGGGGTGCTGGTGTGGAGGAGGGTGTTCGTCCTGCGGCTTCTGGGGGTGCCGCTGGTGTTGGAGGGGGTTCTCGCTCTGGGGGTGTTGGTTCTGGGGGTGCTGCTGTTGAGTGTTCTGCCGACGGTCGTTCTGCCTCTGCTGGTCCGAGAGTTCCGGCCCAGCCGTCGTTGCTGCCGCAGCAGCCGCTGCAGCCGTCGCCGCCGGTTTCCGCTCTCCGCCTGCTCGGCCTTCCCTCCCCGGACCGCGCGCCGGTGTCTCCCCCACCGCCTCCTGACCTTCCTGTCTACGGTCCTGTGTTCCCGCCGCCAGACTCGTCTCCGGCCCGTCTTCCTCCTCGTTCCCCTCCTGTGTCTCCTCCGCTGTCCCCTGACCCTACCCCTCCGTCTCACGTTTGGGCTCGCCGTCCCTCCCGTGCTCGTCCCGTCTCTCCTGTCCTGCCCACCCACCCTATGTTGCTCCGTTCCCACTCGTCTCGTCCTCCCCTCCTCCCGTCCCCTCCTCCCTCGTCCCTTGCTGTTGCACCTCCTCCGTTCTCTGACTACCTCCGTTCTGCTCGTCCCCTTGTCCCTCGGGTCCTTGCCTCTCTTGTTACCGACCCTACTGTTCCTGTCTCGCGCCTTGACGCGCTTGTCGCTGCTGTCGCTGACTTCGCTTCTACCCGCCGCCTTGACTACGCTACCGCTCTGGTCTCTGACCCTGCCCGTCCTCCGTCCGTCGGGGGTGCTCCTGCCCTTGGCAGTGACGTCCTAGAGGACAGGCAGTACGAGCTGGCTTTCCTTTCCGAGGCTGCTCCCCATCTCTGCTCCATGCTGTTAGTCCCTGAGGGTGACCCAGACGCCTTCGACATCCCGACCCCTCGCACCTACGCTGAGGCCACCTCGGGACCTTGGGCCTCTCAGTGGATAGCTGCCATGGAGCAGGAGATGGCATCTTGGAGATCCACCGGCACTTACGTCGACGCAGTTCCCCCGCCTGGGGTGAACGTAGTCGATGGTCGGTGGCTCTTCAAGGTGAAGCGCCCCCCTGGAGAGCCGCCTGTCTTCAAGGCGCGCTACGTGGCCAGAGGTTTCAGTCAGCGCGAGGGGGTGGACTTCTTCCAGACCTTCGCCCCGACCCCGAAGATGACCACTCTTCGGGCGCTGCTACACGTAGCAGCACAGCGTGACTACGAGCTTCACTCCCTCGACTTCTCTACTGCCTTTCTTCAGGGCAGCCTACACGAGCAGGTCTACCTGCGCCGACCACAGGGCTTCACTGGTACCTTCCCTCCTGGGACCCAGTGGCCTCTCAGGCGCCCGGTCTACGGCCTGCGTCAGGCTCCCCGCGAGTGGCACGACACGCTACGTGCCACGTTAGCAGACCTGCAGTTCTTTCCGTCCTCTGCTGACCCTTCACTGTTTGTGCGTTCCGGCCAGACTCCGTTCTACATCCTTGTCTACGTAGACGACCTGGTCTTCGCTACTCCTGACAGGGACGCACTGGCCTCTGTGAAGGCTGAGCTGCTGAAGAGACACACCTGCACTGACCTTGGAGAGCTGCGTCGCTATCTTGGCCTGCAGATCTCTAGGGACAGAGCAGCACGCACCATCACTCTGACCCAGTCACACTTGGTGCGTCAGGTCCTTCAGAGGTTCGGTCTTCAGTTCTCCTCTGCACAGCCCACACCTCTACCCGTAGACCATGGGCTCTCTGCTCCTGTTCCTGAGGAGTCAGTAGAGCCCAGTGGCCCCTACGCAGAGCTGGTGGGTTGCCTCATGTACCTGATGACTTGCACTCGCCCAGATCTCGCATACCCTCTCAGCATCCTGGCTCGCTTTGTGGCTACAGGCAGACACCGACCTCAGCACTGGTCTGCCGCTAAGAGGGTTTTGCGTTATCTTGCTAGTACATCAGGCATGGGGTTAGTGCTAGGAGGACGCAGGCCAGTGGTCCTTACTGGGCACACAGACGCTTCTTGGGCAGACGACGCTGAGACGCTCAGGTCGTCGCAGGGCTACTGTTTCAGCCTTGGTTCGGGTGCTATCTCTTGGAGATCCACTCGCTCGTCGTCTGTGGCTCAGTCTAGCTGTGAGGCTGAGATCTACGCTGGTGCCATGGCGGCACAGGAGCTCCGCTGGCTGACCTTCTTGCTCATAGACTTAGGTGAGCGGCCTAGCTCTGCCCCGGTCCTGTACGCTGACAACAGGGCCATGATACTCCTGTGTCAGGAGCCTCGGCTTGAGGGCAGAGCGAAGCATATCCAGCTGCGGTACTTCCTCCTGCGCGAGCTACAGCAGCGCCGCCAGGCCCGCGTAGTTCACTTGGCCTCAGGTGCCAACACAGCTGATATCTTTACTAAGGCGCTTGCGCCTAAAGATCATCAGCGGCACTGTGTACAGCTTGGTCTTGTTCCTGTAGCTGCTCCCCTGTTAGGATCCTGATTGTGTACTCTCTATTATATATGCTTGTCAGACTGGCCTTGTGGCCTTACCTCCAGTGGCTGGACTAGTAGTGCCACCCTGGCTTGCTTCAGTTTTGGTTGTATTCTTGCTGACTGGTCTCCAGACCCCTGCCTCAGTGGTTGGACTAGTAGTGCCGCCCTGAGCTGTTTGCTTCTTGTTTAGTTTCACCCCTTGTCTAGCCTAGGGGGTGTGTCAACTTATACATATTATCTATGTAGAAGTTATAGGCTAGACTGAGGTATGCTTCTAGTGAGTACAACCAACTAGTATTTGTTCTAGGTTTCCACCTCTAGTAATCATTCGTTTCTACGTTAACAATTCACTCTTGCTGAATATGTCACCTGTGCTGCAGTTGTGTGACTAGGTAGGTCATTCACCATAGGGATGCATGCTTGCAAGCAAAATAGAGCAACCATTGTTCACAAAGGCATCTCAACTCAATCACAGGAGGGGAGGCCCCCCCGAAAAAGTGCTGCTATTCATAGAACTGCGTGGTTAACTGTGCAAGCAAGTCAAATCAACCCAACTCAACCCATACCCTACAGTGCTGCTGCAGAAGCTTGCTTGCGGACCCTCTTCCTCTGCATCGCCCCACCAGCTCCCTCGCTCGTCTCAACTCTGCCTATCCCATCCCCCCCATGCCTCACCAACGGCGGCACCTTCCCATGCCACTCCCACACGCACATGTGCCGTTCAGCATCGTAATGCCACATGTCGTTCATCAGAAACCGCCTCATCTTCTCCTCCCGCCCCGAAATCCAGTTATTATGCAGAATGGAGCATCCCACCTTGGCACACGCCCGGCTCACATCCTTCTGCTCCCACAAGCCATGTACCGCACCGTTGGGGTATCGAGCTCTGTCTAGAAACACGGTTCTTAGCCCGTTCTTCCACACGCACTCCTCCCTTCCGGCAGCTACAAGCTCCCCTGCCTCCCCACATAGAACATCATAGAAACTCGGCTGCTCCGAAAGTTTTGTCGCTGCTGCATGCGCAGTGATCGCCTCGAACGCCTCGACTGTTTTCTGGTCTGCCCGGGCGAAATAGAACCCCGAGTTGATCCTCCGGACACCGGTTCCTGGAAGGTTCGCGTCCGGTTCGTTGCTCTGGATTGGGAGAGTTCCCGAGCCATACGAGAGGAGGTCCGGGAGAGGGTCGGTGAACCAGACGATGTCGACATCGGTCCAGAGCACTGAGTAACCGGCCTTGAGGACTTTGAGCACGGAGCGAGACTTTAGCTTGGTGAAATGGCGGAAGCACTGGCTGCCGTAGCCACACTCACTGGCTCTCATGTGCTTCACCTCTTCGCTTGCCTGATTCGGAGGAAGTGAGGAGAATGGGGCATGAAATGAGCTTGGTGACATGGCGGAAGCACTGGCTGCCATAGCACACTCACTGGCACGCATGTGCTTGACTTCCTCACTTGCCTGCAAGGTAGGGGGGCAAATGGGGGGAGAGTGAATAAGAATGTGGTCGGCCGTGAGGACTTTGAGGACAGACGGAGACTTGAGCTTGGTGAAATGGCGGAAGCACCGGCTGCCGTAGCCCCACTCACAGGTTCTCATGTGCTCTACTTCCTCACTTGCCTGTATGAGCTTGGAAAGAAGAAAGAACGGGAGAAGGGGGGGAAGAAAGAGAGAGAAGAGGGGGGGGAGAGAATGAGGGAGAAAGAAGAGGGAGGCAGGGGGAGAGAGCTAGCCCACCTGCTCGTAGTACACGGGCAGGCCCTGCGTGAAGGCGAAGCGGTAGAGGTCCTCGTCGAGGGCGGCGACGAGGAGGTTGGAGGCGAGGCCGAGGGAGCGCAGGCGGCACACAAAGCTCATCAGCATCTCTGCATACCCCGCCGTCACCGCCACCAGCGTCACCACCTGTAGCTCCCCTCCCTGCCCGTCCGGTACCCTGCGCGCTAACACTGGCAGCAGCTGCTCCATGGTGTGGGGGAGGCCCACAGGAGAGGAGGAGGGGGAGGAGGAGGAGGAGGAGTTGGCTGGATTCCCCGTTCCTGCACTGCTGCTGCTGCTGCTGCTGCTGGAGGAGTTAGCTGTGTGGGGGATGGGGTTGATGGTGTAGTCGGTGACGTTGGTGGAGGCCACAGACCCGCACGTCCACTGCTGCTGCTTGGCGCTCAGCTTGGGGTCCGTCTGAGAGGCGGCCACTGAGGAGGAGTACTCGCACGAACACACCGCGGGGCGCAGGCGCCGCTGCAGGCAAAGGAAGTTGGCTGTGGGGGGGATGGGGAGGAAGGGGTGGGGGTATGGGCGAGAGAGCGAGGAATGTTCAGCTTGGCGTCCGTCTGAGAGGCCACTGAGGAGGAGTACTTCCACGGACAGACCGCGGGGCGCAGGTGCCGCTGCAGGCAAAGGAAGTTGGCTGGGAGGAGAGGGAGGGGAGTATGGGCTGGGGTCGGTCAGAGGAGGAGTGGGTGGTGAAGGCCAAGGGGCCAAGGGGGAAAGTTGACCCTAGAAATGGGGAGTGTGGGGAGGCCAGTCAGGGGAAAGAAGGATGCAGGGGATTGGAGGGCACTCGTAGAACTTAAATTCCGGGGGAAGGCGAAAATAAGACATTTCTCAGGGGAATATATGCAGGGAAATTCATGCAAGGGAATTCATGCAAGGGAATTCATGCAGGGGAATTCATGCAGGGGAATTCATGCAGGGGGATTCATGCAGGGGAATTCATGCAAGGGAATTCATGCAAGGGAATTCATGCAGGGGATTCATGCAGGGGAATTCATGCAGGGGATTCATGCAGGGGAATTGATGCAGGGGAATTCATGCAGGGGATTTTATATCATGGCGGAGCCACCAAGAGGAATAGTCTCACCCGAAGCTTCCAGGCAGTTCATCAGCTTGACCGGCACGTGCAGAGGTGTCCCTTTCTGATTGGCGTACGTGCCGTGCGTGTGCGCGAGGTGAATGTTGGCGAACAGCTCCCAGCTACTGTTCACCCGCGTGCTCCAGAAGCTCTTCCCCGCCAATCCCGCCGCGTTTTTCGTGAACGCCGACTCCACCACGTGCGAATAGGAGTGCGCCACGTGCACGGCCGTGACGGCCTCGCTGGCGTCGACAATCTCCCGCAATCCCGACGCGATGATCTCATGCGTCAGCCAGTTGTCGTACTTCCCGCGACCGTACGAGAACGGCGGTACGGTTTCTTTCACCAGCGGGACCGGCGTACGGTCGTCGTTGTTCCACGCCCAGAAGTCGACTCCGCCGTACGTGTGCAGCGTGCCGTGCGTACGTACGAACTCGCGAATTGTCGCCTCATGTTCCCGATGGCCGCGGCCCGCCCACATTTCCCGCTCGAACGAGTACGGAAAATCCTCGGGCATGTCCCACCGCGCCGCGGTTACCACCCAGTGGCGAAAGCTTTCGTGAACTTTTCGCATGGCAGCCATGACGTCGTTCAGTAGCACGATATCTGCGTTGATGACCATCGAGACGGGCGTATCCGCGGTTTGAGCGCGCGCGATAACGCTATGGACCTGCGGCACGCCGTAGAAATTCGTATCGGTGGCGGTTTCGAGGCACCTAAAAAATATACCAAAATAAACTACAAAATGTAGCAAAAAGATAGAATCCTTATAAAGCGCCTCGAAAATAGACTCCTCACCTGCGGCACACCGTAGAAATTCGTGTCGATAGCGGATTCGACCGCGACGTGCGCGGGGAATTGCCGCGCGAGCGCGTGGAAAGAGGAGTCGTTCCCCAGGAGGACGATCTTGGGGGACGGGCGCAAGCGCAGCCAGGAGAGCAGCGCGCGCCGCTGCGGGTCCGCGTGGGGGAGGAAGGGTCGAGGATGGACGTGTAGGGCTTGGGTGCTGTGAATATGGTGAGGAAATGGGGCTGGCGCTGCTGCTGCGGTTGCTTCTGGTGGCGGTGTGACTGTGGGGTGTGCTTGTTTGCAGTGGCGACGGGGAGAAGAGTTATGGTGACGGCCAGGGTTATTACTGCTAGGAGTAAGCATCTATGGGGAGCCATTGGATCCCAAATGCTGCTCACGGGAAGTGTTTTCCGAATTTATGCCAAGTACAACCGACAATTGCCTCCTTTGTGACTACTATTAGTGTGACTACGGTGTGTCGACGGTGTCAAATAATCTGATGGCGACAGGCGAATGCGAGAATGCTGGAATTTGGAGGTACTTATTGGTGAGGTAATGGCGGAATGCATAAGGCTATCATGCAAGAGTCACGACGGAGAAAGATGGCTAGTTGCCGGGAAGAATAAAGCTGTCCAGGAAGCGCGATGCGAAGGAGGGGAATTGGTTTCGTATGGATGAGCTATGCGAAGTAAACTTTGTGACGACAACACGACGAAGGAGCGCGAAAGCTTGCACGAACCTAGTTCGCTCCAGTCACACGAGGTGATCAGTCTGTGGTACGCTGTTACCATCGAGATTCTATTCGTCTTGAGTGTTTGCTTACTGAGGGTGGGGGAATGTATGCATTTAGGGGCAGGTAGGGTGGTGTTGGGGTTTAGGCATTGCCTGTGGGCGGGCAGGCTGGCTTTGCCTGGCAGCCAGCACCAATCCCCTTTTTGCCGTGTCAGCTTTGAAAGCTTATTTTCGCATGGAAGCAACATCGACTCTGACCAGGTTGCCTGGTGGGATCCATAGGGCAAGTGAGGCAAGTCTCAGCGTGGGTCCCTCGTCTTCTTCCGTCATATAATCGGCGCCGATACGCACCGTGAATTCTGGCCTCTATGCTACACTTCTCAGACACGCCTCAACGGATACAATACAATGCGTTTATGTTGATATAAATGTTTCACTAAAAAAGAATTTTGTTATAATGCATTCATCCCATTAGCTCACTTCATGGCTGCAATCCTGCTCGCAACTCTTTTTTGAGGCGCGCTACTATGCCACCGCCACATGCACATCCTCTTCTCCAAATCATAGTGCCAGAATGAGTTCACCACAAACCGCTGCTTCTTCGCATCCTTTCCAGCAATCCAGTTGTTGTGCAGAATGGCACATCCCTTCCTCCTGCACGTCCCCTCCACATCCTCCTCATCCCAGAACGCATGAGCAGCACCATTCGCATAAACCACCCTATCAAGGAAGATGGTGCGAAGGCCGTTTTGCCACACACACTCCTCCTTCCCCTCCACCACGTTCTCACCTTTCACCCCACACAGAATATCGTAGAAGCTAGGTTGTTCCGATAGCCTCGTGGTAGCTGCATGTGCAGTGATGGCTTCAAACGCGTCGACTGTTTTCTTATCTGCCCGAGCAAAGTAGAACCCAGAGTTGATTCGCCGAATGCCTGTCCCAGGCAGCGTCGTGTTCGGCTCGTTGCTCTGGATCGGGAACGTCCCCGGGCCGTAACTCAGCAGGTCCGGGAGAGGGTCGGTGAACCAGACAATGTCAACATCCGTCCAGAGCACAGAGTAACCAGCCTTGAGCACCCGAAGAACAGCCCGGGACTTCAGCTTGGTAAACTGCCTAAAGCACTGGCTGCCAAAGGCACAGTCCTTTGAGTCCACCCCCTTGAGCCCCTGGCTGACCTGCTCATAGTAAACCGGCAGGCCCTGCGTGAAGGCGAAGCGGTAGAGGTCCTCGTCGAGCGCAGCAACGAGGAGGTTGGAGGCGAGGCCGAGGGAGCGCAGGCGGCACACAAAGCTCATCAGCATCTCCGCGTACCCCGCCGTCACCGCCACCAGCGTCACCACCTGCAACGAGCCCCCCTTCCCATCCGGCACACTCCGAGCGATGGTTGGCAGAAGCTGCTCCATAGTGTGAGGGAGGCCAACAGGGGCTTCAGCAGCCGCAGGAGGAGGAACAGTGGGAATGGTGTAGTCCGAATTCCTGTCCACTGACACGCTGCCACATGTCCATTTCCTGCCCGTCTTATCCAGCTTCGGGTCCGTCTGGCTCGATTTCACAAAATTTGCGGATTCGCACGTGCACGTGGCGGGGCGGAGGCGCTGCTGCAGGCACATGTTGTGAACGGAGGGCTCGTGACACGTGGCGAGCTTCCAGGGGACGTGTAGAGCTGTACCCTTCTGATTGGCGTACGAACCGTGCGTCATTGCCAGGTGGATGTTGGCGAACAGCTCCCAGCTGCTCTTCTTCCTCGTGCTCCAGAAATTCTGCCCTGCTAACCCGTTACCGTTTCCGTTTCCGCTCCCCCCCCCGCCGCTGCTGCTGCCGATGCTCTTGCTCGCCGCTGATTCAACCACGTGCGAATAGGAATGCGCCACGTGGATCGCCGTGACCGCCTCGCTGGCGTCTACCATGTTCCTCAATCCTGCCGACACGATCTCATGCGTGAACCAGTTGTCGTATTTCCCACGCCCGAACGAGAACGGCGGCATGGCGCCCTCGTGCAGCGGCGCGGGCGAGTCGTTGTTCCACGCCCAAAAGTCCACCCCGCCGTACGTGTGCAGCGTGCCTATATCGCGTACGAACCCGCGGATCTCCTCCTCCATCGCCGCGTGGCTGCGGCCGCGCGCCAGCCCCCTCTGCCCCCACATCTGCGACTCGAACGAGTACGGAAAATCCTCCGGCATGTCCCACCGCGCCGCGGTCATCACCCAGTGCTGGAAGGTTCCGTGCGTCTTCTGCAGCGCGAGCATGACGTCATTCAGGAGAATAATATCCCCGTTAATGATCATCGAGATGTCGGTCGTCGCGGCCTGCGCGCGCGCCACCATGCTGTGGAATTGCGGCACGCCGTAGAAATTGCTGTCGATTAGCGGCTCGACGGAGATCTGCGCGGGAAAGCGACGCGCGAGCTCGTGGAACGACGTGTCGTTCCCGAAAAGGACGATTTGGGGGGGCGGGGAGAGGCGCAGCCAGGACAGCAAAGCGCGCCGCTGCGGGTCGGGGTTAGGGTCTGAAGGGTCCAGGATGGAAGGGTAGGGTTTCGGCGCGCAGAATATGGTAAGCGACGGCGCTTCGGATCGATCGCCATCATTAGGCGCTTTAAACCGTTCGGTTTTAGCGGATTCGTAACGCCGGGCGTCGCTGCCGAAATCGTAGATTTCCGAGTCGCCCGCTGGCCCGGGCAAGCTCTGGATCAAGCTGCCGCGCGAAATGCCGTTGGCGATCGCGAATGACGACCCCTGCCGCTGGCCGCCGCCGCCGGTTAGGCCTCGTCGGGTGTCTGCGGCGACTTCGCTCACACCGGAGTTGGCAGAATCGACGCTTGATGCGCTCTTTTTGAAGATGACGGAGTGGCTTCTGTCGGCGAGCAGCGCGCCGTCGCGAAGGATCCTCTCGCGAGGGGTGAGGCGACGGTGATTTGGAGAGGAGAAGGCGGACGGGAGAGATGTACAGAGGAGGAGGAGGAGGGAGAGGAGGGTTGGAACGCGGTATTGCTGTGCCATGATCACTCGATGGGGTGCGGGGTGGAGATTTAGAATAGCGAGGCTGAACTAGTGCGCTGTATGAGAGACTAGATAAATGCCTTATCTGCTCGTCGTAACTTCAGCAGATTCTTGAGGCGGGGATAAAAAAATGGAAACCAGGGAATGATCGGAGCGGTGCAAGTGACCAGAGGGAGCGAGGTTCCAGCTAGGGGTGGGTTTTCTGCCGAGTAGGCGAGCCTGTCGAGCACCACTCAGCGCTGAGTGAGGTTCACCTGCACGGTTCACTCTAACAACACATGCGCGTTTGTCGATTGAAAGGTTTTGGAATTGTTTGTGAGAATGTCGAATGCCTTCCTGTTTTGTATGGCAGGAGGGAGTGCATGTGGGTTTTGGAGGGCAAGCATCAGGCACTTGGCTGTTTGGGCGGAATCCGAGAGGGCCATGCATGGTGCGATCAACTGAACAGAAATCTGCGACTCGGGCAGTTCAGATGCTACACACACTCCACAGCACACCAAGAGGACAGGGGCCACTTGCCGTCGACATTAGGGATGGCAGCGAGGTATTGCCGTTTGTAACTCTGGATCAGTTGACAGCCCAGGTGTTTCGCAAAGCATCGCAACCAGTCGTTCAGGACACATCATGCTGGATGTATGGAGAAACTCACACATAGACCCACATGCGACGCGACTAATATTCCTTCAGCCTGTACCACAAATTCTGCACCCAATCACAACCCGCCCACAAACGAACAGTTTTCGCGACCTACCCTACATCTCCAGTCAAGCTTTTCGTCCATAAGCGTCGTCGAACCATTTTCGTTTCGGTGTGAATCCGTCGCGCAGGTTCAGGGTGTCGCAATTCGCAGTATCCGCGTCAATTCCTGCCAAGCACCTGCTCACTGACGTGACGACACTGGAAGAGCAGCATCGATGTTGAATGTTGACCAATGGGCAAGCGCCCAGCCCCTCCCTGTCTGCCCTGCCCGTACCGTTGCTCCACAACGGCGATATGTTGATACGCAGGCTTCGAAACTGTCCAGCGTTATGCTGTCACCGACCACTTCGTCACCAACCTTTACTGGTTTCATACAACGCTACACGTTCGAATCCAACTGTACCAATGCAAACATACAGACACCACTTAGTATGTGATATTTGTGCACATGAGCAATAACAGGTGACATCTATTGGTCAAGACACATATTTCATTATGAAAGAATTTCATAATATGTGAAATAAAATGGTTGTATTCACTTAGAAGATATGATGAAAACATGATTTCTAGTGGTGGTCTCTTTGTATGAATAAATAGGTACATTGACACCTAGTGCTATTTGCGAAGTTTGGGTGTGGTTGAATCACAGCCCTCCTAGGCCGCGTTAGAGTCCCTCTTTGATAACGTGAGGACACGGTGGCGAGTGCCCTCTAGTTGAAGGGCACGTGTCTCCCACATCCATTTCCGACATCCACCCCCTCCCTCGCTCATCATCCCCCCACATCCACAACCACCAGGCGACTCCTAATCTTGCAATCAATCCTGGGGGCATGTCCAACGTACCACTGTACCAGACTGGTTTCCTCTTTACCGTGGAGAAAGCCTAGGCACCGATCTCAGCTTCCTAGAAAATATTGTAGAAGCGTAGTGCATACTAAAATCTAGGGCTTTTAGCTCAGGCTCTCTAACGGCTTCTAGTGTCGTTCTAAGGCACCCTGACCAGGATACCTTTTCCTGGCGTGCCGTCCTTCCCTCTATCTGCTCACTTCTGGTAACGCAGCTTCACCCTTACATTGGTCAGGTAGCATTGATCCTTGCGGCTTCATCCTAGCCTGTCTCTAGCTCCAGAGGACCAGCCGTTTCGGTTCAAGTCTCTCCGATTCGTCAGGCGTAAGGACCTCTCGCGCCTTTCCTATAAAGGAATCCGTTTTGAGACCGAGTTTTAAGACCCGAGGGTAGTGATACGCCGACCCATGGCCAAGCCAGCTCCGCAGAAGAAAAGTACAGCTGCCGCTGCACCTGCTGCCACGTCAGCAGCAGCGAGCGAGGCCGCAGCCCAGAAGCAACTTGCCGCTGATCTGCAGCAGAAATGGGAGCGGCGAAACGATCCCGTTGAGATTGACGACTCGGAGCAGCCGAAATACGTGCGCAAGGGACCCGCGACGGGGAAGGAGCTAGCCGAAAACAAGAAGGTACGGCAGGGATGGCCGGTTAGGATGGGATAAGGCGAAACGATACGTTGAGATCGACGACTCGGAGCAGCTGAAATACGTGCGCAAGGGACCGGCGACGGGGAAGGAGCTGGCGGAAAACAAGGAGGTACGGCAGGGATGGCCGGTTACGTTTGGTTTATGTGGGAAGAGGAAATGGCGTGGCGTCAGGTGCAGGGAAAGAGGAATGAACTTGAAATCGTGCTTGCTGACTGCCACGCTGAGGTTTCACGCTGCAGTACGCTGGTACGTGCAGTCCGCTGGTACGTGCAGTCCGCTGGTACGTGCAGTCCGCTGGTACGTGCAGTCCGCTGGTACGTGCAGTCCGTTGGTCGTGCAGTCCGCTGGTACGTGCAGTCCGCCGCAGTCCGCTGGTGAAGTTGCAGAGATTCCTAGTACGTGCTGGGGAGATTGGACATTTCAGGGGGGATAGCAGTAGCGATAGCTGTCCTCCGTGCTGCACTTCTGAGGCTCGTTTAGGAAGTTACCGCCAGGATGCTGTGCCGTGACTTCTGAGGCGCTCGTTAGCGCTGGTAACCATGTCTGACACCCGATTAGGAAGTTACCGCCAGGATGCTGTGCCGTGACTTCTGAGGCGCTCGTTAGCGCTGGTAACCATGTCTGACACCCGATTAGGAAGTTACCGCCAGGATGCTGTGCCGTGACTTCTGAGGCGCTCGTTAGCGCTGGTAACCATGTCTGACACCCGATTAGGAAGTTACCGCCAGGATGCTGTGCCGTGACTTCTGAGGCGCTCGTTAGCGCTGGTAACCATGTCTGACACCCGATTAGGAAGTTACCGTTCTTTTAGGAAGTTACCACCTGGATGCGGATGGGTGGAAAGGTAGGTTAGTTTTGAGACGTCCCAGAACTAACCTACTTAACCACCGCTCCATGTCCGACACCCGATTAGGAAGTTACCGTTCTTTTCGGAAGTTACCGTTCTTTTCGGAAGTTACCGTTCTTTTCGGAAGTTACCGTTCTTTTCGGAAGTTACCTCCAGGATGCGGAGTGGTGGCATTGCCTGGTAACGTGCCGCTTCTAGGATTATTTTCGAAGAATGCTTCGAGTAGACGACGGTTTCTGGACGAACTTGATCTGACGCTCGAGTCAGTTGGATGGGGATAGGGTTTTCGGGTTGTAGCCTCGCTGGAAGGTGATGCATACCTCAACTGTGTGAGAAAGTCGCCAACTGTCTGCTAACACCTCCTTCCCTTCCCTTCCCTTCCCGCCCCTTCCCCTCCCTGTCCGCCCCTGCCTCTTTTCGTACCGCAGCTGTACCAGAAGGTAGCCAACAGCCGCATGACTTAGACGACTTTGAGCCGACTCAAAAGAAAAGTGGCCAGCTGTCAGCTAACACCTCCGTCCCTTCCCTTCCCTGTCCTCCCCTGCCTCTTTCCGTACCACAAAGAGCAACATTCACAGCCATTCCCTTTCTCCCTACCGCCCTTCCCGCTCACCACACCCGCAGCTGTACCAGAAGGAGGCCAATAGCTGCATGACTCAGTGCCGACTCAAATCAGAGGAGCTTGCGAGAGGATTCTATTTCTGAGGCGCCTCAAAAAGGGAGCTTGCGAGACGTCATCCCTTGCCTCCGCTCAAACGTGATCCCTTGCCTCGGCTCAAACGTCATCCCTTGGCTCGGCTCAAACGTGATCCCTTGGCTCGGCTCAAACGTGATCCCTTGGCTTCCATGGGTTCGTTTCTTCCCCATCCTCCCGCTCCTTGTTTACAGCTGTACCAGAAGGTGGCCAACAGCCGCAGGACTCAGTTCCAACTCAGATCCGAGGAGCTTGTTGACTCGACTTTAATAACACCGCTCCCATGGCCCTTTTCTTCCCCCTTCTCCCGCTCGTTGCTAACAGCTGTACCAGAAGGTGGCCAACAGCCGCATGACTCAGTTCCTGCTGAAGTCCGAGGAGCTGGCGAGGCGGCAGCAGGAGGAGGAGATCCGCAGGCACTCCGCGCCGCTGCACGCAGAGGACAAGGGACTCTGGAAGAAGATGCCGCTCATTCCTGGTATGTGGTAGTGGGTAGGCATGTGAGTCTACGCATATGAGGCCTGGTGCGGGAGAAGGGTTACGCAGGTGACTCCTGCTAGGTTGGAGGGTAACGGTTGGTGGGTGCAGAATATACAGGTACTCCGCGCCACTGCATGCGGAGGACAAGGGGCTCTGGAATAAGATACCGCTCATTCCGGGTAGGTGGTGGGCATGGCATGATGGCACGGGCAGGCTAGTGCCGCTGGGTCTGGCGGGCAGCAGGGAACAAGCGTCCAGCGTGGCTCCTTTCCCTTTCCCTCACACCCCTCTCTCCCCTCTCCCCCGCCCCCCCCCTTTTCGCCACCCCCCAAGCTCTCTTTGGAACTGGCAGATTTCTGGACACAATTCCAGTGAGCGCAGTTAGAAAGATGGAATTATGTCCGGAGGTCCGGAGATCCGCCCCCCCTTTTCGCCATCCCTCAAGCTCCCTTGGGAACCGGCAAGCTTGCCAGCCAGCCTGGTCGTGGCGGGCAACCAGGAGAATGCGTCCAACGTTTTTCATTCCCTCTCCCTCCCTCCTCCCTCTCCCCCTCCTCCTCCCCCCCCAACACCCCCTCAGCTCCCTTTGGCACCGGCAAGCTGGTGTGGCTGGGGCTGGCGGGCAACAAGGAGAAGGCGTCCAACGTGTTTCTTGACTTCTTCAAGACCTTCCACTTCGGCCTCTGGGGCCTTCCCAGTCAACCGAAAGCACTCTTGAGCTGCTCGAGAAACACTTTTGCCTCTCCTCTTCCCCCGTCCCTCCCACACACATCCTGCCCCCCCCCCCCCCATCAGCTCCCTTTGGCACCGGCAAGCTGGTGCGGCTGGGTCTTGCAGGCAACAAGGAGAAGGCGTCCAACGTGTTTCTCGATTTCTTCAAGACCTTCCACTTCGGCCTGTGGGGCTACCAGCAGCGCCCCTACCCCGCGGAGAAGCCCTTCGACATCCAGCAAGTCGTGGGCAGCAAGTTCCTCGAGAAGAGATACCTCGACTGTGAGTGGTTATGATTGGTTGCGAGTGGTTGTGAGTGGTAGGTAGAGTGGTAGAGAGATAAACTTGATTGTGGGGCTACCTGGGGCTACCAGCAGCCCCCTACCCCGCTGAGAAGCCCTTTGACATCCAGCAAGTCGTGGGCAGCAAGTTCCTCGAGAAGAGATACCTCGACTGTGAGTGGTTGCAAGTAGACATGGGCACAAGCCGAGCCACACCTGGCTCGGCTCGGCTCGGCTCGCCTTTAAGGCGAGCCGAGCCTTCTTTTTTGGTACCCGGCTCGACTCGAGCCGGCGGCTCGGCTTGGCTCGCGAACGTGAAATCAGGCGAGCCGGAGTCGAGCCGGCTCGAGCTGGCTCGATTTCGAGCCAGCCGGCTCGCGGCTAGGGAAAGGGGGGTTTGGCGACTGTCAAATTTTAGATCGACAACCCCCCCCCCCTGCCAATATTGTCTGCCAACCCTAACCTCACCCTGTCGCGCTAGTCTATCGACCTCAGCCAGCCATATTTGAACCGGCAGCTCCTCCTGATAGTTTTGTAAGATGTAGGAGCAGACGATCAGCTAAATAATATGGATTATCCCCTATACTAGAGACCCCAAACCCCGTGGCCCCAATTGAGAGCCCGCACAAGCCCCTCTGACGAGCCGAGCCGAGCCAGGGATCCTGAGGACCCGGCTCGAGGCCAGCCGAGCCGGCTTGACCCCAAACGAGCCGAGCCGAGCCAGGCTCGGCTCATGCCCATGTCTAGTTGCAAGTGGTCGTTGATTGGTGCTTGGGTGGTACTCTGCAAGTGAGTGCGTTGATGTGATGAATCTCACATCAAGGCTCATCATGCAAGTAAGTGAGTGATGAGAGAGCCCCTCATTTCAACTCCAACTTACCCCCCTCCGTCCAACTCCATCTTTACCTGGGGTGACTGTATCCCCACCTCTCTGTCTCTCTGCCGTTACAGTCACCCAGCGTGGCAGCACATGGTGTGACAATGACACGTGGGACGCTCACGGGGCCCCTGCGAGGTGACTTGATTTCAGGCCGTTAAATCTAAGTTGACAAGCGTCTTGATATGGTGCTTCCAAATCCAAGTCAACCCTACCTGCCCTCCCCCCCTTAACTCTACAGTCACCCTGCGTGGCAGCACGTGGTACTACAAGGACAGGCTGGGGCGCACTCGAGGTCCCTGCGAGGTGATCAACCTCCGCACGGCGTGGGCAGCGGGGATCATCGACGGCAACACCTTTGTGTGGGGCGGCAGACACTCTCCATTCCTATTCCGGCTTATCCCCACCCCCCGTCCCCACTTCCTTCCCCCCCTGACTCGCCGCCCCTGCCTCTCTCCGTTCTCCCCACCCCTGCACAGTCACCCTGCATGGCAGCACGTGGTACTACAAGGACAGGCTGCAGTCACGATTCCAACTCTAGCTTATCCCCCCCTCCCCCCTCTCCTCTACACAGTCACCCTGCGTGGCAGCACGTGGTACTACAAGGACAGGCTGGGGCGCACCCGAGGTCCCTGTGAGGTGATCAACCTGCGCACAGCGTGGGCGGCGGGGATCATCGACGGCAACACCTTTGTGTGGGGCGACGACATGGACGAGTTTGCACCGATTGACGCAGTGTACGGGCTCAAGCAAGCGATCGATACTCCTGATGGTGAGTGGATGTGTGGCTGATTGTATCTCTGACTTCTGGTACTTGCGTGTTGTGTGTAAGAAGGCTGTACACCATGGTGCAACACCTTTGTGTGGGGCGACGACATGGTCACGTTTGCACCGATTGACGCGGTGTACGGGCTCAAGCAGGCGATAGATACTCCTGATAGTGAGTCGTGGATGGCTCGTGGTGGCTAGGTGGTTGGGGGGGCACGATTGGTGATTGTGGACTCTCGGCACGGCGTGGGCGGCCGGGATCATCGACGGCACGGCAACACCTTTGTGTGGGGCGACGATATGGACGAGTGCTGCCCAACTCTGAACCCTGGAACCCCTCTCTGTTTTCCTTGCCTGCCCTCTGCTTTTTCCCAATTCTCCAGTCCGCCTGGCCACAGCAGGAACAGCCATGCTGCACCGCATCGGCCGGGGAATGAATCCTCTCAAAGTCAAGAAGGGCTTGACTCCAAGAGGCCAGGTTCCAAGAGGTCGCTGGAGGAGCGGCAGGAGGAGGCAGTGGCGGACAAGGAGGTTGAGCGCACCGTGCTGGCAACTCTGAACCCCAAACCCCTGAACCCCTTCCTCTTTTCCTTTGTTTCTTTTCCCCTCCACTTCTGCCCAAATCTCCAGTCCGCCTGGCCACAGCAGGAACAGCCATGCTGCACCGCATCGGGCGGGGCATGAACCCTCTCAAAGTCAAAAAGGGCTTTGAGGGGGCAAAGAGATCCCTCGAGGAGCGGCAGGAGGAGGCAGTGGCGGAGAAGGAGGTTGAGCGCACCGTGCTGCGCAACCACGGGGGCGCGTGGCCGGGCAACCAGGCACCCGCGCACGCGCTCTTCCTGTGGGCCAGTGGTGGAGAGCTCACTAAAGTGCTCGACCAGAAGCCCAAGAGGTTTCCCAGCAAGTTCATCTCCTACGAGCAGAGGTGAGTCGAGGCCATCTCTGTTTGCTTGAGGGAGTCCCCCTGCTCTCCCACCCCCTCCTCCCCTTTTCCCCCTTGCCTACTTCCTTCTTTTCTGTGTGTCATATCGCGTTCCCCATTCCTCATTGTTTACCCCAACAGGAAGAAGCTGGCGCAGCGCATCCCTGGCCTGCGCCCGTGGGAGGTGCTGGAGGTGGAGCAGCTCTTCAACTTCCTCACCTTCCGCGACGACTTCTGGCGCAGCAAGCTTGGCACCTTTGCCACTCCCCCCGAGAATTCCGAGGCTTATGATGAGGAGATGATGGAGGAATGGGGAGAGATTAAGGATGCCCTATCAGGGGCTTTTCCTGAGCTGACCAGGTGATGATGCATGCATGCTATCTGATGGACAACCTCTGTATTTGGGCCTTGGAAGGTACTAAAACTAGTCATACAGGGGTTGATCAGTGCCCATACGTGTTTTTCCTTGATATAATGGTATTACTGTGGAATCATGGTTGGTTTTTCTTTATTCAACAAGGCTGTTTTTGGGAAGGTGGACTAGCAAGGTGCATAACACATGATTGGCGCCATTTGTATTCTTGCTGTGGAAGTAATTCTCTAATGGACATTGTTTTGAGGCGAAGTGTTTTCGAAATTGCTCAGGTGTTTTCTGAGGTCTCAGCGAAACTCAGGTGTCGGTGGTGAATCGCATTCGGATCGCCCACGATGGCATTGTGACCGCATGAGCGAGAGCTCCATGCTTTCTAGTGGTCGCCAACGTGAGCTAGAAACAAGTCGAATCGGATGCGTCCGCGTAGGACCAATCATCGCCAAGCGTTTCGTCGAGAATACGCCCCCATTGGATGCGCGACTGAGCGACCTCTGACCAGGACGTGATCCCGACTCGCGACCATGCACATTCAATTCCGTGCATTTGCGGCTCGGTTCCCGTGCAAGCAACTCGAATTGTTGAATGTCATTGGTAAAGTCCGAGATGGGAATGGCTGGGTAGCATTGAACGTGATTGCCCCTTCCGTACCTCTCGGCTGCGTTGTTGGTGCTGGCCTCAGCTGCCGCCCCAAGCTTGTTCCCGTATCTCCCAAGCATGTGCTGGCACCCCGCAGTGCTTATCCCTTCTTCTGGCGTTGTACTTTTATATGGTTATAACGCAGTGCTAAACTTATCAAGCGCCGTTAGGGTCCTGCGCCTGTTTGCTCACAAGTCCTCCCTCCTCCACCATAGTCGTTAGGGCCTCCGTTCCTTCCCCCCCAAAATGGGAGCCTCGATCCGTCCCGCGCATTCTCTCCTGCTGGGCATCCTGTTTTGTTTCGCGGTTTCCGTAGCATTCGCCGACGATACGCAAGTAGAAACCGCATTCATTCTTTGCGACGAATTCGGCGATCATGTGGCAGCAGCAGCTGCGGCTCACAACATCTCCGTCTGCGCCTTCGTGCTCCAAGGCGAGCCCGTGGACTTTGACCTCACCCCCGCTGCGACGACCAGTGCCCCTGCGATCGCCGGCGATGAGTCGTCGCTTCGGCGACACTTGCTGGGCGGCGGTGCGACGCCTGTTGCGATCCAGCTGGCGCAGGGTCTTGTCGGCAAGACCGGGGAAGTCCGAACGCAGGTGACCGCGGGAACGTGGGAGACAGTTGGCACGATCCTCGTCAGCGTCCTCACTGAGGTGCGTTTAATTAGACCGTATTTGAATCCTATAACGCGTATGCATGATCTTTCGAACGTGGCTCAAGGTATTATGGATCATCAGAAATACAGAACTCGGGAAACCTGGATACCATAACGTGACATTGCATGAGGTGTAATACTCGTTTTGTCCCATGAAACATGCGGCTTATCTCGTTTCCATTTCCTCCCCAAACTCGTTCATGTTTTCCAGTCTCAACTCATCAGCAGGAGCCTGGTGTGGGCGATTAAAGACATGTACGACACGTGGCGCACGCGCCCGCAATCCGTGCAAAACCTCCAGGACGCGATTCGCAACGTGAATCGCGCGCACTCCAACCAGCAGACCCTGCTCTCAGTGCTGAATAAGAACCCGCAGACGAAGAAATCGAAGCAGCTGTCGTCCATTCGCGATACAGTCGCATCCATGACCCCCACGTTCACGCAGCTGCTCTCTCTGCTCGCCACGTGGCGCCGCAGAATCTTCACGCTGTCACGGCGTCTGCACTTCACTGCCGAATCTGCCGGCCTCGCCGTCGCGCAGGCCGAGCCGGCCGGGCCGGCAGGGGGGCCCAGCGAGCCGAGGCTCGCAGCGACTCTTAACCATAAGAGCAAGAAGGACAAGAACAACAATGACAACAACGACAGCACAACAACAATAATAACAACGACAAGAAGTCTAAGAAGGGCTCCTCCGGTGGCTCTAGTTCGAATTCTGGCGGCAAGGGCAAGAAGAAGGGCCAGAAGGCCAAGGTTGGCGCGACGCAGGCGATCAACGTGGTTGTAGCCGCAGACGGCAGCGGCGATTATAAATCGATTCAGGATGCGGTGGACGCGGCTGGCCCCGGCTCGACAATTCGCATCAGGGCGGGAGTTTACAACGAGCAGGTGCAAGTGAGCACGGATAGAATCACGATGATTGGCGCGGGCATGGATCAGACGGTGATTACGAACGACGCCAGCCAGAAGACCGGCTACGATATTATCACCTCCGCTACAGTTGGTAAGGATGCGTTCGCGCGAATTTTCCTGGCTCCGGCTGCCTTCACGCGCAAATTTTTAGCCCACTTTTCTACCGCAATCAATAAGCAAGGGGTACGCTTATATTTTACCCGTCAGCTATTCGTTGCTGAGCTTCCCTTTTCGCTCATGTGCCACGTGGCAGGCGTCAACGCGGACAATTTCGTGGCGATGAGCATGACAATTCGCAACACAGCTGGCATCGGACGGTCAGCAGGCCGTCGCGCTTCGCGTCGACAGCGACCAAGCCGCATTTTACCAGCTCCGGATATCCGCGTTTCAAGACACTCTGTTTGCCAGCACGGGCCGTCAATACTACACCCGCTGTTTCATCGACGGCGCCGTAGATTTCGTGTTCGGCGACGCGGCGGTTGTGATTCGTAACTCGCAGCTGAAGGTCCAGATGTCGCCGTACGACACGACGATCACGGCGTCGGGTCGCCTGAGCAAGTCGTCCAACACCGGGATTGTGGTTATGGACAGTCGCGTGGTGTCGTTCGCGCCGCGCGTGTTCCTCGGTCGGCCGTGGAAGGACTATGCGAGCGTCGGTGTTTATCAACGTTTGGCTAACGAATGTAAGTGTGTCGGCCCTAGTGTTTTCACGGTGCCAATCGAGCTTGAAGTCTCTCTCGTGTTCTCTTTCACACCAGAGTTCCTTCCTCGCTTCCTCGTGCATCCATGCCTCCCTCCCAACCCGTTTGCTTCTCTTATGTTGTGGAGCTCGTCTTCTGTTCTGCTCTCTTCCCTTGCCCTCCCTCTTCCTCTCTCCTACCACCCACCCACCCTCCCTCCCTCTCCCATTCCCCTTACTCCCCTCTCCTCCCCACTCCCCCTCCTCTCTTCCCCCCACCTCCCCCTTTGCCGTGCGCAGAAAGTCGTTGCTGACGGCTGGATGACGTGGGCGGGCCAGACGTACGGCGGAAAGCCGTTTCTCGCGGAAGTCAACAGCAAGGGGCCGGGCGCCCCAGCCTTCGCGCGTTCAAATGGGCCAAGCCCGGAATTGCGTCATCCAGTGACGTCAGCCAATACAACCCTAATGCTTTCATCCAACTCAACTCGTGGATCGGCTCCACCAAAATTCCCGTCTCCTAGTGTTTGATGCATCCTCGTTTCAGAGCTGCCTCGCTAGGCGATAAGTACGGACTACGAGTTATATTACCCTCGCGCGACTATGGCGGAGGCGTGAGTTGGTGGAAGGTGGGGGGTGGTGGGTCGGGGAAATGCGGACACGCCAAAGGGCTGACTACAGCGGAGTCGTTTGCGGGCACATTTGGGGAATCCGTTTTGGGCACATTCACTTGGCGCGACGCTTTCTTGTAGCTTTATTAGGAGATGGTACCCTTTACCAAAGGAAATAAAATTTTTTTCTGGTGCTACTCTCTTGGGATAGATACTACCCTGCTCTTGGACTGGCCGTACCGAGGTTCCTACTTGGCTGGAGTTTATTAATTTTCATATTCTACTCATCAATTACAGGTGCATGTTGTTTACAGCACTCGTCTTATATAGCCTAGACTACAAAAACCAGCTCAATATTAAGGGTACTAGACAAGAAGATCTACAATCTATGTTTGATTGGTTTTCAAGCCGCACTGAGCTAACTGCTGGGCTGCCTTGACACCTCGAATCCTCTCCAGAACTGCCAGCCTGGCAGGCTTGAAACAGCCTCATCAGATCCGCCACCCTGTCAGCCCGGAGCTGAGTCAGCAGCGAGGGGGAGGGCAGAGGGGGTAGCGCTGGCGGGTCGTGGTGATTGGGTGGCTGGTTTTCGCGGACGGGCAGACAGGGCACGAGATAGTGTAGGACGGAGGGGGTGGGGTTGGTGGGTCTTGAGAGTCGGTGGAGGAGGTGGAGATATGGGGGGGGGAGGAGAGGGGGTGGAGAGGTTGGGATGAACTGCAGTGTTGGTGGGTGCTTGGAGGGTGGCATGGCGGTGGTGTGGTTGGGATCATCTGTGTCCTCCGCACAGCAAGGACTGGTCCCGTTGATCTGGCTGACAGGACTGACTGGGTTGACTGGGTTGACTGGGTTGACTGCCTTGATGTGGTGTAGTTGATTGTTTCGGTTGACTTGATGGAGGTGGCTGACAACATTGGTTTGCCTGCCACGGTTGCGAGTGCAGAATACTCGGACTGCTCATGCCCCCGATAGGTGAATTCTTCACAGCCACATTCGCTGCACTCACGCTCCCAGCAGCAACACTTCCTCCAGTGCTGCTGCAATCCACTCCAGTCCACGGCAGAAACGAGCCCATCTGCTTCTCAGTACTGATCAGGGGAAGCTCGCTGCTGGGAGCTGCCGGATGGTATGCGCTGCATGCTGCTGCTGCTGGTGCCGTTCCATAGCAGCTGTACCACCGCTGCTGCTGCTGCTGCTGCTGGTGTTGATACCAGCACTGCCCGTGATACCGTTCGTCCCAAAGCGTCGTGATTCTGCCCTTAGTTCAGTCTTATGCTCTTCTCGCTCCCCTCTCCCTACTCTTCCCACTCTCTCCACCGTCTCAAACCACGGATGCGAAAGTATCTCGCAAGATCTTATCCTCCTCCCCGGCTCCTTCTCCAGCATCCGCCGAACCAGATCCTTAGCCTCGGTAGAACTCCGCCCCACAGCTCCGGCGAGCTCAGGTCCGGCGCCGCCTGGCACGCCGCAGCAACACGGCGTTGTGGTTCGGGCCGTGGAATGGAAGCTTCCCGGAAAGGCACGTGTAGAGGATGATCCCAAGGCTCCACACGTCCACCTGGTGGTTGTACAGATGACCTTTCACGACCTCAGGAGCCAGGTAGAAAGGGCTGCCAACTAGCCCTGTCAGGTGCTCGCCAGGGGCCAGTCGCCTCGCTAGCCCGAAATCGGCGATCCGAAGGTGGAGTTCTGAAAAGGTGCTGAAGGTGGAATGCCCATGAGCATCCCTGGGAAAGGCCGGGCGAGGAGAATGTTTTCAGGCTTTAAGTCCCGGTGCACCACCCCCACGGCGTGCATCCACGCCAGCGTGGCAGCCAGTTGGCCCCAACAGCGGCTGCCAGCTGTTCCGGCATGCCTGCTGAGTCAGCATGCCGGTCAACGAGGTCAAACAGGTCTCCTCCGCTGCAGTGGTCCATGACCAGGTGCACGCCCCAGCTGTCCTCGTACACTGAATGTAGACGCACCAGCCTCTCCCAGGGGGCATGCTGCTTGCTGTGAGGCTCTGGGTTCTGCCCATCCTGCCCCTCCTCCTGGGCTGAAGTGACACTGCCCTCGCCATCTTCTTTTCACTTGCGCCTCTTCGTCTTCTGCAGTCCAGCCACTTCTCCCGCCACCTCCTCTTCTTCCGCCGCTTCCTCCTCTTCCGCCGACTGCTGCAGCAGCAGCGGCGTCAGCGCCTCGGCTCGGAGCTCCTCAAGTTCCCTCGGGCCCTGACGGGACACGACGAGGCAAGGAGGGGAGCAAGGAATGGATTGACAGCGTGAGAGTGGAATAATCTTTGACGAACCATACATGGAGTTTTGTTTTGTTTTTGTTTGTTTGTTTGTCATTTAAAAAAAAAAGAAAAAAAAGGAGGAGACAAGAATGGCGCCACACCTGGAGCAACACTTTGCTGATCGTCTTGCAGGCAAACGTCTCGCCGCTCCTCCTCTCCCAGCACTCCCGCACCACGCCGAAATGCCCGCGCCCAAGCTCCCTCCCAACCTCGAACCGACCCTCCAGCCTCGGCCCGAAGCTGCTGCTGACGAGCCACGGTTCCCGCCAGCCTGGCGGGCAGTACCGGTCGATCTGTTGGTTCGGCGCGCCGCGGCTGCAACCCGAACCTTGGTAAAACCGCGGCGATTGAGCGGCGAGGCGGCATCGCTCTTCCAATTGGTCGAGAAGCATGCTGACGTGGCAGCGGGTGGTCGCGGCGCTCGGGAAGTCGATTCGGGACCGCCGGTTCGCCAGGGCCGGCCTAACGGGACCACGACGATGGTGTCGATTCGGATTCGCATTCGGTTTGGGATTGGGATTGGATAATTGCTAGTACTAGCAGAAGCAGAGTCGGACTCTGCCACGCTACTGCTACAGTCGGGCCCCTCGGCCATCATGGTGCTTCCCCGCGCCGCAGCCGTTGAATCGTTCTCGAAATAACTCCCGCTGTCGAGGTGACGATGATGATGACTCGCGAGGATTTGGGAGGCCATAACGTCGCGTCGCAAAATAGAGAGGTTATTAATCACGTTTTCCGTAGCCTGCTTAGCCACGAGGAGCCTAGTGAAGACTCAAAAGCTAGCTAGTAGTGACTGCAACAGGGTTTCCAAAGTACTGCCGCATAGCGAAGGCGGGATGACGACTGCTTTTCAGCGGCTCGAAAGTAGGCTCGATATGATCCGGACGGCGACTGCTGCAGTGTGGTCCACGGAATCAGGCTAGTAGCGCCTTCATGTAGAACACGCCTACGATGTACTACTTCGCATGCGGAAGGGATTTTTGAGGCGCCTCAAAAGTCGTCTACTTCGCATGCGGAAGGGATTTTTGAGGCACCTCAAAAGTCGTCTACGTCGCATGCGGAAGGGGTTCATGCATTGGTAAAAATGTGCTATTGGGAAGAAAGCGGGGCTAGACGTGACAAGACGAGCGAGTGAGAGAAACGAGAGGACGGGACTGGAGAGGGCTCCGGCATTCGTGGGAGAGGAAGAGAGTCCGAAACACCTCTACGTTACGTACTGCTGGCCGACGACTGTCCGCGAGAGAGCGCGAAAACGACCGTCGGCGGGCCGTTTGCGGATGACCGTGCATTGGAAGGAAACCGAATGCAGTCAGACTCTTGGAAGACACTGGATGGCTGGGAGGGATGAAGTCTGGGAGGGGAAGGCGAGGCTGTGTCGCGAATTTGTTTTACCAGGCGTGCACTTCGTTCTTCGTTGAGGCGCACTCACGGACTGTGGAAGAGGCACCGTCATGCATTTGTAACAAGGGAGTTGCTGCAGCAGCGCACGAAAAAAGCCAAGACCATGGAGGTTTCAGGAATGGAATGGGAAGGGTGGGGAGAAGGAGTCGCACTTTGGCGGACTCGCTGCTTTTCCGCTGGTCTGAGATTCCGTGAGGCGCGGGATGGGAGCGGAGAGTGGGGAGGGATGCGGGGGGCGGCGGGGGGAGGCTGAGCTTTCGTTGCTTGCCCCCCTATTCGTACTGTGCAGTACAGTAGGGGCGTGGACGTAAACAACCGGCGGAGAATCCCGCAGATGCGCTGCGGGTTCGCTTGCGCCTGTGACTGGCCCTGGGCTGGCTGGTTGGGCCTGGAAGGGGTTTGTTGGGTGGGGTGGGGGGGGGGGGGGAGAGGGTATGTGGGCATGCGAGGAATTTCCGCATGCTGCTTGGCGCATGGAAGAATTTCGGGGAAGGGGGGCAGGAATTGCGACAAAGGATGGCGAAAATTCTGGCCTTTCGCATCTGCTCTGCGCGCAAGTGGTTCCCCCAGCCAGAGTCGTGTCGTGTGCCTTTCGAGCGAGTTTCAGGTGACGCGGCGCGGCGGGCGGGTCAACTCAACAGCAGCAGCAGGAAGAGCGGTTGTGTTGCGGAGTGGAGGAAAGGAAAAAAGGCAAGGGGATTGAGCTGTGGAGCAAAGCTCGGCAGTTACGAAGGGAGGTGGAGGGGAATTGGCGGAGTTGATTGCGCAAGCGGTTTCACGAGGCCACGCACCACGCGGGGGCCAGAGAAAGTGCTAGGAAGAAGCGGCGATTGATTTCCTCGCATTCAGGGCAATGCAGAAATATCTGGGCTGCCACTGGATTGGTCCAATTGAAATATAGCTGGTACAGTTTCACCGATTCGAGGTATTTCAGTATCGATGTTTTGAGGCTTGAAAATATGGTCCGTTTGGGCTGACCCTTCCTGAACGGGCAGGTGTGGTGTGGACCCAGTCAGCTTGCGATCTCTACGCCCAAAGCAGATTGGCGACTGGTCTGGAAAACTCGCCTGTGGGTGGACGGACACGCCATGGAGTCGTTGACCACCTAGCCAGACCCTCAAACGCAGGTCGGTGGAGAAAGAATTGGACCTGGTCAAAAATACGCGCTGTAGGCAAAGGTGGATGCGGACTTGATGGCGTCGAGCTGAGACTCTGTCCTGTATCAATTTCAACTTCCGTATTTGGCGTGTCCTCAATACGATGGTTCTTCTAAGCTAGAAGTTGCTTAGTACGTGGGAATGAAACGGCAATTTCAAGGACTAATTAATAAGTGTTCAGTGAAATAACAAAAGAGCAGGAGAATACATGCATTCAGTTCGATGAATAGTAAGCATGCTGCCGGGTGGTAGTACATGTACACATCAACATGTACAAACACCCGGCAGCCACAGGAAAAAAAATGCCTACCCCCACCACAGCAGATTCCGCAGTCCAGCGTAGACAGAATGCTCATGAGGGTAAGAAAGGGGGTAAGCAGCGCGAGGAAAGAAAAGTTTACATCACAGCCACAGCAGGAAGTACCGGTACCACATGCAATCACTGCCTGGGCTCATTCAGAACACAAAAAGGGCAGAATCAGCAGCAGCAGGTGGCACCATGGCACTGCATACAGTCACATAACCGCATCGGCAGCCATACAGCGAGCATGCCCGGTGCCACCAACAGGCAGAGCCATTTCCATCCTCCAACCACCTCCCACTCCCTGCATTGGGCAGTTCCCAAAACCTGCCTCTTATGCTTCGTCCAACCTCCACACGCCCCCCGTTGCAGGTGCCTTGCTGATCCAAGCCGCTTCAAGAGCCCATTCTACTCGCTGAAATGCCCTCCACGGTAAGTGTCCATGCTACATGCTCCCTCCATGGTCCCTCCATGCTCCCTTCATGCCAACTCCACCCTCAGCTGCACATCATCCCACTGTCTACACATTGCCATCAGCACCCTTCAACTGTTGGGCGCTCAGCCCCTCCTTAATCCTCTTCAGGTCACCAGTTCACACAGTAACACCAAAGTTAGTGTGCCATACCGTACCAAAACGTTTTTTCTTGGGGTGACCGAAGTCTTAATGCTTGCCTCACAGACGAACATACTCACACTCCCCAAACACATGCACACATGTGCGCACGCACATACCAGTACCTGCAGCACAAGGAGCTGGCATTCCTCCCACACCCACATGCAGACTGCTCACTAGCCACACCCAACAATGTTAGATCCACTGCACACACATGCACAAGTCAAAATGTCAGCTTCACACGACCATTCTCACGACCACTTTCACACAACCATTCCCTCGACACCTCATCCTCTTCCACATCCATGGCTTCGTCCGGCGCTTCTCCACTGCTGCAGCAGCTGCCCTCGAAAAACCCTCTTCTTAACCTCGCCGTCTCCTTAGCATCTCTTCTCCCCGTTTAGCACCTCTCCCCTTCTAGCGCCTGCCCCTGCCGCTGCTGCTACCGCCCCTCTTCCTGCCCAGCTGCCCCGACCACATGAGGTGCGCCTGCTGCTCCATAAACGCCATGGCCCGCTGGCTCTTCTCCCGCGCTCCTCTGCTGCTGCAGTGGCCTCGTGCGCGCGGGCGGCGGCGAGGAAGTGGTTGTCCTTCCGAGCTCCCTTGCTGCTCCCCTGGCTTCTCGCTTGATCGCCCGTTGTAGCTTCCTCTGCTCCGCCCTCTCCCTGTTCGGGTCGTAGTCCTTGCCCCGGGCAAAGCTGGGTGAGGAGCGGGAGGGACGGAGGAGAAAGGGAGGAGAGGGGCACAGGAGAGGTAGGGGAGGGGAGATAAATGAGGAGAGCGCCCAACAGTTGCCACTGCAGCAGCGGCGAGGCGGCCTCGTGCGCCCGGGCGGTGGTGAGGAACTGTTGTCCTTCTCGCTGCGTCCCGCGCCTCCGCTTTATCGCCCGCTGCAGCCGGCGCTGCTCCGCCTGCTCCCTATTGGGATCGTAGTCCTTGCCCCAGGCAAAGCTGAAGGAGGGAGCCAGTAGTGGGGGGGGGGGGGAGGAGGAGCGGGGGGGGGGGGGGGGGGGGAAGGGGAAGGCGAGGGAGGGGGAGGAGAGGCGAAGGGGAGAGAAAAAGAAGGGAGATTAATGAGGAGAGCACCCCACGTTGCCCACTGCAGCAGCAGCCGCCTCGTGCGCCCAGGTGGCGGCAAAGAAGTGGTTGCCCTTCCGCAGCTCCCTTGCTGCGCCCCGCGCCTCCCGCTTTATCGCCCGCTGCAGCCGGCGCTGCTCCGCCCGCTCCCTGTTCGGGTCGTCGTCCTTGCCCCAGGCAAAGCTGGAGGGGGAGAGGAGCAAGGGAAGGAGGGAGAAAAGGAGGAGGGAGGCCACAAAGGAGCCGTTTTTTAGAATTCTCAAAAGTGACTCCACTGTAGTCCGAGGAGGGAGGCCACAAAGGAGCCGTTTTTTAGAATTCTCAAAAGTGACTCCACTGTAGTTCGAGGAGGGAGGCCACGAAGGAGCCGTTTTTTTATTCTCAAAAGTGACTCCACTATAGTCCGAGGAGGGAGGCCACAAAGGAGCCGTTTTTTAGAATTCTCAAAAGTGACTCCACTGTAGTTCGAGGAGGGAGGCCACGAAGGAGCCGTTTTTTATAATTCTCAAAAGTGACTCCACTGTAGTCCTTGCCCCCGGCAAAGCTGGAGGGGGAGAGGAGCAAGGGAAGGTAGGAGAAAAGGAGGCGGGAGGCAATGACGGGAGGAGGGAGGCAATGGCGGGAGGAGGGAGGCAATGGCGGGAGGAGGGAGGCAATGGCGGGAGGAGGGAGGCAATGGCGGGAGGAGGGAGGCAATGGCGGGAGGAGGGAGGCAATGGCGGGAGGAGGGAGGCAATGGCGGGAGGCGGGAGGCAATGACGGGAGGAAAAGAGGTCACAGTGAACAGCAAGGGGAAGAGTGGAGCCAGCCATGCTCCCCTCAGACCATAAGACACTCAGCAACCCCAAACCAACAGCACTCTATAACACTCCATACGTACTCAGTTTCAAACTTAGGATTGAACTGCTTGGCTGGGACGGCCCGCTTCACCCTCAGCCGCAGCGGCTGCCTGCTCCCCTCCACCTCCGCCACTGCCCCCTCAATATCTTTCACCCACGCTGCCCGCTCCTGCTCTATCTCCTCGGGCAGCTGCCCGGATTCCGCCAGGGCGGCAAGGGTGGGCAGGAAGGGGGAGAAGATCTCGGGAAGGGCTGCATGGGGCGGTAGAGCAGCGCGAAGGAGCGCAGGGTCTTGAGCACCGCTAGCAGCAGGCTCAGCCTGACAGGTGAACAGCATGGGATAAGGAGAAAGGGGGGGGTGGGCGGGGGGGTGGGGGCGGGAGAGAGCAAAGGTGGGCACAAATGAAGAGGACGGTTTTAGGGAAGGGCGGGGGGGGGGGTGGGCTTCAGGTGTGGGGAGTTGGAGGAACAATGTCAGCACAGGGGTAGAGCAGCCCGTAGGTTGGCAGGATCTGAGCACCGCTAGGGGGATACTCAGCCTATAACGACCCTGGAACCCACCTGAACCCACCCAGCAACCCAGCAACCCAGCCCAAACGACCCAGCAACCCAGCCCAAACGACCCAGCAACCCACCTGAGCCCTGCCGGAACCAACTGAACCCACCTGAAGACGTCGGAACCAAAGTAGGCCTCTGCCACGGTCCCTGCTGCACTGCCTTCCACGCCCACTGGGGCAGGAGGAGCAGCAGGAGGAGCGGAGGGCGACGGGTTAGTAGTGGTAGTAGCGGTGGTGGTAGTAGTGGTGGTAGTGCTAGCGGTGATAAGGTTTGAATGGGCGCTCGAAGGGCCGAGGAAGATCCTGTCAAAATCGAGGGCCTCGGGCTTGTCCTCTAGTGGCTCGCGCTTGCGCTTGCGGCTGTTGTGGCCGTCGCCACAGGGGGTCCAGAGCCACTGCTGCGAGCACACCTGTAGAAGCATGTAGCGGGGCACGCCCTGTAGCAGGGATGGTGGAGGGGCACGTGGGGTGGGGTAGAGGGGAGGATGGGTGGAAATGGGGTTTGAATGGGCGCCCCAAGGGCCGAGGAAGATCCGGTCGAAACAAAGGGCTCAGGCTTGTCCTCCCGGCTCCCTCATGCGCTTGCGCTTGCGGCTGTTGTGGCCGTCGCCACAGGGGGTCCAGCCGCTGTTGCGGCTGTTGCGGCTGCTGCGAGCAGACTTGAAAAAGCATGTAGCGGGGCACGCCCTGGGTGGAGGAAGGTAGAGGGGTGGGAGGGAGAAGGGAAGGGAAGACGTTCTAATGAGTCTCCACAAGTTGGCACAGGGCGTCGAGTCCAGAGCCGCTGCTGCGAGCACATCTGCAGCGGCATGTAGCAAGGCGCGCAACGAGGGTCGGAGGGAGAAAATGGTTGACGACTGAAAGGGGAAGATGGAGGAGGTGCAATTTAAGCTGGTTAAAAACACATGTCCAAAAGGGGGCGGGGGAGGGGGGAAGGGGAAGGGGGAGGAGAAGGGGGAAGGGGGGGGGAGGGGAGGAGGAAGAGAGAGGGGAGCCGGAGGGGGGAACGCAGGAGGAAAGGGCATACTTTGCCTGGTCTGCTTGAGCGCAGCCATACCTTGGGCTTGAGTGGTTTGAGCACAGGAGCGACAGCACTCCACAGCAGCGCGTGTAGGAAGTTGAGCGCCTCTGGCACGAAAGGCATGTTTTGAGTCGACTCAAAACGCACTGGGAAGAGGAAAGGCCTTACCTTGGGCTTGAGTGGTTTGAGCGCAGGGGCGACAGCACTCCACAGCAGCGCGTGTAGGAAGTTGAGCGCCTCTGGGACGAACCGACGGCTCTGCGACACCATCTGGGAGGGGTGAGGTGGGGACAGAGGGGATGAGAGAGAGAATGCATGACAGGGGGGTGTGCATGGTGCGAGAATGGAGAACAGGGGCAGCCCGCCTTGATAAAATCCGCGTGACATGAGACAATTTGGGATGGGTGAGGTGAGGGGACAGAGGGGATGAGAGAGAGAATGCATGACAGGGGGGTGAGCATGGTGCGAGAATGGAGAACAGGGGCAGCGCCTTTTGAGAGGATTCAATGCTACAAAGCATGCAGGCAGGGCGTGGAGCAAGTCGAGGGTTTCTGGCACAAAATGACGACTCTAGGTCACCATCTGGACAGGAGTCAGAGGGGCAAGGAAGGCAGACAAGGGCAGTACGTGATTTTTGAGTCGACTCAAAAATCACCTATGAAGGGCAGACAGGGCAGCAGGAGCGGCAGCGCCACCACCAGTGCCATGGGCCATGGCTACTGATGGGGACTCCGTTTACTTACCCAGAAGGAATGAAGCGACCGACGGCTCTCACGTTTGAGGAGGGGCGCGGAGATAAAGCGCCCGGTGGCCAAGTTCTTGGATCAGTCAGCTCCCTGATCCGCGCCCGGTGGCGTGGATCAGTCAGTCAGTTCCTCTCCTGCTGCCCCGTTCTTGGAGGAGCGCACGCGCACGGGGCAGCAGGAGAGGAACTGCCTGTTTTTGAGAATTCTAAAAAACGCCCCGTTCTTGGAGGAGCGCACGGGGCAGCAGGAGAGGAACTGCCTGTTTTTGAGAATTCTCAAAAACGCCCCGTTCTTGGAGGAGCGCACGCGCACGGGGCACGTCCTGAGAGGAACCGACAGACTGATCCAGCAGCAGTCAGTGACACGAGGTCATGACATGACCACTTGAGGGGCATCATCATTGAAGAAGAAGAGAGAGAGAGAGAGAGGTTGACGAACGGCTCTCACATTTAGCAGGAGTGCGGAGATGAACAGCCCGGCAGCCACGTCCTTGGTGGAGCGCACAGGGCAGCAGGAGAGGAACTGCCCCAGCAGCAGCGACACGGGCGTCATGACGGGATGGCGGAAGTCGGACGAGGGGAAGATGAGCGCCCAGAGACGCAGGAGTAGGAGCGTGCGGGCAGTAGGCCACGCTGGCTCTGAGAGCAACAAAGACAAGGGAAATGGGGCGGCAGAGGGGCAAGTTGCACAGGGGTCATGACAGGGTGGCAGAAGTCGGACGAGGGGAAGACGAGCGCCCACAGACGCAGGAGTAGGAGTGTGCGGCAGTAGGCCACGCTGGCTCTGAGGGGAACGCAACACGGGGGATGGACAGAGAAGGGCAATGTAGGGCGCCATGATCAGGTGGTGGCGGAAGTCAGGAGGGGAAGATGCGCCCACAGGCACAGGAGGAGCGCGAGCAGCGGGCCACGCTGGCTGTGAGAAGAGGGAAGAGATATGGATGGATCGATAGAAAAGCGACAGGGGTCATGACGGGGTGGCAGAAGTAAGAGGAGGGAAGATGGGCGCCCACAGCCGCGCAGATCTCCGGACATAATTCCAGCGAGCGCGGTGCTTGAGGACGGTTTGGCAGGTAGGGAAAACAGCTTAAAAGCTCGAAGTCAGAGGAGGGAGGACGGGGGGCCACAGCCGCACAGATCTCCGGACAGCGGCTGTGGGCGCCCGTCTTAGCAGGTAGGAAAAACAGAGGGGGGAAGACGGACATAATTCCAGCGAGCGCGGTGCTTGAGAGGACGGTTTAGAAGGTAGTTTCAAAGCTCGAAGTCAGGAGGGGAAGACGGGCGCCCACAGCCGCGCAGATGGCAGCGAGGAGCAGGAAGGAGGCGGAGAGGTCGACCAGCGGGCTGAACGAGCACGTGGCTGCTGCCACTGACGGCGCCCTCTGGCTGGAGGCGGACTTTTTACTATATGGGATGCACCAGCGCACCAGTGTGGGGAATTGGGTTGGGAGACAAATGTGCATTCACTCATACCTCCGGTCTTGAGGCGGGTCACCAGGCGTTTCTGCATGCGAGCAAGTCTTTCTCGCGCGCACACCGCAGCGAAGAGCGGGAAGGAGGCGGAGAGCTCGACTCGAGGTTGCACGAGCACGTTGATGTGCGCCGCTGCCACTGGCGGCGCCCTCTGCTCAAGGCGGACAGCTCTACTAGAGGGGTTGCCCAGCACGTTGATGTGGGGGTTGGGGAAACAATGGGGATTCTTTCGTACCTCCTGTCTTGAGGCGGGTCACCAGGCGTTTCTGCATGCGGGCGAGCCTCTCCCGGGCGCAGACGGCAGCGAAGAGGGGGAAGGAGGCGGAGAGCTCGACCAGCGGCTGCACGAGCACGTTGATGTGCGCCGCTGCCACTGACGGCGCCCTCTGTTGCAGCGCACTCGTCGGCTCCTCCTCCTGCTCCTTCGCACCCTGCTCCGCGCCCTTCTGCACTTTCTTTTCCCCCGCTTGCGGCTTTTCCTGCTGCCTGCTCCCTTGCTGCTGCTGCTGCTGCTGCTCCTGGTGGTGCTGCTGCTTCTGCTTCTTCCCCCGCTGATCCTCCCCCTGCTGCTGATACACGGGAGAGCTATCGCTAGCCAGCGACGCAAAGTACTGCAGGAGCACGTTGTAAAAGATCTGCATCTTGCGCTTGTTGTCGGGGGACAGGTGCGCCGCGTTGCACGCGCGGATGCGCGCGATGGCCACCCCACCTCTGGTGCTGCGCGCCCCTCTAACAGCTGCTGCAGGTCCTTCAACTGCTGGGGGCTTCTATCACGTACGGCAACTCGCGCCGACGGAACACCCGCTCTATGCGCTCCATCTCCTCCTCCTCCTCCTCCCCTCCTCTCCTCCTCTTCCTCCTCCTCCTCTTCCTCCTCCTCCTCTTCCTCTTCTTCCTCTTCCTCCATCGTCCCTGGGCCCACCACTTTCCCCTGCTGCTGCTGCTGTTGTGTCGACGGTTTCCCCTCCGCCTCCGCTTCCTCGTCCTCCTCATCACTCTCCTCCCCCTCCTCCCTCTCCTCCCCTTCCTCAAGCTCTTCACTCTCCTCCCCTCCTTGCTTAACCGCCCTATCCCCTACCGGCCCCGCTTAACCTCCCCTCTCTCGCCTCCTGCCTCCTCGTCACTCTGCTCCCACTCCACGTCAGCTAAATTCTCCTCCTTATCCTCCTCTTCCTCGTCTTCCTCACTCCCACTCCCCTCCTCCCCCTCACTCCCACTCTCCTCCTCCTCCTCTCTCTGAGCAAGCACGTCATACACCCACCCCTTCTTCTCCCTCCCGCCCTCCTCATCCTCCTCATCCTCCTCATCAAGCACGAAATTCTCTCCCAAATCGTCCCCAGAGACCTCCCTCTTGGTCTTTTTTCTCTGCCGCTTCTTCCTCCCCCTCCCGCCCTCCTCCTCACTCGACCCTCCTCCCCCTCCTCATCATCACTGGGCTCCCCGTCCATCCTCCGCTTCCTTGCAGCCTGCGAAACGGGTCAAAAGGGCGAGTGGACAAGGCAAAGAGGGAGTAGATGATAGTTAACAACTGTGCACTACACTAGCACTCGCAGTCCTCATCATCACTGGGCTCCCCGTCCATCCTCCGCTTCCTTGCAGCCTGCGAAACGGGTCAGAAGGGCGAGTGGACAAGGCAAAGAGGGGAGTAGATGATAGTTAACAACTGTGCACTACACTAGCACTAGCAGTCCTCATCATCACTGGGCTCCCCGTCCATCCTCCGCTTCCTTGCAGCCTGCGAACAAGGCACGGGAAAAGTTGATCGCCATGCAGCACGCAGGCACGCACAGCACACAGGCGTGCTCAGCACAGTGGCAAGCAACTACAGTTACGCACGCACGTCTGGTAAACCGAACACGCGCTGCACACGCGCTAATGGAAACGCGTGCTACACACGCGCCCGCAAAGGCGTTCTATCTCAATCAACCTCACCTCGAGCTTCACCAGCCGCGCCCTCTCCGCCTCTGCCGCCTCCTCTGCCGTCTTGCTGCGCTCCCCCGGCTTGGCGCGGATGTCAAAAATCATCTCCCGCGCCAGCACGTCGTACTGCTTGTCGTCCATCTCCTGCAGTACGCAGTGGGGTGAAAGAGAGTGCAGGGAGGGGGCAAGCGGGGAAGAGGGAGGCGTAACCAAGCGAGGCTTTAGTCGGATGTCCAACACCGTCTCCCGCGCCAGCACGTCGTACTGCTTGTCGTCCAGCTCCTGCAGTACCAGCAGCAACAAGAGGAGCGGAGGGCGAACGAACACGGAAAGAGAGGGAGAGGACATGGGAGAAACGACGGGACGAAGAAGGAGAATGGGGTAGAGGGTGTAAGGACCAAGAACGGAAGGTGTCGACTTTTGAGGCGCCTCAAAATGTAGTTTGAGTCGACTCAAAAATCACCTACGGGACGCAGGAGGGTGGGTAGAGGGTGTAAGGACCAAGAACGGAAGGGATACGAGAAGCTAGAGATGTGGCAGCAGAGGTGTTTTCAATCGACTCAAAACACGGAGAAACGAAAGGCGACACGGAAGGAGTGTCGGGGAGGGTGCAAGGTCACAGAACGGAGGGGACAAGAGAAGCTAGAGATGTGGCTGGCAGCGCAATAGCAGCAACGTAGCCTGCTGGATGCAAGGCAGTTCCTGTGGCCAAGGCAGCGAAGCTAGCAACACGACAGCCGCCGCCCCCGCCGCCGCAGCAGCAGCAGCATGGAATCAACTCAAAAGCAGACTCATTACACGTGGTTTTTATATTGATAACGTACTTGTTGCTTGGTAGATTGGGAAGAGTTCACTGAAAATACAGCCTGTGGCAACAGCAGCGAAGCTAGCAATCGCAACACGACAACCGCAGCAGCAGCAGCAGCAGCATTGCTCGCAAGCAGTGACAACAGCTGGCAGAACGCACGACAGACGCACCTCTTCAGCCACATCAGCGGCCAGGAGCGAACCACCAGCAGCCGGCACCTTCGCAGCAGCAGCAGCAGCAGCAGCAGGCCCAGCTCCAGACACTCCCCCCCTCCCTCCGCTCCCCCTCCC